GGCCAACCGATAGCCAGCCCATCCAGTACAACGAGCAGTTGTTATCTCAAGTACTCACCAGGCTCGGTCGCGCTCAGTCCTCCTCTTCGTCTGCTTCGGCATCTGGGCCGTCCACTCAGCGTCGGTCGCCCACTCCACGCCCGGATAACGACGAGGACATGCAGCCTTGATTTCGGTGGACCAGGGCCTGGTCCAGTGGGGGAGGATGTAAGGCGACAGCCTTATACCTTAGCGGTACCGACGGGCGTTCCCGGGATAAGATAAGATGGGTGTGCTGGAAAGCGCATCCATCTATCTTGTCTGACGTAATACTGTATAGTTGTGGCTGATGCGCGGGGGCTGGTGTTGGACCATCGAGCGTTCGGAGTAGTTAGCTTTATCTTGTACACCTTTACGCTTAGTGAATCACTTTCCGTAGCCTCTGCAGGCTTACGGGTTCTGTTCTCTTACGAAGGACCTCAAGATAAACACCCCGACCTCTTACAGAGCATGTGTGGGATGGAGAGGAAGGGATTTTCGAGGATTAGGGCATGGAGTTTGATTGGGATTGGGCGCGAGGGAAGGGAGGGAAGGGCTGGGGTGCAAGCGAACTTTTGGGTTGGGTGAGGCTGGGGAGGGGGAGGAGACCGAGGAGGGCGAGAGGTAGAATGAGGCGCCGCGATCGAAGCCAACGTACAACAAGCGACGCTCGCGCCCAGACTATGTCCCCAGATCACAATATTATTCCTTGCCCCTTCTTCCCCGTCTGAGTTTGTCCACCGCTCAGTGGCGTATCGCAGGACGGCGGTGTAGTCTTCTATGAGGCCTTTTTGGGTCGGACCGGGACGGGGAAGGGCGCGTTGAATGACGTCTGGGAGGAACGATGAGAAGGGGAAGGAGAATGGAGGCGCAGTGGACATCCAGTACGAGCGGGGTGCTACGGCGAGGATGATTGGCGCATGTGCATGAGAGTTTGAAGGGAAGGATGCGATGAGGGAATGACAGAGGGGGAGGCGGTGCAGGGGCGATCCGGCGTTGCCTTTATGCGTTTACAATCGTAAGTTCGTGGGAGACGGGATTGAGCGAGCGAAGGAAACGGATGTGAAGTGGTATTGATAGATGAGAGAAACACACCCTGAAAATAGACAAGGTCTGTTTGCTCACTGTCTCCGTCTCCTGCATCACGGCTCGACCCATACGTCTCTCCCTCCTTCCTAACCACAATCCCACTCAACATCCCGCCCTTCCCACTCGGAATGCTAACCTCCTCGACCTCCACGCCCCTCGGAGCCTGCACAACGTCACCCATTCCAGCATCCCCGTCCCTAACCTTGCGTATAGTACTCCCATCCTCACCGCCGTTAACGCCCATCGAGCGCCCACCCAACCTTTCCCCTCTCGCCCCAATAGGCGCATACCCCATATATATAATCTTGCGTTGAAACAGGAATAACATGAGACATTTGTACGTCCATAGAGCGATGGGGAGTCCGAAAAGAATCGTCAAGAAGAGAGGGAGGGAGGGGGTGGTCGAAACGGTGTCGAAGGAGGGTGCGGAGAGGATGGATGTGGTGATGGAGGAGGCGGAGGGATCGGGAGGGAGGGAGGGGAGGGAGATGGGCCGACGGAGGGTGGGTCGGGAGGACGAGGAGCTGGGTTTGGTATTGTTATTAGAAAGGAAGAGGAGATGGAGGGTGCGACGCGGAGTTACTACTAGCGGATGTGGATGCCATGATCGGTCGAGAATCAATAGAGCGCGAGTTCGCCACTGGTTTTTACATACGCTCCTCGGAGTACACCGCCAGACCCCGCTTCCGACTTTTTCTGGACAGAGATTTCTGGGGAATTCTGGTCGAGCACGGCCAAAGAGTTCCGGACTGGCTTCCAAAGGTTTCCGGTATGGAAGGATTGGGGAAATCTTCCGGGAGATATCTAGAGGACTTCCCGCCAGCTCGGACCGAACAACACGGGAAAAACCAACGACAATTGCGTGCCCAATATGGAAGGTAGATGTCCCGCGCACGACTTCGTTCCGTGCCACGCACTCCGACTTCCTTTCAGCTCGACTCTCGCTTCTCATATTTATCTGCTTTCTCCGTCCTGTACTGTCCAAATAAATGCGAAAATATATAGACGATAGTCTATCACTTGATTTCATTACTGTGAATTGCATGGCAGTCGAGCGGCCTCAGACAAAGCCCTCCAGGTCGCTCTGTGTGCATTGAATGTGTCATGATGATCCCGACGAGAGATCCAATCGCGATCTCAGATCGCACATTGAACTGGCGCGGCTCTGCATTTGTGAGGGACAGACCAGACTTGCCTGTTCGAACTTGTTGGCGCTCCCGCTGTGTTCGCCTCTGGGACAAGATGCCGTCCATACCACGCAAAAAGGCATGGTGCCTGCATGACTTTACTTTGGCAGATGAAGCACGCTCTGTTTACTTGCATGGTATCGCCAGCAAAGCTCTCCTCCTCACTTGGTCTTTCATTGTTCTCTTTCTCCTGCTTGTTCTGGCGACATTGAATGCTTTCTGCTTTACTGGAATCTACGACAATCATCTCTTTGGTGGTCTTTGTCTTATTTTCATCCCCTTGGCAGAGTTAAGCATCATTTATTACCTTGCAATGAGTACGTGCCCCTCCGTCTACTAATGTCATACGTCAATTTCTCTAAAATAAATTATCATTTAGGAATAGTATGGCTGGCTGCGTGTGAGGAGCCCGCTGACATTGTGAACCCACGAGCGAAATGGATTAATGTTCATGTTCGTGGGCACGGAAGGACTCTGAATCTCGGTATGCACGTCCTTCATCAGCTAAGTCTATGACTTATACAACCTCAAAATAGTACTACCCCCGGACGCAACTGTCGCATCGGTTTGGCTCGAAATTCGTCGCAGGCACGAGATCCATATGTTCAAGCGGTTCAGCTATTCGCTGTACCCCTCCTCGCAGCACCAGGCATCAAGTCTACGGGACCACCAGCGACTTGATCTTCTCGGTATCGGAAATGACTGCACTCTCGAGTTGCGTCATCAGCCTCACGGTGGTTCCTCTCGTGCCTCTTCGGGTCCAAGCTGTACAAACGATACCACCAGTTTCAACAAAAAGACGGGTGAATTTTGCTCTCCACATCCACAACGTACGTATTTTATCCTTGACTCAGCATAGGCGGCCCTCTGACGCATGATGAATGCCCTAGGTTGGCAACCACTTCCAGATGGCAAGCATTTCCGGTGCCTTGTCTGTAACGCTACTATGCACTATCAATATCTTGCAAAGCATGAAGACGAAAATCGTCGGCATCAGCAAGGCCTCAAGTACTGGACAGACCCAGGTAATCAAGATACAAACGACCCGAACATTTCAGCACAACAATCAAACTCAACGGACATACCTTCCAGAACGGACTCGTCGTCACGCCCTGTGATCAACACCGCACTCAATAACTTCATGAACGACTTCCGTGCCGGCCGTATGGACGCTGAAGCAACACCGTTACCAATGCCTCCTCCTTCCGATATCACACCTCCTCCACCCGGCATTGACTGGTCATCGTCAGCCTTCGATGATTTAACTTTTTCCCCGTCATTTGGCGAACAAGTCGTCCTGAATCTGGCCGAACGCTTCGCTCAGTACAACGTGGACGATGGAGCATTGGGAGTAGATTCGGATGATGATCTACAGGAGGATGAAGGAGACCGAGAAGAACACGATGATGTACCACGTGCGTATCTATCTTATTGCTAGATATGACCCTAACTCACGAACATCCCTGACAGACCCGGACGGCATTGGGACCAACCGAACTACCCAGAAAGTGACGGTTGATCCTGACAGTCCTTGGTTCCCGTGGCCCGACAAAGAAGTGAGTATCAACTTCGGGTTCGACTCACTAACGCTTGTCAAATATCTCATGACTCTCTGCTTTTCAGACTTGTGTTATTGATATTCTACGCCACGTACCACGCTCTGTGTTCTCTGATAAAGAGAACGCTATCATTCACTGGGCCCTTCTTTCCCTGGGCGTCAAAAATGTACCTTCCGAGCATCAAATGAAGGACGTTGGCGCGTTTATTCAGAAGCTCTGTGGTATACAGAGTATTCGCCACAAAGGATCTCTCGGCCATGTTTACTATACTAATGACTTGGCAGCTATTCTCGCACAGGTGTGTCTCTTCTCGCCAGGTCTGAAGATCTTGGCTTGTACTGACGAGTCGAGATCTCAGGAGATGGCGAACCCAAACGTGCGTCCTCACCTCACCTTCCTCCCGGAAGATGCAGGAAAGCATCGATCTCAGGTGTGGCAAGGCAAGCACTGGCTGCGCCATATGGACGCAGATCTTCTAACTCCCATGGTCCGCGAACACTCGCAAGACTTCTACATTCTTGAACCAGCACTTGCAATCGTCGGGTCACAGAGTCGGGTCCTTATGCCTCATCGGTGGTTCACCCGTGGTAACGAGATCTGGGCACGCGCATGGATTATGGATGCACCATCCTCTCGCCCAGGTTGGGTCGTTCTCGAGCACCAAGACATTGAGCTTCCTCTGTCAAATTTCGTCGTCTCCTTCCCAGAGTTTGTCAAGACATATGAAGCTCGAAGGCTTTCCGATCCTCGCTCTATCCTTGGTATGTTTATTGTAGCACACATTCGCTGTTTGTCTGACACTGACCGCTCCTCTTTAGGTGTCCAACTTGAACCAGAGACGGTGGTCCAGTCTTGGAACAAAACTGACCCGATGCTTGGGAATCCATGGCGTAAAAAGGCTCACAACCATCGCGTACTCGCCCTTCCTCTATGGTTGTATTGTGACGACACTTCGGGTAACCAGTCCAAAAAGTGGAACAAGCATAACTCATGGCTATTTACTCTTGGTGGGTTACCGCGACGCCTTCTCCACCAGGAGTATAGTGTACACTTCCTCTCCACGTCCAACCTCGCACCGCCACTTGAGATGCTGGAAGGAATAGAGCAGCAGATAAGGTATGTGCACTTCATCGCTTTCGCTTTGCCCTTTGTCATTAAATATAGCCGAGTAGTGAATGCCAATCGAGTGGCATCTGGGTGTGGGATTGTGTTCTACAGGAGTCGGTGCTCATTATCCCATCGGTATGTAAGCCTGGGCCACCGGTGCCACAGCTTACAGCGGAGTTCTCCGAGTTTTCGGACTCCGCTATCGTTCGTCTTCGTCGACTTCGCTTCGCGTCGTCCTCTCTCTAGTTTACCTTGTCACACCGTTTGTACACCCGTACCCGTAGAGTCTCTGTTCCAGGCAATACAGCGCGGTCCTCTCAAGCTTGGACCGAACCCCTCAGTGTTGTCAGCTCCCAGCCAGGGCAGGCTTCCACTTTTTTTTGATTTCGACTTCGCATTTTGCACCCTGCACTCTTTTGGCATCTTCCTAGGCTTGTCTCCACTTGGATCCTGGATTACCTTTCACCATCTCTATCACTCCAACTATCCTTCAGTCAACCCCTTGGCCTTGTATCATCCTGATCGCTCCTGATCACCCCTGATCACCCCTGATCATCCTGGATCACAGTCTTCACCAGGCTTCCTCAAGCATCCAACCAGCTCACCAGCTTCTACCCTCTCATTCAACCATCCCCTCTCTCACTGCATTCCCCTCATCTGTCCTCATGACCTTCATATAACATTGCCACATATCCAATATCCAGTGCATGTGTGCACGATGGACTCGGTAGGAATGGAAATGGAGGCGACTGAGACAGCATAGTGGTGGGAGGGGGGGGAGAAGGTTGAATGCCGATGTTGTTCTAGGATTGGATGGGTGTTGGAGAGCTGAATCTATTGGGAAGGGGAGAGACATGGCTCTGTTTACTTGGACTGGTGAGAGATCATTGTTGAGGCTTCATTTGGTCTATTTTGCCATAGAACCTTCCTTCTCGTCGATATCGTTCCTTTCTTGCTTGTGGCTTTTTTGATGTTATGGCTTTCTGAGTTACCAAGTGATATCGTTTCGCCTATGCCCGGATAAGGTTTCTGGGCGGTTCCTTTTTGATTCATCTCATTCCTGTGTCCGTTTTTCCAGGTCTCTTTCCGTCCCTGAACCTTCTCTCCGTAATGTTGTTTATCAGTGTGATATGGTTTCACATTTGTACAGATAACGTTTCTGTACGGTACTCTTCGTTACGGTCTGAATTTTTTAGGGAGGGGGAGGGTGTAAGCCTGGGCCACCGGTGCCACAGCTTACAGCGGAGTTCTCCGAGTTTTCGGACTCCGCTATCGTTCGTCTTCGTCGACTTCGCTTCGCGTCGTCCTCTCTCTAGTTTACCTTGTCACACCGTTTGTACACCCGTACCCGTAGAGTCTCTGTTCCAGGCAATACAGCGCGGTCCTCTCAAGCTTGGACCGAACCCCTCAGTGTTGTCAGCTCCCAGCCAGGGCAGGCTTCCACGGTACTCTCAATTCTTGGCGACAATCCGATGCAGAGCGAGATGGCATGTCACATTGGAATGAATGGGAAGATGTTTTGTAGGATGTGTACCGTTGAGGGCGATGATATTGATGAGGACGACACAAATGACCACCCAAGTCATCCCCACCCAAACCCGGATGGTTCTGCTTCGGAAGGCGAAGGAGCAGCTACCGACTCTTCTGCTCAAACCAACAATGATATACCAAACCAGGCTGGACAACCGCCAAACAAGAAGAGAAAGAGGCGAACAAAGGGGAACGAGTCGATGCAGGAGACGGTGGACAGGGTAACTCGCTTCATGCGTACACCGGTATGCATCTGTTTCAGTATTTTGTGCAGGTTTCAAGCTGACAAGTCGTCTTTCCATAGCTGCCAATACATCAACGTACTCGTGCTAAAACGCTGCAAGAGCTTCGTGGACAGCTACAGACCGCTGAGAATGTTGGGGGTTTCACTGCCATCAAGAATCGACGAACGAATACCGGAGTCAAGGACACTCACCTTGAGTTCTTTATGACTCAACTAACAGACATTTCTAAGAGTCGCAAAATCCCACGTAGCGAGAAGGAAGGACGAATCAACACTCTTCTTGCAAGTTTCCCAGATGACGACCACAAACTGAGCCCAGTGTGGCTCCTGAAAGGTTCGTCGCCTAGATACTCTAGTATGACTTCAGGGGTTGCTTATCGTACATGTGACATAGGCGTTGACCCTCATCGAGACACCCCCGTCGAAGTCCTTCATGTGATCCTGCTTGGATTTGTGAAGTACTTCTGGCGAGACGCCATTGCTCGTATATCTGCAACAGACAAGGAGATGCTGATTGCACGCCTCTCATCTTTCGACACCAGTGGCTTGGATATCTCTCCTTTATCAGGCCATACACTGGTGAAATATGCTGGTTCTTTAACGGGTCGAGACTTCCGGGCTATCGCACAAGCTGCACCATTTGTTCTTCATGAGCTGGGACTCCCCGACGAGAAGCTGAGAGCATGGGCGGCGTTGAGCGTTCTTGTTTCCCTTGTGTGGACTCCGGAAATTGACGATATCGAAACATACCTTGTGCGTTATTTTCAACACACAATCATGTGTTCATTTGCTCAATATCACTTAAAGCCTCTCCTCCGATCGTCCATCGACTACTTCCTCGACTGTACCTGTGCACTTACAATCCGGTGGTTCAATAAACCGAAATTTCACGTCGTTCTACACCTACCAGACCACATCAATAATCTAGGACCTGCCATGCTCTATGCTACCGAGGGTTTCGAATCGTTCAACGCGGTCATCCGGTCACATAGTATCCACAGCAATCGCCATGCACCTTCACGCGATATTGCACGCGCCATGGCACAATGTAGTCGTGTACGCCACCTGCTCAGTGGCGGATATTTTTTGGAGCGTGGGATTGACGATCACCGAGCTGGTCGACGCGGGTCGAAGGATACTCTCACTGAGGTGGCGGAGTCCGGTCGTTCACCATGGTTAGACCAATCCAAGGTGCCTTGGTCTGATCCTAGTCTATGGCGCAACATCGGGCCTAGCCCACGCAAGCTCCTGGACATCGACAACTTTGGTTCAAGAATCCTTCACTTAGACCGGTTCAATACCGATTTTGGTAGCAATCTGTACTCGAGGAATGAATCTGGTGCGTGACTTATTGCTGTATACCGCAACCATGGAACTTAAGTAGTCTCATTACAATTCATATTTCTCAGGTTATTCTACGGGTTTTAGTGGGCCGAAGAAATGGGTTGCAACCAAGTGCAATACTGCTGCTGCATCTGGTGAAGCAGCTGTGAACACAATCTCCCGCCTTGTTGCTGCTACAACTGTCAGGCTGGCGACTTGGGTTACTGCCGTCAACGGCGATAGGGGTAAACTCGGGAGCTGGGTTCTATGGTGGGATACAGAGTCTGCTCATACCCCTACCCGCCCCAACCTAGGCCGTGTCGTCGAAATTGTTCAGATCCAGGAGCATTCCGATGCAGTGTTAGGACATTCTCAGCTTGTTGTAGTCGATGAAGCACGCATTGGTGATCCGCACGAGCTCTACAACATGCCGCAAGTGACGCTGCTTGGGAGGTTGAAGGCACTGGTGCCAAAGGTGCGCTAATTATTCTTGTTCTTTAATCTGTCTCAGCATTTGTGATGCTCAATATGGTTATTCATTCATGATCTAATACTGGTACTTCTCACAGGATCTTCTTGGCACGATCAATGTGCAACACAACTGCCGAGACCTCAAATGTACCGTCACACGGACACGTCGAACTTACCAAGAGAAGGAGTTGGCCACCAAACTCGCCGATGAGATCACGCACCAGCCTAGTCAAGACTACTTGCTCAACACTTCTCAGATGCGAAATTCCTCGTTGGTCCAATTCTTCCGAGCTCCCGCACCCACACTGGATCGTAGGAAGATCATCCTTGACTCCGTCAAAGTCGAGATTGATGCAGCAAAACAACGCAAAAAAGCCCCTCCTGCTCCCAAGTCACGAGCACAACCTGCAAACACTCAAAAGACACCCACAGCATCATCATCCTCTGCCATACGACCCATACATCCACATCCCGTGGCCTCTTCATCTAGGCGACTCGCCAACGAACCGCTCCATAATACCCCCTTCGATACGGACCATCACCCTTTGCCACTAGAACCAAATGTACCTCCGTATGTTTTACCACCTCCTATACTCGGACATTTGCACTCTCATCCACAGACTCAGCATATACAAAATACACCTGGTGCTTCAACCACATATACCTATCCTCAATTTCGTCAGTTTGTACCGTTCACTCCGTCATTATTTAATCCCCAGAACGGGAGACCATAGTTTATTACTATATGCATATACAAGCTTCCTCTAATGTAAGGGCATCAATGAGCATGGGCCACATATGACGCCACTTCCAAGCAGCTCACGCGTGAGCTGCATTCGCGTCTATCATTTCATATTCATGCTTGTGCAAACAAGCACAATCTCTCTTATTCATGTTCGCTCGCTTCCTGTAACAACATCTTATCTTGTAACCTCTCGTACTACTTAGAATATATCCGCACCCAACACGGGCAAGGGGGTACCTTTCTCCAACCTTTCTCTCAGTACGAGCAAACCTCAAGATCGAGACCTACTGACCTCTAACATCAGACCAGGAAACAATTACCTATGAAAGGTTGGGTACATGTCAAATAGTGTACAAAGTTTCAAGGGAAACAGTCGACAGTAAGTGCTAGCAATAACTCAGACAAGGTGGAGATGGGAGGTGTAAGAAGCGTGGGAATGCTGCCTCACAGAGCCATGGAACAAATGTAAAATTGAAACCAAGGTACCACACCTATTCTAGAATAAATGTAGTTAGAAAACATATATATGTAGATGCAATATGTACTTTCTTTAACCCAAGCTATACGATACATGAGCTGGAGCATTTTCGGGGGGATTATTGGGAGAGGGTTTCAGCGGAAGGCTTCCCGCCAGATGCCGAGGCTCCACGTGGCTGCGCTTGCCTTTCGTGCATACCGCTGGACCGGCCCGGTTCACAGTGCAAATCAGGCCTGATTTGCCACCTCTGTGCTTTCTGCTCAAGACACTTGAAATGCAAGCTTATTCGAAGTCGAGGTCCTCTCATACCTGTAAGTACCTCAGCACTAACCTGAATATCTTCACCTTTACACCATTTTCACTGCATCTAGCACATCGTCATCTGCCTTCCATTGCACCCAAGCGTCGGAACAATAGCGCGCTTGGAACACTTACCCATCAGCTCATTGCCTGTAAGAAAAAACAGGAGAAATATGTCACACTGACCCCAAGAGTGCTGGTGAATAGATAGATTATTTAGCTTCTTCCTGTAATCCTCAACTAAGCTTGGCTTTGTAGAAACGGAAACCGCACTCAGCCGCCCTTGTTCCATGCCCGGTCAATACATCTCGGTCTCGCTCACCATTATCTCGCCAGCCCTCTTCACCGCATACGCCTGAGCCTGAGATCAGTGGCAGTGACCATCTGCCGTTTGGCTCTGGTTCCGAGTTTTATGCATCATGGAAAGACTCAGCCGGTGAACCTCTGAAGAACTCGGACGCAAACTGGAGTTCACCCATCCCCAATCCTTTGGTGCGTTCATTGACTCTGATTCTCTACATATTCCAGTGTCTGATATATAGTGAAGCCTAAAAACCCACCAGGACCCCGTTACAGTCTCGCCACTCTCCTCGGTTGGTCCACGAACGGTAGCTCAACCGATGTCGACGATCTGACAACTGATCCTTCAAATGCTGACACCGGAGCTTGGTTGCACATGGACAGCAATCCGCCTTTTACTGAGTCTGGCGACTACTTTCCTCAGCTTGGCAACCTTTCACCTCCTCATGGATTGCAGAATTGTGGCTACGATGCAGATGATGAACGCTCGGGCTCAGACTCAGACTCAGACTCAGACTCCTCGGGCTCGGGCTCAGACTCGGACTCCTCAGGCTCGGACTCAGACAACAGTGAACTGGTTAGCTCAATTATCAAGGTGAACATGCCCAGTATGATATCTGCTTCTCGCATGCTCATCTCCTGTTGTTTCAGAAACGGTCTCTTTCCACTCGCTCAGAGGCTTCTCTTGAAGATGAGCCAATTGCTGTTCGGCGTCACTTGTAGTACCCTGTTGTAGATGAAAGACATGGAGCTCCTTTTGTAGAATTTCCCGCTTGGACGAAAGAAAGAAAGAGCTCTTTTGTGAACACAAACAGTGTGGCGCCTTGCTGTGGCACTCGGGCCGAAACCTCTTGAGCTTATTTGACAGCTGGCGGTGGCGACTGAGCTGGCGCGCTGCCTCAACTGGCTGACTTGTGTCTTGCTCGTCGACACCATGAGTGTCTCTTCATTCCCGCCCAGCCCATCCGCCTCCCCAGCAAATGAACTTGACCGGGTGAACTCGATGCAGCAGCTTCTGAACAGCATGGGCCGTGTACAATATGCTGGGCAGCCATCGGCAGGATATGGCGGGACTCGCAATGTGCAGTATCAGCAAGGCGACCCTCCTCAGCAACCCGCCCCACAACGCTTGTATGAACACCAAGCTGGTTTCTTCCCTGGAAGCTCTGGGTCGATTCGGACATCTCACAGCTCATCGAACTCTCGTGGAGCTGACTCTTGTGATAATTCCTTTGGCGGAAACTCTTCTTTCCTGGGCTCGACGTCTCGTCAACAGATCACAAGGTCAAATAACAACGAATATTGTGACAATATGCAGATTGTACCAGTTGGTACGTCAGACATTTCGCATTTTAGGGCGCTAGTAACGCTCCCGTCATTTCCGTGCATTCTGCAGGCCAACCATCGCGTCGCCTATCCACCAATCGAGTCAACCACCAGCCCCAGGATAATATCCAGACTCGGACCTCTCAGTCTGCCCTTGGCACACCGTTCATACCCCTTGCGAACAATGCACGCAGCGGTTCCAATGGCGGGTCATCTGGATCAGGGTCACGGTCTCATTCACGACTTACGACCCGTGAGGACTACCGGTTTCAAGATGATGTAGCAGTAGGGATACCGATGCGGAGTAGATTTTCCCCACCTTTTGTTTGGATCTGATACATTGCACTGACTCTCTGTTTAGACTCGGATTCCACTACGCACTCATCTAGACTCTCGACCGCCTCGCCAATGGCTAATCACACTACAGCTTTTACTGATCACATGTCAAACTTGTGGAAGTTAGACCCTGCATCGCGTGAATCCTTGTCAGCGTACGGGGAGGTAACTATTGTTCATATACTTTGGCGGTCATACGTTCACCTACTAACATACTTCCCCGTCAATCACATAGCTAACTGCTGGCACCCCCGGCCCTCAGCACCGTGGCATGATCTTCTCACAAGCCGCACTATTCCACATGCTGATGCGGGTTGAACAACTTGAGGTCACATCTAGTCGCAGCCTTGTCGAGATCTCGGCGGTGAAGGCATCCATTCGTGTGGCGTGGTCAGTTGACGATGGCCTGAAGGTGCATCTTTTCTTTATGGGCTGTGTGCGAACACTCGCTCACGGTGCTCTTGTTGCATTCCAGATGGAGGTTCGTGTCGTAGCACGCAAATTTGTGTTGAAGTTCAGACGTGTCGACTTCGACTTTGTACTGGAGCTCATGGTGCGGGCCCTCATCGTCTCCCGCCACCGCTTCTTCCTTTCATTCATCTAACTACAAATGCGCCAAACTTCTTAACAGAATCATCTTAGACAGGAATCAAAGAAGGACAAGTCGATCTGGACTGTTGCATTTTCGACTACAATCAACGCAGACGCGCTTGAGACGGTCATCAGAGCGGAAGTTAAGTATGCGAAGAATTCACTTCGTGAATGGGTACGTATCTTCTTTTATCTCGATATGTCGGGCCTCGTCATTCACCCATCCTTTCGTTCAGCTCAAGAAGACCGCTATGCCGGACTCGCGAGATTTTAAGTCCTTAGGCGAAGCCGTGACGAATGCGGTCAGAGAGTTCCTAGGAAACTCCGTCGAGCCCACCGCTCAGCACGTCATCTGGATGGTTCTCCTTGTGAGCCTTTCCTTATAACCTGCCTTGCCGTCCCGACCATGAGTACTTACACATAGCATGCCAGCGCGCGCACACTCGGGACGATGGAGGCATTGTTGTGAACCGGCCCCAGTCCAACACTCAATCAACATTCTATCGTACTTCCAACACTACCGGGGACCAGGATAACGGATCGGACCAGGAACCTGAAGTAGATGTTCAAACAACGACCGGCAGGACGAAACGCAAAAGGGTATCGGCGGGCCGCGAGAAAGATTCCTTCTTGAACAAGTTCGCAAAGTTCGTTCGTAATCATAACACAGATTGGGGATCGGATCTTCAGACCAGTGTGGAGTGGAAAAAGTTCGTCTTACTTGCTCACTAGCCTTGCTATCCATGAAGTTCACCGCTGACTGATGATACCGCTGACTTGTTCTCAGATACATAGACGAGAAGGTTGACGAAGAACGCATTCTCCGCCCAGATGATCCCATATCCCTTCTTCCCATGTATGATACACTCACGCCGTCTTCTTCTGGAGCATCATCCGCTCCCGTACCTCAGTTATCTCTCACGCGAACACAGGCCCCTGCCGCTCAGACAGCATCATCCGCCACGGGTGGCAGCGGCAGCCTCTCGATGGGAGCACAACTTATGGACATTGTCCGTCGTTTTGACTCTTAGTTTATCAAAACATATACCCCATGTATTCTGTACTATCAGTTGCGGTCCGCACCGCTGAAAAACAGTATTTGTTCTGATCAATACCTGAATGGCCCGAGGCCGCCGGTGGATGAGTGTTATTTATAGTTTTGTGGTGATAAGGATCCCACAATGGAAACGAAAGGATCGTCCAGCAAGACGGCTCGTTGTCGCATCTCAGATACTCTGACCGATCCACCTGTCATCTTATGCCCTTTGTGGTCTTGGAAACTTTCCGAGAAGTTTCCCTTTCCAAAAGTTTCCGGTGAATTGTCTCCGAAATATTTTGGAAACCTTTCCAAAGGGCTCTCGGAAGCCAAATTTCCGAAAGGTTTTCGGAAGGAGTGTCGGGCTGTGTACTGGTGCCATATCGAGAGAGCGTGGACGTCGACATCAGCCTACCGACAAGAGGATTTATTTCGGCTCCTGTCTTTCGGTCATAGAGTGCATGTGTATGTAGACTCGGAAAGACGGACACAGAACCCAAGATATACAGGCCAGTTCCCTTGCAGCCGAGTCGACAGTGACGGTTATGAGGAAGCAAAGCCGCCGCAAACGTCCGGATCAGCCCCTGAGGCGCGGGGAGATAAGATAAGATAATGGATCTTCCAACCAACTTCAACCGCAGAACTTGCGCAGAACACTATTATTGTGCTTTCATTCACATCTTTTTCTGCATATCGCTGTGTAAACCTATGCAGGGAAGGTTCTATCGAGACTTGTGGGGCAAACCTCGGAAGATAGTACACTTATCATGAGGGTACAACGTTTTTGAATAGAACATGGTTAATCAGAGCCGTCTTCGTATGCGAGGGAGCTCGAGACTATCGGACACAGCCATGACATGCATACCCCTTGCATACCCCTAGTGGGCAGTGCTCAGAACGCTTTGACGTCAGAAGCATGTTTCCTGTGTCCTCGATGCGTTGTTCCCACCTGGCAGTTAGCGCCAAGCAGATAAAGGGTGCAATCGCCCATCAGCCTGTTTTCATGGCCAAGGGATATCATTGTATCACGGGAACGAGCAGGGTCACCCATGTGCGATAGACCTATAAAAGGCCAGAAGACATCCGAGATTCTCGTTCACCACCTTCTTTGCTACCCACCAACTATCTCCCGCAAGGCCTTCCTCCTCGAAATTGTCTGTCTGTATTCTTGCTAGTTCTCAGTCATGTCTTCGCCCACTCGCCGGCGCTCCCAAGCTCTAGAGGTCCCCGAAATAGACTGGCTCGATTTGCTCATCTCCACCGTCGGCGGCATCTCGACCATATTGAGCGCTGCATCGATACCGTGGATTTCAGCGCCTGCTGAGATCGTACTCAAACTCCTCAGGACGCTTAAGGTCAGCCATAATGGTCATGTCATCAATGTCGATGGGAGATTTGTGGGAGATGCTCACTGATGGAATGATGTCAGACCACATTGAAAAATGCCGAAGCCCTCAAGACCTTGGTTACTTCCATCGTGGATTTCGTTGTTATTCTCCGTGAGGCAACTGTTGGGTATACTGTACAATCCTCAAGCTCGGTCGCATCAGTTCGAGACGTTGCATTCAAGCGGTTATGCATCGACTTCACCGAGTACGCTCCATTCTCTAATCATCGTCCACGTCCGAACGCTAGCGACTTGCTAGCGACTCATCTGAATATTCATGTAGCACACTGACCACCATGCTGAACGACCTCAACGCCAAAGCAAACCGTGATCAAAAGAACTGGGCAATGCGGTACTTGAGATCGAACTCTATCGCCGATAATATCGTGCAATACAAGGAGAGATTAGGACAAATCTCACAGCAGCTCACGGTTAGTCACAGTTTTACAACATATATTGTACAATATTTGCAGCATCCCCACAACACTCACGGTAATTTTATTTATAGCTAAGGGCTTCTATCGAGACGCGCTTCTGCATTCCCGAGATCAAAGATGAACTACGAGAAGGGTTCTTGAGGTTGGATCACCGTATAGGATCGACTGATGTTTATTACCGAGGGCAGGTAAGAGATCACGTTGCATGCTCTGTGTTTGAGCTCACGAACGATTGCCATAGTTCAAGGTTATACAAAGAGGAGATCTGTATATCCGACGACAGATAGAACCTGAACCGTGGAGTAATGCTGTAATAGCCACACGAACGAGTCGGAACTCTTCCACGCCGAGACGAACGAAACGGCAACGACGTCACGAGCGGTTTTTCGGAGAGCAGCCTGTCCAGCATTCTGTCGAATTCGTCGATTGGGTGGTATATGTTTGTGGTCAGGAACGGGATAGGATGGCACATAAGTATGAGGGACTGGGTTCCAAGGCTGTGTGTACTTTCTCAATGCTCGTCATCGTCTACGATCTCAATGCAGTACAGATGTTCGACAATGATCTCGACTTCTACGGGAGTGCAATGTAAGGACTCCTCATCCCTGTACTTCAATGGCGTTATTCATGCTTCAATGGTAGGCACCCCAACATAGCGCAAGTCTTCGCCGTTCTTCCTGATATTCAGACCATCGTCTTTCATGACGGTGAGTGAACCATTGAAGTATTCCGATGATTGTTGTCTGAATAGTCGACAGACACCACTTGCGGGCTCTGGCAATATCTCGTGAGCTTACCTTCTGATATGGATCGTTTGATCGCTGAATACCGCATAGTGAGTGTGTGCGCATCACTTCAGTAGCATGCTGCTTGCTCAACTATTCATCAGAGAGTCGATATAAAGGTATGTCGGCCCCATCTCGTATCAAGTGGACTAAGGTTTGACGATCGGGTTTTAACTGGTTCCTTTCAGAGTTTGGAAGGTCACTGTATCAGGAATTCTTACCAAGTTGTAAGCTTCAAAAGTTGGATCCCTTGGGTCTAACTAAATTACTGATGCGGGCAAGCAGGTTCAAGCTTATCTATGCTTGCCTGTATCATGTTCAAACGGGCATATATTGGCTTCCCGACAAGTCATCAAACCAGTGGTAGGTATCTATATATGCTCTCTTCGCAGAATGAATCTTCAGATAACCAGAAAGTGCAGCACTCCAGCGGTATGTTTTATATAGATGGAGTTTTTTTGAATGACACCCTGCCATCCTCAAACTTCGAGATCCCACTTGCTTCCGGATCGAGATCACTCTCCAGGGAATCACGATTGTCACTCCTATCCAAGTTCTACGATTACATGGCGGCACTCCGATATGAGGAGTACACTTGGGCCAAATACAAATCCTTTCATCTTACCGGCGAATACTATGAAACTGGTTTTACCTATTATGGCTGTATACAAATTAGGAACTACAGTGATGAACCCTTCAAGACGGTTACCCAAGTCCCACTGCGTCTTGGTTCCAATATAAAGGAGGGACGGATGAGATTCCGATGGAAACTGTATCGTGGTGGCGAAACATTATCTCGATTGAAAGGCTATAACCGGTAGCAAAACAATGTTTTCCGGAATGTAATAATACTGAGTCATTACATGTACGGTATAGGTTCAAGGTCTCGTCACCACACGCCTTAGTACTGAGCGCAAATTCGGATCAATTGCTCTTACCACGATACAACATATTGCTCTCGCAGATTCACCGGCTGGCTTCACTTGCAGACATTTCGTCTTCCGATCTATATCTTGGTACGTCCAACAACTATCAGAAATATATAGGTGGAGAAACACTCAACCTGAGGCACAGTGGAACAGGTGGACTTCTGGCTGAAGTTCCGACCGCGACGCAAAATTGACAGGGCGCCCGATTCGCTTGGCTTGGCCGATACTTTCATGTCCCAGAATGAAGACGACACGGGTTCGAGGCCAAAGGTGTATGTCTTCGTGGGAGATGTCACTGTCGATCTCCGCAAGGACGGTACCACAACGCTTACCGTACCGGAGATCTATTGGTCGTCAGATCCTAACGGGCGCGCACGTTGGTCCGCCGAAGAGCTCGGGCGGTATCTGGATGCTTGGGACTTGAAACCAAGTGACTTGACCATTGAGCCGGGAATGACGCTTTCGTTTTGGACTCCGTCACACTTAAGTGCCCTTCATCAGATGCACAAATCATGCGGATTCGACCCCGACAGCGACGAAATGGCGAAGGCGATGGGATTTCCTATCCTCGAGCTCAATCCTGACTACACGCCAAAGATTATCGAAGGTATGTAGTCCACGTTCCGCCAAGCAGTATTCAACATATTGACATTCACATCCTAGTGAACGACTCCCAATCTAGGGAATCAGTTGAGGATGAAGATGGCGATGGTATATAGCTTAGAACATGATTCGTCGAGCTTATATGATACTGATACCATTCTCCAAATGTAGGGACAGAATCGGACGCCGCTACCTCAAACTTCTCTGCTCCAGCATCCGATTCTTCTGGTAAAGACTCAGAAGCGAAAAGCGCCAATGTTGTTTGTAGCGGGGATGCTGAGATCGAAGCAACAAACTTTTCTTTAAGGGCTACTAGTCTTCAAGGTGAGGAGCAGTGTTCCTGGCGATCTCTCACTTCCTTGACTATGGGATGTCTAGTTGATGACCTCGACGTCGCGACCTCGAATGTCGAGTCTCGTAATGCCCTCGTGGTTGTGGATGAAGACGTGAGTGGAGAAACTGATAAGAATATCCTCCGCCAGTCGAAGATAACAATAACCGAAAGTAGGTGTTTTGCCGCCTCCGTTGAGCTATGAAGACTAACATCAATGAATACAGACAGTGGCTCTGATCCGGAGGTTCAAGCGGCCTCGAAGACACAGGCTCTCGACGGGTCGGATGTAACATCTCTCTCAAACTTGAATGGTGGTAATGTCGAAAGCCGGGCTCAGCACGCAGATTCAGAAGTCTCCGAAACGGCATCTACGCCTGCAGACTTCACGTACAAGGGTACGTAGTCTGCTAAATCATTATCTCGATTTATGACGTCTTTATAAACCATCCTCTGTCAATGACTTGCTGTAGACCCTGTCACCACATCTCAGGTGCCAACTATGATGACTGAGCAGTTAGCCCTCGACCGGACTTGGACCCGTACGTAGCTATACCTTGTTGATATTAAATCTGTGCTGACACCTTGAACGCCGTAGAATACAAGCAGCTATGCATGGCCATCTTGGTGGGATTAGTCATCGGCATCTTCATACCTTGGGCATATAATCCTTCACTGCTCGTCATGCCCAAAATTCGTGTCGAGTTCTGACATCATTTCATGAGCTTCTTTCTATATTGTCTGTGACTATAATAACAGTGCTTTGATGATGACCCTAGAAGTGATTGCGGTCAGAAGTGGTTTGTTTATCCAAGGGTGTTATTTGTCGAGTAGCAGCTTATCCGACGGATGACTCGGGGGCCTCTGCATCATGAAAATTGGGTTGGGGGCCGAGAGCGTTCGCAAGTTTAAAAACCGCAAGGTCACGGAACGCTACTGGGATGGAAGGTACTTAGAGGTCGCCGAGCTCGTCTGAGGCTAGAGGCTTGAAGTAAGTTGATAGGAGTGATAGGTAGATAAGGTGTTATTATCAGAACGCAGAAAGATATAGAGAGTACGAAGTGGAGGTAACAGACGCCATGAATGCCGTAACCATGATTGGTCAAGAATAAAAATCCAAGATTACGCTTGGCCCACGCATTAGATCTCATAGTTCTCGGGAAAATGATAGAGTGGATTTCGCGTGCCTGGTGTAAGTACTCCTGCGACGGATACTGCTATGATATAGGATATGAGTTATGCTCTAATATGGGAGCCCAAGAAAGCAAGAAATTCAGCAAACTGGGATGGAAGAAAGGCAAAGAACTTGAGTACTTACTGGTAAAGAATTGTCAGTACTCAAAACCACGAATCGTCGTGATCGTAATCCGGTTGATGAATCAACTCAGTGCTGATCCTTGTAACTCGAAAAAAGTGGGTATGACGTCCATTCCAAGTCCGAGTCTACGCAGACACTTAAACAAAACATCAGAACAAAACAGAACAAACCAAAAAAAAAAGTGACACATATCATCATGCATCAAGGGGGAATTGAACCCCCGGCGGGTCGAAACGCGGTTGCATAGCACTCTTCGAATGGCAACGACCCAGGTTACCACTACCCCATTGATGCCTTACTCCGAACGGGATGGACGGCTTATGTTAAACATGCAAGGCAATGATGGGAGCGAGAGCCTGAACGATTGAACGACCCAGTCTGGCTGCAGTTGACATGCGCCAGAACCAGGTTCAGCTTCATCGCAGAGAATAAAATTCAAAACAGCGACACGACGGAAGGAACGCACTTATCATCAATTTCTACTTCCCTACTGCTTCCTACTTCCCCGTACCAATCTCCCCTTCTGCTCCACATCCCGTATATACCTCCTCATCTCGACGCCCCACCGTCTATACTTCCACGCATCCTCATGCAGCGCTTTCTCGATCACTACGAGTCTTGCCAGCCCACCATCGCCGTCCATATCTGCATCATCCACTCCAACCCGAGCATCGACTCCACCCTTTGTACCCGTTACGCGATCAGACCCAGAGCGGTCATGTTGAGAGCCAGAGCTCGAACATGTACGTGAACGTGAAAGTGAAAGTGAACGAAACGGCGCCGTATCCTCCCATATCTGCCTCCCCTGCTCATTGGGCACCAATTCATCTTTCTCGCTCAGGAGGACCATCATATCCGGCAATAAAGCTTCCAACAAGCTTCGTTCTGCCACCTTCACGTTCTCTTTCACCATCTCCTCACACTCCTTCCTCACTTCCACCTCCACCGCCTTCTCCACGCCCAGATCATCCGCACCCGAAGCACCCTCCATCCTCTCCTGTTGCCTTGTGACTAAACGCCTAACGACCCCCTCCACATCCCACGTATCCCACACCAAACCTCCCATATAATGATAAGGCAGCCATTTCTGTGGATAGAGCGCACGGAGCATGTGTGGGATGGAGAGAAAGGGATTTTCGAGGATTAGGGCTGTGAAGCGGGTGTAGGCGCGAGGGTGGGGATCGACATCTAATGAAGACGTCGGATTCGGCGCCGAGGACAAGCCTGAGGAACGCTGCGACGACGATGAATCTGCCGGACCACGCATACTAACATCCGTGCACGCCGAGATCGAAGACAACGTACACACCGCGACGCTCGCGCCCAGACTATGTCCCCATACCACAATCCTCACCCCTTCCCCTTTGTCTGCCCACCGCTCGGAAGCGTACCGCAGGACGGCTGTGTAATCCTCTATGAGACCGTCTTGACTTGGCCCGGATTTAAAGAAGGGAAAGTAGGGTGAGAACGGAGGTGCGACGGACGTCCAGTACGAACGGGGGGCGACGGCGAGGATGATTGGTGGTGGTGGTGCAGGTGCATGAGGTTGGGAGGAGGAGGTGGTAGAGGAAGAGCGGGAAGAGGAAGGGAAGGAAGTGAGGAGGGAGTGAAAGAGGGGAAGGCGGTGCAGGGGGGAGCCGGCGTTGCCTGTATCAGTGTATGTACAGACGGGATTCAGTGAGCGAAGGTAAAATGATGAGTGAGGAGCGCGAGCACGTACCCTGAAAATACACAATCACCGTTCTTCCCGCATCCATACTATTATCATCCATCTCTCCCTCCTTCCTGACCACAATCCCACTCAACATCCCGCCCTTCCCACTCGGTATCCTAACCTCCTCGACCTCCACGCCCTTCGGTACTTGCACGACTTCACCTGTCCCACCCATTCCACCCATCTCACCACCCCCACCACCAGTGCCTTCCCCATCAAACCGCCCAGCCAATCTCTCCCCATCAGACCGCCCAGCCAACCTCTCCCGCCTCGCCCCAATAGGCGCATACCCCATATATATAATCTTCCTCTGAAATATGTACATCATGAGACATTTGTATGTCCAGAGAGCGAGGGGGAGGCCGAGGAGGATCGTTAGGAGAAGGGGGGTTGAGGGGGTTGTGGTTATGGGGTCAAGGGAGGGGGTGGTTATGGATTCAAGGGAGGTGGAGAGATGACGATGTGGGCTGGGTCGGGAGTGAGGCGGACGTATGCGAGGGGAAAGTGGGTTGTTGTTATTGGAAAGGGAGAGAAGATGTAGTCTACGAGTGAGAGGTAGCCTAAACCTGGGCCATGGTCGGTTGAGCTTCAGCTTTAGTTTGAGAGGCCGAGTTTCAAGTGCGGTCAGAGGGTATCGAGAGAGCATCGTCATCATTCGACGAGAGGCTTTTATCTCAGCTCGCTGATGTTTGCCATAGAGCGCCCCTGTACAGTACTACGATTGTAACAGAGCCCAAGATGTCCAGTTGGTTTCCCCTTGCGATGGAAACAGTGCCCAAAAATGCAGTTCGGTCACGGTTACGACGAGGAGGAGGTGGAAGGTGGAAGGCCACCGCAAACGTCCGGATCAGCCCCTGAGGCATTCGGAAAGGAGATAAGATAAGATAATTCGTGTAAGCTAATCACGATCAAAGCAATACCCTCCGCCCTCGAAATCATCTTTACTTTCTCCTTCATCTCGTTGACATATACCCCTCACTCGACTTCACACCAACTACGCTCATCAAAGAACATAAGGAACTTATAGAAGGAACGATGCCCATAGTCAAATTCCAGCCCTTCTCCTCCCTCGTGCATCCCACCCTCTGGCACGAACTCACCCGTGTCAAACTCGACGTCCTCCACCTCTCGGACGCTTCTGTGCCGCTGACAGGCTCATACAGCACCGGCAAGACGATTCGGGATCGGAATACAGGGCAGGATGTGGCGCTGGGGTGTAATTTGAGTGTTGGGGGTGAGGGATTTGAGGGGGATTTTGGAAAGAGGTACGTTCGTTCTCTCCTGGGGTGAAAGAAGTGAGCGAGGGAGTGAAGAGAGGAGAGCTGATGGGAAGGCGATTGGTGATTAGTTTGGGCCCGGGAACGGTGGCTGCGAGTGGGACGTTGAAGAATTATAATACGATCGAGGAGTTCAAGAATGCGGATAAACACGCTTTGTTCAATCAGGCCGCCGACGAGGTCAGTCATCCTGCTTACCGGTGGCGCGCCACTTCCCCTATCCCTTCTCCCTCCTGCATGCTGACATATAAAACGAACCATAGATCTGGAACTCCATCCTCACCACCCGCTCCACCTCCCTCCTCACCCACTTTCTCGTCATCACCTTCGCCGATCTCAAGAAATACAAATATTACTACTGGTTCGCCTTCCCTGCGTTCACTGCGAAACCGGCGTGGGAGGTCGAGGGGGAGTGGGTTGGGGCTGGCGAGGAGAGGGCGTTGGGGGATGCGGAGGTGCGTTCTCTTTCTCTATTTTCACCTGTATCTCGTTGTCCACCTCCAGCATGAGCATGGATGTATAGAGGAGGAGTATTGATGTGTGATTTAGATGAGCTCGATACACGCACGGTTGGCGGGTACGACGCCCACGAAGGCATTCTTCCTCGTCAAGCCTTCGAAGACGAAGGGAGGGGTGGAGATAGCACCGGTGGAGGAGTGGGCTTCGTTCTTTGAGGGTGTGGCGAATGAGGATGTACGTCGTTTTCTTTCTTTCTTTTTTCTTTTCCCGCTTTCGTTTCCGTTTCCCTGCGTTCATTCGCTACTCTACATAATTCAAACCTTCGTTATCTTTTTGTCGCAATGTCCGTTCCTACCACGCTAACGTTCCTCCTCCACCTCATCCCCCTCCCAACACTCACCCTTCCCTTTTCATACCCCCTCACCCACCTCGCTCACCCAACCAAACCACACACAGCGCACGATCGCATTCATAGATCCCTCCCCGCACCCGCAAAACCCAGGTTGGCCGCTCCGCAACCTCCTCGCTGCGTTGAGGGCTTGGTATCCCGCTGCTACGTCCGGTAAGTCACACTTATATGATCGTACGCGGGGACACACATACGCAGTCTGTGTGGATTTTGACGACATACTGATTAACTCGTATCTTTTCGTTGGCTGTTGGGACGTTCGTTTTTTTTATTGTTGGGGATGCAGGAGCATTGAGAATATTATGCTGGAGGGATGGGGAAGTCCCGCATGTTGGGGAAGGTACGTGTGTTTAATCGGTTGAATCAGTCTTATTTCTGGGATGGGATGTGTTGTTTGGATGTTGGAATCATGAGCTGATGCATTGTTCGTCCTTGTTTATCGTCCGATTTCGATTTCGATTTCGCCGTTGGTGTAGATGGCAAGAAGGAATGGAAATCTAGGTCCGTTCACGTTCGGTCTCAGTCTCTTCATCAATCCACAGTCTCCTCATCTCCTCGCATTCCTGACCTTACATCCTTCTCAATAATGGCTCTCTCCGTCTCTATCAATCTACACGCTCGCATCCCACATCCACCATACCCTATGTTACCCTCACTCTGAACTAATCCGCCTATTATCTTATCCTTCCTCCCGAAAATTCCAGATTCGGCATCCTCCACGCCGGTCCACCCGAGAGTGCAGTGAGCGAGACACAGAAACCGGGCGCGGTAGGTTGGGAAAGGAACGTGCAGGATAAGATGGGAGCAAGGATGGCGGATTTGGCGCCGATGATGGATCCGAAGCGGTAGGTTTCTTGTTTTTCGCCTTCTTTTCTCTCCTCCCGTGGAGGCTTTCCTTCGCTTGTCATATTTCATCGCTGTGCTTGCTCTGTTCGATGATGTTGGAAAGGAGCGTCGACTTTCCGGGATCGCATGCCTTTGCTTCACGCTGCACATTCAACGCGTAGCCTTACTTTCGATTATTCGGCGATGTGTTCGTTCGAATGCTCCCTCTTTTTCTGTGTTATTTGTCGATATTCTTCAGTCCGGCTTTTTATCTATATGCTTGCTGACGTCTCTTTATCTCCTCTAACCCTCCCTCCCTGCCATCCCATCCAAACAACCCCCAAAAAAACTCACAGCCTCGCAGACCAAGCAGTCGACCTCAACCTCAAACTGATGCGCTGGCGCATCCTGCCCGAGCTCGATCTGGACAAGATCGCGGGCACGCGGTGTTTGTTACTTGGCGCGGGGACGTTGGGGTGTTATGTGGCTAGGACGTTGATGGTGCGTGTCGAATCGAACCCAGCGCGCTCCGAACGTGTGATGTGGGTTGATTGGGGATGAACGGCTGATGTTTTACTCTCTTTTTTTTTGTTCGATATTTGTTCGTGCTCTGCGGTGGGCGGTATATATGCGTACACCATCCCTCTTCATCCGTATCCCTCCTCCCTTCATCCTTCACTTCCCCCGCTCACTGCACCAACACACCACATCAACACAACTCAAAAAATAACAGGGCTGGGGCATCCGCACCATCACCCTCGTCGACTCCGGCCGCGTCTCGTTCTCGAATCCGGTCCGCCAGCCGCTGTTCGAATTCGAAGACTGTGTGGATGGCGGGAAGCCCAAGGCGGAGTGTGCGGCGGCGAGGTTGAAGAAGATTTTCCCGGGGGTTGTGAGCTTCTTTCTATCACCTTTCGCTTTCGCTTTCCCGAACATTTGCAAGACCCTATTCACCGTTTCGTAATTGGTTGACTGACGGTTCACCTGTTCTGCGTTCTGTGTTCGGTACTTCGACGATGACAATCTCAGAACGCAACAGGCCACACCCTCTCCATCCCCATGCCCGGACACCCGATCCCACCCTCCGCTAATTCTATCGCCCAATGCAAAGCCGACGTCGCAAAGCTCGAAAAGCTCGTGGACGAACACGACGCGGTGTTCCTTTTGATGGACAGCAGGGAGAGTCGGTGGTTGCCTACTGTTTTAGGGAGCGCGAAGGGCAAGGTGCGTGTCTGGCTTCTTCTTGCCTTGTCTTTTTCTTCCACCATGGCGAGTTTTTGCCTGTCTCGTTTTGCTGATCGATGGATTTTGGGATGAGGCAGATGGTGCTCAATGCGGCGCTGGGGTTCGACACATACCTTGTTATGAGACATGGAGCGCGTACGCCTGCGCCTACACCTGAGAAGACGAGTGGGGGTGCCAACACGCCGGAGAGGCTGGGGTGTTATTATTGTAATGATATTGTTGCGCCTGCGGACGTGAGTCGCTCGTCCTCCACACATCCCTCCCCTCCTCTTGTCGACTTTACTAACCCGTCGTCTCCGCCATGATCGTGGTCGTCTCTGTTGTGAACGTGGTTCTGTTTTGGCGTGTTTGTTGGTTGATGCGAGTAGAGCTTGACGGATAGGACGCTCGATCAGATGTGTACGGTGACGAGGCCGGGGCTGGCTAGTATCGCCGCGAGCACGGCCGTCGAGCTTTTGGTGTCGATGATACAGCATCCTGCGGGGTACGTTCTTCCTTCTTCACCTCTCACCTCACCTCCCACATCCCGATCCCGACCCTCGCTTCTCATTCTCAAATCCATACCACCGCCTCCCATTCTGCACCCCCACTGACGATACTGATGTCCTCATACACCTCGTACCGTAACAGCATCCACGCCCCACCCCCACCCGCCACCTCCGCCTCCTCCCGCTCCGACAACTCGAACACCATAAACGCCGACGCCAACAACGGCGTGCTGGGACAGGTGCCGCATCAACTAAGAGGGTTCCTCGCGCAGAGTTTTAGGAATATGCCGATTGTGGGGGCGGCGTATGGGAGGTGTACGGGGTGTAGCGAGACGGTGCGTATTTTCTGTCTCTTTTTGCAGTCCACCTTCCCCATCTCGTCTCCTGCCTTATTCTTTGTTTCTTTCTTATTCCTGTTCCGGGAGTGAACTGACGGACTGACCATGGTGCAACGTGGGAAATATGATCATAGGTCCTCAAAGAATACGAATCCAAAGGCTTCGACATGCTCCTCCGCGCGTTCAACGAGACGGGATACCTCGAGGAACTCACTGGCCTTGCGGACCTGCATAAAGAGGGGGAGCAGGCGCTCGAGGCGGTCGATTGGGACGAGGAGGATGGCGGGGAGGGGGATGATTTCTGAGGCTCTCCATCGATTACTTGAGGAGATGGGAGTATCGTGAGAAAGGGTGTAAGATGGCATGGTGGGGAGGAAGCTGGGTGGCTTTATGATCTTAACGAACATGATGATGCGATGAGTGTAGGATTTTTTTGGAACGGAACGGAACGGAAGGATAGATGAACCTTGATGTATGCTTTTCTTTCTCTTGTTTGTATCTCGATCTCCTTGTGTATCTTGTGTACCATTCAGATGGAATCTGTCGCGTTTTGGCGTTGCAGATTTGTTCCTCCTCATTCCTCGTTCCTCGATTCCTTACCCTGAGCTCACCTCAGCCCGCCCGCTCGGTCCACATGCCACATAACGCACTCCTCCCCGGATTGGACTGATCGAATTACAACTCAACCATATAGAGCATCAATGGGGTAGTGGTAACCTGGGTCGTTGCCATTCCAGAGCCAACAAAGCGTGTTTCGACCCGCCGGGGGTTCAATTCCCCCTTGATGCACTCGAAAGTCTTCTTAGCTCTTTCATGTTGTTTTTTTCGTTGTCGCTTCTAGGGAAACTCCGTATCGTTCGCAGCTTACGTTTGTATCTTCTTGTTCAGTTACTCGGCCACCTTCCACATATTCTTCCAGAGGCACACGGCAATTGACTCTATGGCCCGGCTCTCGACCATTGTGTCTTTATCCTATCTACTTCCTTGCATGTCGATAAATTGTACCACAATCGAACAAAGACACGCATCAATGGGGTAGTGGTAACCTGGGTCGTTGCCATCATGTTTCGAAAGCATAATTGTGTCATATCGACCCGCCGGGGGTTCAATTCCCCCTTGATGCATGCGCATGCTGAAAAATCTTTTTTTGAGTCAAGCTGAGATGCTATTTTCTCGTTGTCGCTTTTGAGAGAATGCCGAGTCATTCCTATCTTTTGCTGGGCCTTCAAAGCATCCAATATTCAATCGCGTAAACATTGAATGTTGAACGGTAAACAGTAAAAGTACATTTCAGATTCGGTGCACTGCAAACGACGGAGAGTACAAGTACAAAGTGGGCTAGTATGGCTACATGGATACGTGTATTGTACAAGAGGTGCGTGAATATATCAAGACAACGATCAGGACCATGCAGATGAGTAAACCAGAGAAAGACACAATTCGACACGACGACTCAAGTCGAAAGCGAAACGACAGGCATACACACACTCAGATATCAAATGCCCGACTCTGCCAGCCGGACCGCTCTTCCTCCTCCTCCCTCTTCCTCTCCACCAATCCCTCAAACGTCCTCACCGCCTTCAACCCCTCCCTCGCCCCCTCCTTCGCACTCTGCACCGCCCCCTTCGCCTGCTCCTTCCCGCTCTCCACCGTACCAGAATCCACATCCATCGCCTGCGTATCGACCCCTGCCTCCTCCGCCGTCTCCTTCACTCTCTCCGCAATAGGCTTACTCAACGTCCCCTTCGGTCCCTTCTGTTCCGGCCTCAACACCTGCGGCTCCGCCCCCATCGCAAACCTCGCATTCGCACCCACATCCTTGACAACCCCCGTCCCCGTCGCTCTCCACCCGCCAAACAGCCCATTCCCTCCCTGCCTCTGCATCCTCCCCAACTCGCTCCAAAACGCCGCCGTGAGCGCCGGTCCGGAAGATAATCCCGCATCGCGGAACACTTCCGCTCTGCTACCCACGTCCCAAAGGATCGAATCCACAGCCTCAATGGACGCCTGGATTTGTTCCCTCAACATCGTCGCGAGTCCTTCCCTCAGTTTCGTGTTCAGGACGGGCTTGAAGACGCTGAGCAGGATACCGTGGTTCGATTCTTTCATGGCGAAGGTGACGTCCTCCGTGATCTTCACTTCGACCCTCTCCACGTTATAATGCCCGCCCTTCTTCTCCCTCGCTTTCAATCCCTCCGGCGTACTGGGTATCAACCTCAGCTTCACATCCACGTCGATCCCCTGCGGCGGGAGCGTCACCTCGACGATGCCTTTATACTCCGCCGGACCGACGGTGGCGGTCTTGTCGAGGTAGTAGAAGGATACTTCTTTCAGCTGCAGTTGGAGCGCTTGGATCTGGAGATGGGTGAGGGAGCCGACGGCGGTGGTGGTGGGTGAGGAGACGGAGGGTGCGGAGATGTCGATGTCGGTGATGTTGCGGATGTAGACGTGACCGGGGAGGATGGAGAGCGAGGAGATGTCGACGTCTTCGAGGACGAATTCGACTTCGGGGTCTTTGTACTCGGTGCTATTGTAGGACGAACGTCAACATTCGATCGGTGAACGACATGGACGATGCGGACGTACCGAGGAATAGGAATACTCTGCACCATGTTCATCGCCCGAGGAAGATAAACATTGAACAAATCCTGCCACATCCACGAAGCCTGATCCAACGCCAACTGCATCCCCGTTCCCGTCGCATTGATCATCATCTCCTCGAGATCCATAGCAAACTTATCATGCGCCTTCCTGACCCTCCCCAGCTCCTTATCCTCGCCCAAACGGCCCTCGAACTCCTTCACCTCCTTCTTCAGCACTTCGACATCACGGCTCCATTTCTGTCCGCTCGCGCCCGACTGCGTATCCGAAATCTCTTTCCACCGCTTCTGTAAGTCTTTCTTCGCTCGAATCGTCTCCTTATCCTCGTCAGCGGACGCTTTCCCGACCGATTGAAGGTTCTTCTTCGAGTACTTGAGGAAATCCGAGACCCATTTCTTGAGGTTCGGGTCATTACGGATGTCGATGACGCATGTACTGAGCGCAGAGAAGAGGTCGTCCAAGGATTTACCGCCTGCGAGGTTCTCGACGAGGACGCGGATGGTGCGGAGGCCTTTGATGAGGTGTTTCTCGGGCGTAGGATCGTTGACGAAGGACTCGAGCGACGTGTCTTGCGAGGCGGCATGGGCTGCGTCGGCGGCGGCGTCACCTGTGATGTTGATCCATTTCTCGATGAGGTCGAAGATGGTGTCGAGAGATTTCTGGTACTGGGGATCGTCCTGCGCGCGCTTCGCAATCTACACATGCGAAAATTAAGGTTATTAGACGGGGCGACCATCACGATCATAAAACGGTTGTGAGATCTTAAATGAAGACGAAAACATACCCGAACATACATCTCCTTCAACCTCGAGCTCGACTTGTCCGTCAACTCCTCCGCCTTCCCAGACGCAGCCTGCCCCGCCCCAATAGTCTTCGACCCCACCGCCTTCGCCGTATCCATCCCCTTCTCGAACTTAACTCTCACATCCTGATCTTCCTCCTTCTCCTCCGGACTCTTCCTCTTCCTCCCCACCGCATCTCTCTGCCCATCCTCCACCTCGCCCTCGACCTCCCTCAAGCTCTCCGCCGCATTCTTAGCCGAGTCGCCCAGAGATTCTGCGGCATCGGCGAGCGCGAGACGCATGAAGGAGGTGAAGTCGGAGAAGACGCCGGAGCCTTCGGAGGTCGTTGTGGACCAGAGGATGGAGAGGGAGTTGGAGAGTGAGGAGACGAGGGCGCGATAGTCGGAATTTGCTTTTTGTTTGTCGACGGGGAGGTCGACGTCGAGAGAAGCGGAGGAGATGTCGGCTTGGCGGAGGTGCCAGATGGCTTCTTGGACGAGGTTGTTTTCTGCAAAAGTCGTCCGCATAAGCAAGGAGGCCGAGGGCACGAGCATCAAGAGAATGAACCGCAGAGGTGTGTACAAATGAAGATGTCGAGAAGAGTCACCGAAGTTTATGTCAATATATGCGCGTAACATAGCACCACCGGCACGGTAGATGATTCTAAGTTTGTGTATGTCCGTCGTTTAGACGAAGTTACGGATGCAAATAATTCACAAATGTGACCTGGAGGATCTGCAGTGAATGGTGGAAGATCCGCAGAAACCAAAAATATTCCATTCTCGTCTGGCTCGAATGATGTATGATATCCTGGAAACATACAAAAGTGCAAAATGAAGAAAGGAATGATGACGTACTGTTCTTGCTAGAGGCGTACGCCTTGTACGCATCAAGCACATTCCTCGCGTCACCCGCTAACTTCCTGCCATTCTCACTCAACTCGCCTCCACTCTCTGTCTTCTCGACCTTGATGAGCTGCGACTGCAGAAGATAATCTATCCACGCGTTGATCTGTGTTTGTGACGGTTGTTTGCCAGCCTCGAAAGCGGCGACGACGGATGCAGCTTTGTCCATATTGTTGACGGTGGTTGTGGAAGAAAGAAGAGGAAAAGGTGATACTGCATACTTCGAGCGAGAGAGAGAGGTTTATAAAGGACAGCGGGGGTGTATGAACGCATCGATGACGAGGGATGTGGCGGGAGCTGGCGCTGAAAGAGGGGCTGGCGAACGGAGGAGAGGTTGGCGCCGGATCGCACTCGAGTATCACGTGACAGTCACCGTTCGTCATCGTACGGTCATCGTCTGTTGTCGGGCTAGAATTCTGGAAGTGGAGAGACGAGGCCAAGAGAGGAGAGCGGATTGACTGGGACTAGTGAGACCCAGAATGTCAAACAGTTTGTCGTCGCGTCAGACCATCAAGGGCTAACAAATCTGCCAGATTTGTTGCTGCATAACTAAGAGATCATTTAAAAGAGTATTACAGGGACGGCGACAAGCGTGAGCCGTGGATGTAGAAGGAGAGCAGTCCATCGAGGGGAGCAGAAGAGCCTGAAGAGGTAAGAAGTTGAACCGGAGAGTCGGAAGATTCCGGATGGCGGAAGGGCGCCACAATTTCCTCTTTTCTCAGTCTGTTGATTCCATGCGCATCTCTATTCCATCTCTACGAACAATGTTTCTTCCGCCATCATCAGCAGATGAGTTCGTTCGTCGGCGGACGTATATCCTAACAAAGGCCGTCAAGAGGACCAACGTGGAGCTAAGTCAGGCAGAGGTCCCACCCCTTGCTCAAAACGGTGCATGTCTACTACTAGTACTGCATATCTAGGATGGTCCTGAATGCTTTCCCATCGTCGCTGAAGTTCTTGAGAGGTAGAGGAAGTGATAACACTGCGAGTCCTAAGACATCTTAGGACGGTATCCACTGCAGGCGCAGACATCCTGGGACTCTTGACGGTACAAAGCATTATCACCGTTTATTATCGCGTCTCGTGGTCTCCATATTATCAGCATTATGAGAACAGACCTTGACATGAACTCAGAGTCAGACAAATCATTAGGTGAGTACGAATCCTCTACCCATCCTTGTCTAGGCTTTCTGTCGCGGATCGAAGGCTGCCGATGAATGGGAACAGAGAGTCTTAGAGGTCGGTCTCGAAATATTAGTTTTCTTGTGAAACAACAGTCTAAATGTTCATGCCTTTGCTTCTAAAAACAAGACCACTCGTACACATTAGAATCAAACGGATCCCAATCTCCAATCAGGAGCGTTATATGACTGCATCGTCTACTCAGCCCAACATGACCACAGTCCACGAATCCACAAGTAATGCAAAGTTCGACGTCATCTGATTCTGACCCAATCTACCTCTTCCCTTCGCCGTCCCTCCACGCCATAATTCCCTCCTCATCAACTACTTCCCACTTCCTACACACCTCCACCATCCTCCTCCACCTACCCCCACTCGCACCCATCAAACTCTCCCACACCTCACTCCCATCTCCGACCATTCTCTTCAAAGAAGCCAACAACGCCACAATCACCAGATCAGCGAAACATGGCTCCGACCCGCCCATCACGAATAAGCTTCCCTTACCAGTATCCTCATCATTGTCCATCTCCATACCTTTCGCAAGACCATATTCATTCGCCTTCATCCATCCATCTACTTCGTTCAACCCCTTCACCGTCCTCGCAACCAACGCCTCCCTCGTTGTCTTCCCCGCCACCGAATCAATCGGAGGCAAAAACTCTTCCATCTTCTTCCCAAACTGTTTTTCTCGGCGTGCGCGGTAGTATGATCGACTTGGTTCGGGGAGTTGGAGGATTATGGCGGGTAAGACGAGCGGCATGATTGGGGTTACTTTTTCGAGAAGTGTTCTTATGAATAGGGTTTGGAGAGCGATCGTTCCGTGTGGGACGAGGATCGGAGTTCTATCCAGAGTCGTTGTTTCTCCGTCTCCATCGTATGAGCTTCCTGTGGATGCGGAGGAACCGGGTGGACTGGGATACGTTTTATCCAGATACACGGCGATATTAATGCTCTCGCTGACGGTCGTGTTCGTGTTCGGATCGTGAATGATGGGGACGGTGTAGTGTGGCGTTCCGTCTGGGTTTGTCGATGTCGGGGGAGCGGGAGGAGAGAGGGAGAGGCAGGTGGAGGCGATGGAGGGGAAGTGGACCCAGTGGGTGATGTGCGGGATGCGTTTCACGTTTAGTGCAAATCTGAGGTGGGTTTAATCATTGGATGCGCGGGGGCGATAGTTGAGACGAATAAAAGATGATTATAGTTAGAATTGGTGAGCAGAAGCGTTGCGTACCGAACTTTCCAGACATTAGGAGACCAGCACACATCCGGCGAAGCATTACCCGGGATATCGTACAGAACTATAGGCTTGAAGCCCGAATCAGAGTTGGGCGTGGCGGCGGCGCTAGACATAGACAGGGTACTTTCACAACAAGCCTCAGATAAGGAAGAGCGAAGCGCTGAACAAGATAATATGACACGACTCCAGCAGACCTAGAGCGCAGTTAGAAGGTCGTTAGTTGAATGAGAGTCCAGATTGACGAAGATGTGTACAGCGGTGGTATACTTATATACACTTCGTACCCCAACTGACGGAAAACGTTGGGGTTTGATGCGGACAATGGATAATCGAGTTTTCTGATGGACAATACGATGGACAAAGGTACACGTCGGAACACCAACCATCCTACAGCGCTCTGCCATGACCGATCGAGAGCTTCAAGGAAGTAAGGCATTTCTGGCTGAGGCTTGAAGTACGTGTCTTCAGCCTTCGGCGCCACGCCACGTATACTTACCACCGCCCATATGCATCGCAAAGACTTAGAAAGCGATCTCTGGAGATATTTGCACAAAACTCATAGAGAAGGTCAAGGCGAATTCGCACAGATAAAACGCAACGATAGAGCATCTGGACATTCGACGAAAAAATGCTCTGCTCGATGACAAACAAATTATACAACGCTACGGAAGCCAGAACGCCTATTTATATATTTTCGAGATTATCGACAGTCACTGCAAGAAAAGGGGGAATCGTACATGAGCATGTCTATCGACGCGCAGAAAAGGAATGTTGACAAACCTCAGAAAACCCAAACGAGGGTGGATCGGCATTGTGATCAAAATGCTCTAAAACACTCATGCTCCAAAACACTCAGAGGCAAAGCTGGGAAGTGAAAAATGCAGATTAGCATCAAATATATATATGAAGGCATATGGAGAGAAAAAGAAACTCACCCCGGCGACGCAGTTATCAGCGCAGCACTCGCTGTTGACAGCGCAAGACTGGGCGAGAGGCTTGCACTCGGGCGCACCCCAGCGTTTTTCCTCTGCAGCCGCGGCGGCGGAGGAAATGAAGACGGCGAGGGCGAAGACAACGGTCTTGATAGAGAACTGCATGGTTGAGCGATCGGAGGAAGAGTAGACTGGTGATGAGTTTGGTAAGAGCGGATGAGAGAAATAGCAAGCAAGGAGAGCAGAGGCTTTATACCATTCTTGAGGCACCTTTGCGACGACGTCAATACCTGAATATTGTTCTGGAGCCGCCTCCCTGTCGTAAGTGACACCGCATGTCGTATGGTCAGTGAGGTTGAGACAGTGCGGAGATGGTACGGTGATTTAATTAGAGTGGCCCCCTTCCTCGTGCTGTCTTCTGTGTGAAGAAAAGGACGTGAACTGACTGGACAAGCTCATGTATGTGAACATATGGGGATGCGGAGCAACCTACCGTTCGACCCCGCGTCCCAAGCGGTGAGGACGATCAGACAAAAGTGCGTCAAAAAGCTTTGCGATATGTCAGAGCAGATGAACGCGGGAAACCCAGTGGGGCCGAGATGCCCTTGCCAGTGAGTGATACTATACACTGTTGCGTGCATGCGTGAGGGTTGTGGCGCTGATACACCACAAAGACGATGTCTAAGGAATCGCATACGAGCATACATGTGGCAGCCTGAATCAATCCCGAAGGGCAAGCGCATCAAGAAGCATAAGCGAGAAGAATCAAATGCATAAGACTACGAATACACACGTTTCCAACGAGACTCTGCCTTGCGATTTGCCAGGACTTCAGCGTTCGTTGAGGCAATATTGAGAAGCCACGGACCAGTGAGTGAGCCTAGGCTGTCAGCGTAAACACAACGATTAAGAGATGTATACCGAGAATTGAATACTCCAGCATAACGGGGTGACAGGCGGCGATTATGAAATCATCGGTGTATCTCTCAGTGGAAAACGAGCATGGATCTGCGTCATAAGACGACGATCTTGACCACCAAGGCCTGGACGACGGTGTTTTCGAGGAGACCAGAAGCTGTGCCTCTAGACCTCTCAGAACATATGTGATCAGTTATTTCCGGTCTTACTCCAACGAAAAGGATCGTTCTTACCGTTTTTCGACCAATCAATCCATCATGAGCGAGGATCCGAGGACCACGGATTTGGCAACGACGTATCCATCAGCACCTCGACAGAGGATTATAGTGCTTGAATTCCAGATTTCGTGTTAGGGTGGATGGAAGAGCACTGACCGACCTGAACCAAGTGAAAGGATAATTTTAAGGAAGGTTATTTACAAAGGGAGTCGTCCATCTTATGAGCACGAAGAGCGACCGAACGAATGAAAGCAGACGCCATCCTACGCCATCCTAATACCGGAAGGAGTTACAAAGAACAGACCAGAGCCAGGTCCCCGTCGGAGATCAAGAAGTCTGTGGAGAAATCCGGAAATGATCTGCAAGTTCGAAGGTTTCAGCAACATGACGGCGCCCGAAAAAGTGAAGTTCCCACCTACCGAGCGTTCAGCTGTCTAGTAAACCTAGAGCTGACCGCCGTGAGCCGTCCGCATTCGGACCCATCTGCAATGACGATATATCGAGGCAGACAATGATCCACGGCACGGAGACCGCCCAGACACTGGGTATCAGCAACGGCAGGTATGATATAGTGCAATAATGCCTAGGCAAGTGTACTGTTTGAGAACAGAATCACATCCGCCCTCTAGAATAACATGCAAGACAAAAAGGCGGTTAGGAAAACGACGCTTCAATGAAAGAGGAAGGTTAGAGCAAAACTCCCCAAAAAGATCTAAATGGAGTATAAGAGGATATGTTCGTGGCTCTCCAGCGATGACGTGAGCCACCGTACACGGTAGACGCTATTTATCCACCACCCTTCATATGACACGTCCGCCTTTCACCCAAGACCCGTCCCCGTGTCTTCGATGTAAAACAGCTCTTCGGGCCCATGCACAGCCCATCGCAGATCTTTGTTGGAGACTTGAATACACAATTTGTTGCTGCCCAAATTCGTAAAATGGGCATCATTACGGTTGTGTAAACAGCGGGGGGTCCATACTTTAGCAAAACATCGACGGCGTCGATGTTCGATGTGATGAACTTTCAAAGACGTCAGTGGCGCCCATATATTAATTTCCCCATGGAATTTGAGCGCCGTTTTGCCTATCAGGGCACAGAAAATACAGCAGTAAGTTCAACAAGGTCCACATCCAGACCGGAAAGCAAAACAACGCTACTGGGTCCCTGAAGTCCACCGGCCGCAGCTTCAAAGCAGCTTGGACCAGTTGGTCTTGTGCGACGTTAAGCAGTATGATAGAAGACTATTGTACCGCCTATTACGAAGCCTTATTCACTTAGGATGATGCAGAAAATGAAGCTAGAGCTGTAGTACATGTGGTACAGAAGGAAGCTGATGCAGCGAAACACAGCGAGTAGAGAGCGAGGGGGGAGGAAGTTGGAAGACGTGGCATAACCGTGACCTTCTCTGAGTGGAGTCTGATCTTGGCCAAGTTAGATCTCCGCTTAATTTATTCCGCCACATACGAGCTCGCCACAGTGGCCCTTTGGTAATCTGCTCCCGATCACAATCTCGACTCTCGGGCTCAACTGCGTCTTAGAGAATAAGAATATCATCAGTGTATATGTCCTGTCCCGAGAAAATCGGCCTGCAGCATAGTAATATAGGTTGCTATATCTGCGGCGGCCGAACCGTGACCTGCATAAAATGACATCGCTTGCATGCTGCTCGTGGGAGGGTCACAAACCAACAGAGCTGAGAGCAGCACTAGATAATATACTTGGAAGCAATGAGCGTGTGTTGGTGGCTACAAACATGTGTGGTACGATAAAATGAGTGATTTAAGCAACATAGTGTCCGTGCTCGAGACCATAAAGCTTCGCAGGTATATCGACCATCTCGCTGTCAGCGACCGGATATACGTGTTGGCCAGACGAGGAGTGTGTGCGAATGCAGGCGGGCGCATCATCGGCGGGCGCAAAACCGGGTGTACAGCGGTGGATAACACAGGAGCTGGAAAGACACTGGACATCAGCGACTCCAGGTATGGCGGTGCAGTCCTGACCGATTTTCTGATACGGGGAGAGGGGCAGGGCGCAACCACCACCTGAGATCAAACATTAATGAGGGTCATGATGATCCAAAATCAGCTTGTTTTCATCCGATACGGGGCTTAAGCGAGAGAAAGGGTAATGGGAAGACAACTCACAGCTCTCCAGGTCATTCGCGGTGTTAACGCACTCGAAGGCCCGACCAGATCCACCCGAAACACCACAAGCCATCCACCCACTACCCATCACGCTACATGATCCACTTCCCTCGTACCTGTTGACAGATCACTTGGATGTGCTACTGGGACAAACTAGAGCAGAAGTGCACACTCCTTTGTCCAGCATATTGCATCAGTCTCCTGGCCATCGTGTAATACCAAGAAAGAACTCACCGTTGCAGACCAGATTAGGTGCCGAACAAACACAGGCGCCCTCGGAAACACTGAAGCCGTCACCGCAGCTGAAGCCGCAGGTTCCAGAGCCACAAACCGGGATTGCATGGTCGGGGTACGCACAACCGGACGCAGAAGCAGCAGTGTTGACCTTGGACAACCAGCGAAATCAGCGACATCCGGTCAAGTATCCTCCATAATATTATGCATACTATATTCTCGAGCTCAGTCAGAACGTACGCTTTCCCAGAGATAGTGACAGCGGCCATCGCAACGGCATTGGTCACGACGAAGGTGGGCAAGGTAGAAATACAGAGGCAACCGCCTATCAGAATGGGCGAACATCTTCGATGAGCTGTGGTCTATAGCAGAGCAAAGATGGTAGGAACCTACTGATGAACCCGACTGGAATAGATGTGAGGAGCGAATAGCATGTTGATTAGGTCAATGGAATGAACTACAATAACGCAGAGTACTCACCCGTCACGGAGCTAGTTCCGATAGTCGCTTTGATGGGAGTATTGGAGACGGAGGCACAGACATCGGCCAAGGTACGTGTGTCTAGAGAAGTGCGAAGAGCGAGCACGCTACCAGCGACACGGGCCACGACAAACAAAAGAGCGATAGGAGTCCTAAAGGAACGCATGATGTCCCCGAGAGTAGCGAGAAAGGCTACAAAGAGATCGAGTCCAACTGCGAAGAGGCAGAACGAGGGAGGAACCCTGCTGGTTCAGATCTGACGTTTTTATACATTGTCGACGGGATCCGATAGGACCTGGCAGGCGCGGGATGAGCTAGATTGAGCGTCTCCTTTCAGCATTGTGCGACATATATGTGTCTTTTTAGATCAAATCACCGTTGGCGCACCGAGGTACATGGTGAAATTCGAGCTGGAAACATGTCCATGAGCTGTCCAACGAAGCGTGAGGCCTGAGCCTGGACGTAGCGGCGATTGAGTGGTCTGTTCCGATGGCTAAATGAGGACAGAGGCTCCGTCACCTACCACAAGTGTCTGAAGTTAGGAATAAAAGCCTATGCCAGGGTTCACACGTTCACGATTTCAGCCCCGAGTTTTTGAGCATGAGCAGTTGCTGGTCGCCACCACCAGGCTACAGTTGCGTCGTTCCCCTGGAAGACCCGGAGCGGAGTCTGAACCCGAGCCTTTAAATTTCCTTTTTGGCGCGTGCTGACGACACGTGGCCGCTGTTCTGCTTGCCCTTCCACTTCTATCTTTCCTCGTTTCTTTTGGCTGCCAGAGCGTAGGTATCTCACCTTTCAGACTTACTGTGATTGCTGCTCTCGCTGTGAGACTAGTGCTCTAAGCAAATGATGTGAGGATCGATGCCGCTCCCCTTGACTCGGATGGTTTCGTTGAATCGCTCACTGGCGGGCAGGCTCTAGTTAATCTCGAGGAGGCCTGCTCGCTTCCAATATTTACGGTCATATGCACTTCTTGATACTCACCAGGTGAGCCAAATTCAGAGGCCTATGTGATCTTTGTACTGTGACATAAAGTAGTGCACCGCCCACAACCCGACATAAGTAGTCGCACCGATCTCTCTCGCTGACTCGTCCCATGACGTTGCTAGCTTTTGCAAGCGTCCGCGTCTGACACAATACCGTTGGACGAGGACTCTGCTTCCAACTCATTTGGCGACCTTTCCCACACCAGATTTATCGTACATGACACAGCATTAGGGTCATTGACTTTGCGTGCACTCAGAGTATCGCGATTCGCGAAAGCCGGGTATTCTGTGTAAGAAGAGTCTGATTTCATGCATATCTATTGATGGTCATCAATGTGTGGGAGACTGTCCACAAGCTGGGCACTGATGGATGTCTTTGCCGCAAAAGTTACTCTGCTGTGCTAGACTCGTACCTTTCGATATCGGCCGCCTTGTACAGGTTCTTGTCGCCAGCATTATCACGGCTATCAAGATAATTTGGACATTGCTACACTCGTGGGGCTTCGAAAAACGATGTGCCTCATTGGGTTCTCCAGTCTGGCTGAGTGAGTGTGGCAGGCTGCTTTCTCATGCTGCGAATAATGTTTAAAAGACGTCCACATGCAGTCACCATACTTTCTGCAAACACATTCAAGATGCCTTCCCCTTCCCCTATACGCTCTTCTCTACAGCGAGTCATCCCTGATGATAACCTCTGGTAGGTCACCCAGCAATACCCATCCCAGCTGATTTCTACTGAACCATTCTTTGCCAGGGTACTAGCGAACTACACCAGTTTATCTGGTGCCGGTAAGCCCGCAGGTTGGGGGTTGTCGCTTGCGTTTTCGCTCATTCCTATTATCAGTCATGTGGTTGCTCGACTTCCTGCAAACCTTTCCCCTCGAGATGGACGTAGTCTGGTCAAGACCACTGACAAGCATATCCATTATTTTCATCGTCAACCGATATCTTTTCCTCTTCTACGAAGTCACACAACTGGTCTTTCAGATGCCCGGAAGAGGCCCAGACTCTAGGTGCAGGCAGCACTAACCAGGCCACTACATAACGTAGCTAATGTGTATCATCTAGCTGTGGCACATTATTCTACCTCAGCGTTCTGGCCCAAATGGGAACAGTAGCTCTTACAAGCGGTGCGCGGACACCTCTATATCCTCGATTCATGTCTTATTTTCCCTGTCTAGTTCTACTTGTGATCCGAGTGATTTCCATCTATCGCCGGCGCGTTATGATTATCTTCGTGTCGATGACGCTGGTGTTGATGAGGCTGATTATCAGTCTGATCGTACGTGATTTACCCTCACCACTTGAACTATGATGGGGATCTTACACCGCTACGGCCGCAGGAAAACATCACCACAGGCGGCAGCTCCACTCAGACTGGACAATACAAACTATTTTCCCGCTGCCAGCTTCGCATATCCGTGCACACTTCGGACGCCGCTCTATACGATCAGTAAGTCGTCTCAATATACCGGCTTATTTATACTCAATGGCTACCTTGTAGGCGTAAGTCGTTATGATCCATTCCTAAGCTTCGGTCCACGCATTGATGGACACAGTTCAAACTGTTACACCATTTTTGACTCTAGCCTTCGATCTATTCGTCTTTGTGTTGACTCTCCACAAAACATATCGTCACGGACAAGAGATGCGAAGATTTGGCCAAACGAGTATCGCCGACATACTTCTCAGAGACGGTTAGCGACGTTCTGTTATTGCATAAAATTCCTTTCCATCTAACGCGTTAACAAAAGGGGTCTTATACTTTCTGTATGTTATCTTTCACAGGAGGTGCCAACTGGAACTGACTTTCGGGCCCGCCCTTATTATAGAGCCGTCACACTCGTAGGCGTCTCTGTGGCTGTGTCTCAAATCGTAAGATTGTTTGTCTGCGCTTATCATCGTCTCCATCCAGAGCTGAAAATCCCTCCAGATCTCCTTCTCAAACAATACCGTGGTGCGTACTTACCTGAATTCGTTTCTCAATACAGACTAACGAGACTTTCCAGTTGTCTGCGGGAAACTCTGCTTTCAGCAGTATCTCGAGACCATATTTTAATGCGTGAGTAGATCAGTCGTTCTATCGCATCTATCTCACACGATGTTGGCAGCCTGCCGAATTTGCTGGTCAACCGACTCTTCCTGAATCTGCGAACTTTCCACGGCGATGCTCAACTACACTCCATACGAGTAACAGGAGTAGTTTCGGATCTCAGTGAGATTACACCGCAGATGTTCGAAAGTTTCGGGGCCCCAACAGATACAACTACGAGTCATACGGACATACGTTCTCATAGCGGCGTTGCTGATGCAGACGAAACATAGGCACTGCGGTGACGACGCGGCGAATGTTGACCCGAAGTGAGCCTGTTGTGGCTTGTCGTGTACGCTACTCGGAACGTGGTGGTATTTATGCGACACGGCAACGAATCGCCTACCGGGGCAGGGCGGCGAGGCAGCGCATGTACATATCTGGGAATTTACAAGAGTTAACAGCATCACGGTGTCCCGGGTTCTGATACTTAGAGTCAACGGACTTCCTCGTTAAGGTCTGGCGATGACTGTGCGAGCGCTTGATGACACCGCTCGCAAAGCCACTCTCATATATATAAGGCGCCACTGACCTTCTCATAGATCTGTCAAGCCCACTGTGCAACTATGGTTCAGACTATCGTCCTGTACGACATTCCCGGTACGAGTCCGAACACCTGGAAAGCACGGTAAGCACAATCATATGTGATGCTTCTGCGTCCTCAACCTGCGACCGTTGTCTGTACAGTTTTTCCTTGAATATGAAGGGCCTTATCTACGAGACAAAATGGATCGAATACCCAGACATCGCGCCCCTCTGCCATCAACTGGAACTCGACACCGCCTCTCCAATGCACACCGATATTCATGACGGCAAACCGCACTACACCCTTCCCATCATGCACGATCCTTCGACCCATACGACCGTCGCCGACTCGTTCAAGATAGCACAATATCTTGACCGCACTTACCCCCCGTCATCTTCACCATCGTCGACCAAGAACATTCAACTGCTCCCAAAGGGCACGATCGCGTTACAGTTGGCGTTTCTTCAATATTTCACGGAGAAGGTGACCATGCCGATGTTCCCGATTCTTGCTTTGCCCACGAAACTTTCGCTCCCGCCGCGCAGTCAAGAATATTATCGTGCAACTAGGGAGCAAATGTTCGGGATGAGGATAGAGGATATCGCACCAGAGGGTAGTCCCCAGAGGTCGGAGTATTGGAGACTGGCACTGGAAGGGTTGAATCAGATTCATGAGTGGACGAAGCTGAACGACGGGATTAGCGATCAAGATCCAGGGAAATGGCAGTACGTGATGGGGGCGAAGCCGGGGTTTTCCGACGTTATGATGGCCGCTCAACTTCACTGGGTGAGAAGGTTGTTTGGACGTGAGTCGAAGGAGTGGAAGGATGTGATGTGTGTCAGTGGAGGCAGGTGGGCATGGTTGATGGAAGAGTTCGCAGAGTGGGATCGCGTGGATGAAAATGAGTCGGAGTGAGCGTGATAGGCTTGCATTGTATAGGATATCGTAAGCCTTGCTCACTTCACTGCCCGATATCCTCCTCGACTAACTTTATTGCTTCCTTGAAAGTCTGTAGAGTTTATTAATCAACCATTTCATTACCAACCCACCCGCCTTCAGAAGAGAAGTCCTTATCTTTTTCCCAGAACATAGATGTCGAAAATCACCCTACATACACGACCATAGAAGCAATTCCATTGAATGGTTTGGAGTCATGGCTGTATGTTGTCTGTGCTCCTTCAGAACTTGCCGAATGTTTGTGAGTATTTCAACATCTAGGGTCGATTGTGCATATACGGTTCGTACATCCTTTCCATGCTGATACTATTCTACATGGATATCTTCGAAGGCTAGTCCAGAGCACTAATTTCAGTCAGCATCGCGACGCCACCACCACCCAGCTATTCAATCGAACGCCGGCCGGCAGGTGACTTACAGTTATCACGAGTCTGCGCCGTAACGTATACATGATTCGAGTACGATGAAGGTCCCAAACGTTTCAGCAACTTACAACGACCTTTTTCTGGACGATGCTCTAGAGCTTCAGGGCTCGTCCGGACGATCAGACTCCCATAGTCGCCGCCTCTGGCCCATGCTTGCCCTCCACACTGACGCGCTCTTGTGTTGTGAATGGCTTGGGAGGCCAAATGGACTGTTTCTGTTAGTCCGTTTAGTACGAGCTGAGTAATCTGAAATCAGTTTTTGCATGATTTCGTTTCTATTTCTCTTTCCCCTGCTCCGAGACGATCAGCGACAACCCCGATGGGAATGCTTGACCCGGGCATATCTTATTGTCTCAACGACGTACAGCCGACTGTTGAAACAGTTGTACCTAGGTTTCGAGTTGAATGCTGTGGCGTAGGCTAGGGTATATATCCCAAAGAGGTCTTCTCTGAGCTGACAGTGACTTGCCAATACTAGGCGTGAGTACACTAATGACCGACCGAGACTTTCTTGGACTCATGGAAGCATATAAAGCATGCAGATCATGAACGCAGATCATGTCGCTCAAGGTCTTCCCCACTCCACTGACATCCTATTTTTGTCCTTCTGTCATTGGAATACTATGCTATATCTCTCGTTAACTCTTACATTGCTAGGGCTACCCTTCGCAGTCTTCACCTCCCCCACTATCTCGCGCCGCCAAACCGCATGCAGTAATGACACCACACTGCCTGAATTATTACTCACCGCGACCGAGATCTCTACCGGGTCATCCCAACCCCTCGTCGTCGACTTCACTTCCGTAGATGACACATTCTTGCTCGTTGTAAGTCCATCCTACAATCCATCTCCTCCTCCTACTATGACCACCTTTGGCTAACTTACGCCGCATGAAATACGTCCCAGACAACCGCCACCGCAACAGGCATAATCGCGAACACCAACTTCACCCTGACCGAAACCCTGCTCATCGCCGGCGGCTTCCCGACCGCTCAATTCGGGACAGAAGCCATCTCCGGCCTTCCCATCACGTTTGAGTTTCTTTCGCTCGGTGGGGGTGTGCAGCCTAGGCCCGTTGGGGAGTATTGCTCTACGGTACGCATTGTCACTTCCCTCTGCATTATAAGTACATGCCCAATCATGGTGTATTACGCTGACTACGTATGTCTCTTTCTTGTGTATATAGTCCGAAACTCCAGCCCTCCTGGGCATCGACACCGACGCGACCGATTTCTCATTGTGCAGTAACCCGACGAGCGGGTTGGATCTGATTGTGTGGCAGGCTGCGGCGGGGGCGAGTTTGTACGATTTTAGTACTTGTGTAGCTGTTGATCTTACTATCTCGCTGGTGGGGTGATTTTGTGTGGTTGTATGACGGCACAATGAACGGAAACGTACTGTACAAATCGAGTCTTTGTTTGTACTCGAAACTTATCCTCCTATTTTTTTGGGCAGTCGTATGTTCAGGGGCAAGAAGCCCTCGGAGCTCTCCGGGAATCTTTCGTTCTAGTGCCACTCGAATACAACAGTCGCCACACGCTTAAGAACACCTCAAACGGCGGTAGTCTACTCTCCTTTACAGACCTTTACAGTGACGACAGTCGCCCTGACCCACGCCAAATTCAAGCGACAACACCACGTCGAGGAGCAAAAACACAGTTTGATAACACACATTTTCTAGAGTATAGTACTCGACAACAATCAGTTCAACACTTATATCCCCAAGACCAAAAAAAGAGTTCCAACAAGAGACAGCCATCATCAAACCATCGCCACATTTTCACCACCCACTTCCAGCCCAACACACACAAAACCCTCGCAAAATCCACAGCCCCGTTCGTCCAGTGAGGGGTAAGTAGCCCGAAAAACGAGAACATCTAATGCTCCGTCTCCTCCCAAGTCCTCCCCACCGTCTTGATCAGATCAGCCTCCGTGAGCTGTTTCCCGCTCGTGAAATAGCCCGCGGCGATCTTCGCGTCGATCTCGACGCGGGAGTCCTTGGGGATGAGGTGGGCTGTGGGTGGCGCGTAAGCGAACCGGATAACGATGGCGGAAAAGGGGAAAGAGAGAGGGAGGAACAGAGGGAAAGGAAAGAGAGGAAAGGAAACGTACCAGGCAAATCATACCGCTTCAGAATCGGGATCCCACTACCCACAATCGCGTCGTATTTCCTGTATAACACATCGCACAAGAAACACACATTAGCACATCACTCTCTTCTCCTTTCATCACATTCTCCCGCTCTTCTCTTTCTTCCCCCTCTCCCACGACGGCGCAAGGAAAAAAGAAAATGGATGAAAGAAAAAGACGTACATATCACTCATGCTAACCATATTATCGATCTTCCTTATCCCCATCCAATGCAACACATCCGGCATGAGCGCCTGGAACCGCATATCTTTCACGCCCGCGATGAGCTCCGTCGCGCGGAAATATTTGTCTGCGGAGTCGCCGTCGCGTTTGCGGAGGTTGTAGACGAGGTACCTAGGGTGAAGTGGGGGGAGGGGGTGGAGGGTCAGCATTGATTGTGATGGGATGGGATGGTGGTATAGAGAATTCTTTTAAAAAGAACATGCAAGAAAAACGAGGGCGAGGTGCGAAGTACCACAGAACGGAACAGAACCGAATACGAAATCCGAAAATGACATCGCAAAACGAAATAGAATAAATATACGCACTTCGTAACCTCACCCAGCGCCCTCCCCTCCTTCCTGAAATAAACAACCACACCAACACCTCCCCTCTGTGCCGTCCTGATACACTCCTCGATTGCGAAAGTGAGGTAAGGCTTGCAGGTACAGATGTCGGAGCCGAAGACGTCTGAGCCGTTGCCTGTTGGTGTGGACGGTGTCAGCCGTTCGGGAGATTGATATGAGCGGTGTCAGCCGGTCGGAGGATGTGAGGGAGGGAGACGGTGGGAAGATTGATATGAACGGTGTCAGCCGTTCGGGAGATTGATATGAACGGAATGAGATGGCGCGAGATGGTGTGAACGGAATGAGATGGTGCGAGACGTGAGGAGGGTAGAACGAAGGAGGGGACGTACACTCGTCGTGCACACGGAGCGTCAGCTCTTTGCTTTCGTCGTACATGTATTGCGCAGGTCCGACTGGATAAGTGAGAACGAAGAGTACAAGTCAGTCACATGTCGTAGCAATGCAATGCAATGCGATAGCGAAAGGTTATGGCGAGCCGTGATTCGTAACGATGAAGAGAATAAAGGAGAAAGAGTTACGCACAGATGTATACGGTCATGCCGCCGATTGGTGGCAGGAACACCTTGATATCCGGACGGGTGATGAGCTCGGGATACATTCCTCCCGTGTCTTCGAACAGCGCACGACGAAGAAGCGACTCCGAACTATTCAAACACGCCCAAACAACCAAATCAGCAACCATACCTCCCAACCCACCAAAAACGCTATAATGCAAAAAAAGAAAGCAGCAGACTCACATCCCAAACCTCTCCGCCACCCCAGGCAACCACCAAACCGGCTCCACCGCCGCCTTACTAACCCTAATCTCCACCCCCGGATCCTCCTCCAAATTCTCGGTCCCATCCGGATTCCTCACCGGCTCACTCTTAAGCACAATATTCCCATCGATCGGAATCTCTCCCTTTCTCGCACTATCGTCGATCTCACTCATCTTAATATGCGCCTTCGTGACCGCAATACTAGGCCTCACATCCAATCCCATTCCACCTTGCTCTTTGTTATCCGACTCGCGCTTGAAGACTTGAGGTGTGAGATGGCCCCAGGGATCGAAGGAGACGATCTTGGAGGGGTCGGACCAGGAGGGTTGAGGGGGGATGTCGACGGGGGGTTCGGTTTTACTGTAGTCTGGTTTGTGGGTCGGGATGAGAGTGCCCATGGCGATGGCGAGAGCACGGTAGATGGAGTAAGAGCCGGAGTGGGCGCCGATTGCGTTGCGGGATTTGAAGGAGGAGGGGAGACGGGAGGGGATGATGGGGCCGCGGATGGACGGGTCGGAGGAACCCCATTGGAGAGGGTGGGGATGCATCCCGTGTTGGTCGGGGTAGGCTGGAGGTGAGGGGAATGATTTGTGGTTAGTGTGATGGAAAGGGATGTGGCATAGAGGATGAGTGCGCCACACGGCGAAGTTATGAAGAATGAGATAGGGGCTAATGTGGCGTGTGAGGGGTTCCTCGCGCCAAGCTACAGGTGACAACCTAACGTTGTGTACTTACAAGGTCGCAAACCTTATAGTTAAATGGCAGAATGCGACGGCAAGCGGGTGCTGCTTATACCTGGTCACAACAATAGTTCGACGTGAAACGTGGGTGACGTCGTTGTCCATGAATAGACACCATGTATGGATGCGAATAAAAAGTAGAAATCCTCGAGGTAGGGTATAGGGTTTGTAGCCCTTATTCCTCGTGTCGGACTACACCGACAGCACACCCCACGCCGATCGATACGTATCCAATCCAAAAGCAATCTGCCGATCAAGGAAACAAACGAACGCAAGACTCACTAGTCAGCATGACCCTTCCAGGGTACAACAACTTCTCCCTCTGCTTATCCGTCAGCACGCCGTTCGATTCAGCCGCAGCTAGCTCGTTCATCTTGGGAATAGTCGGGATAGACACGGTGCTCGACGGAGGGCTGGAGAACGCATCCGCCGGGAGAGGAACGGGACCAGCGGAGGGCTTTACGGGAGGGGAGGCTGGGTTGCTGAGGCCATCGAGCTGATTGCGTCATAAGCCATGTCAGTATGCACGTTCAGAGGTGAGACCGTGCGTGGATGAGGACGATATGATAGGACAAGGCTGTATAGTGTGGTATAGGGGAAGGAGTGGCGACGAACCTTAGCCTGCAAGGCCTGGTGAGAGACCTGCAACGACTGAAGCTGCGATAATATCTGGGTGAGCAGCGCATTGTCGACGAGGATCTTTTCGGGTGCAGACATGATATATGTTTATGTCGTCGCAATAGACGAGAGGAGGGGAAAGGAGAAGAGAGAAAGGGGAACCTGAGCCGGCCAGGACGGCGTACTTGTACTCTCGAGAAACGCGGAGGACGCGGGGTCGGAGGGTCGGACCTCCTATTCCGGGAACACAACACGCTGATAACGCACGGCGCTCTTCCGCCTGCCGAAGGCGCGCCCATCGGCGGCAAGATCGCGGCACTGTGCCGTATCGCCGTCGGTGCGGCGAAAGATTGGCGACTACAAATCCATTTCCTCCTACTTCACACTCGAGACTCGCGGACGGTGCTGAGGGGCCTCGTCTGTCGACGCTATCTGTGTTGTCGACCAACGGATGTCTGCTTTTCTGACAGATGATTGTACCTATCGTTCGAGACTAGCTCTACTTTTCTGACTCGAACTAGAGTGCCTTCCGCGGACCTCTTTGGACGGCAAACGTTTGTGAACTTCGACAAGTATTCCTGGCCGTGGATTGCAGGATGCTTCTTTTACTGTGTCTACGCTGGCGGTTTCATTGACGAACCACACTCGAGATGAGAACCTGCTCATCGACGCGGAGATAAAGTAAATGCTCTTCGGTCGTGCAGTCGTACGTCTTCGACGAACCTGGTGACCCGTATAAACGACCTGGAGGCGACTCTATTACTTACTCGCCCTCGATCCCAAGAGTGGTAACTTACATACGGAGGAAGGGTACATCCTCTGGACACAAGACTGGCTGCGATCTGTTAGTCGTCCGGGCTTTGTGGCGCATGCTCGTCGCTGCACTACACTAGGTCAGCTTAATGTTCTCCGTCCAATGGAGAGAAAACACTCCCGCCCCGCTCCGATGACGGAGATGAGTAACCTTTTCTCGTTCTATGTGCACAATTCATCCTGTTGGTGAGTACGGCGCGCGGTGTATGTGTTTTTCGTCAGGTTTGACACCGGAGAAGGATAACACGTTATGGGCAACGGCGTACTAAACGCCGCCAGTTCTGGACAAGTGGCCTACCAAGCCAAGTTTGAGGCCTTTCGACTACTTATCGGATTAGCAGAGATGGTCCTCTTGTCGAAAGGGATTTTCTCTCGATAAATCAGAATCTCGACTTCCCTCCGAAGAAATTGGCCACTGTCCATTTCTGACGACGTCTAAGCCGTTTGCTCTATACGATATTGCCTTCCTTCTTGGGTTCGCTGACTTGTCTGCGCTATTTCCACCAAGAAAGCTCAATATCTATTTTATCACTGAAGAGAGTTTTGTACGCATGGTTTCTGTGCTGGGAACGAGCCAGAGATATGGACTGGACACTCGAGGCATGGGTATGATGGACAGCGACACTCGGAAGAGCATAAAGCACAAGGGACCTCGGTGAGTGGCCTGTAAGGTTTCTATAACTATCACAATAACCGCAGATCCATGCGTCTATCAATCGTAAGGCAATGACTAGGGACCAAAGATGAATCGATGAACACACATAAGGCCGAGTATTTTATATTATATCCGCGTGCTCGATATCAGAGATAGGTTGAAGCAGAAGATGGTCATATGCCAAGAATCTGAGGATCACTCGCCCATTAAAGCTTGTCGTATCGCACGATATCATCGGTAAACCAACACACGACACTATACATCTCCCCGCTCGCTCACTCTTCCTACTCCTCATCATGATATCCGTCATAAACCACACTCACAGACCTCTCCGTCATCTCAACCTTCGTCAATATCTCATCTCCCCTCTTCTGCAGCACAATCCCCGCCCCATCCGCCCCCACACTCCCCTCCTCCCCTCCCTCCATCACAATAGTATTCACCCTCACCGCCTCAAACGTCACATTCCCATAATCCACATACACGACCTCCGGCCCCAGATCATCATTATAATCACTCACGCTCCATTCCGCATCAGTCTGACACAGCTCGTACGTCGAGCTGACGTCTTGTGTCACCGTGCTGTGCGTATTCAAGTTTTTGACGGTTATGGTGCCGGAGGTGCTGTTGGTTAGGGTTATGTTGAGGTAAACGGTGTCGCCTGCGCTGAAGGAGATGGAGTTCAATATGGTGTAATTGGCGGGGTTCCATTGGTACCAGGCTAATCGAACATGGACACGATGATCGAGTTGAGTGGCAGCGAAAGAAGGGTCAGAAAGCGATATGGGAGGGGATGTAGGGTGAGTGTCAACAATCATACATACCATCATACGCGGCTACCTGACTGTCTCCAATCAAGGTTGCGTTAATGTCCATCCCGACCTGGAGTGACCCTTGACATGGGTCTCCACCAAGCGCGACGTATGGAGAGGCAGTGTAAGTTGTATTGGGCGCGCTGTTATTCGGTGATAGAGACGGTACGGGGAGGACCAAGGTCGCCGCGACCGAGGTGTATTTCTAAAAGAGTAAGAAAGTCAGGGCACAATATCCATATCACAGGGTTGCAGAAAGGACCCATACCGTGCCAGAATCCGCAGATATGACAGCACCGCTCCATCTCGGGTTCGTGCTCACGTCAGGACGAAGTTGGGAGCGCGGAGAGGTTACTACGTCGATGTTAGCGGCTTCGGAGGTCGTACTCGGGATGCTCAGAGTTCTGAGGAACGATATGAGCTGGGAGATGAGGGTGAGAGAAAACATGATGATTCAGAGGGGGGAAGACGTCGTAGTCGATGGGACGTCCTGGATGGGTGTCGATCGTACGTTTGTGCGACAATTGCAAGGGTTCATAATATACAGGACACCACCTAACTTTCACTTGTCCTCGGAGCTCTGCATGCAAAGAACATGACGTGCATACCGATCTCGACATTGCATACCCCGCATCAAACGCACGCCACCAATTAAATTAAACTCAGTGTTTAGCGGTGACGTTCAGACGTTGAGCCTGCAATGTATGGCAAGAGCATGGACTGCTTAGATTGAACTTGGGGTTACCGTCATTGAGTCTTATGCCTTGCATGTTGGTTCAGTAGGTGGATGCGATTTAGATGCAGGCCCCTGATCGGCTGGTTCGTTGAACATACGGTTACCCTCGTCATATACGATTGACAGTGACCACTGGCGGGGAATCTGCAGACAATCGCCACCTGACTTGTGGGATGTGAGAAAACGAAATTAATGGCGAAACTGTGACCGTGCATGCACGCCACATATCGACGAACCAACGAGGACTCTGCAACTTCAATTCGTAACCACAATACATGCGATCAACGAGTCATGCGCGGTCCATGCCTCTGCAATATGATATCGCCCAGAAGCATCATTGATTTACAAAACATAACGGAGCGCGAAACGGCACCAAGAAATCACGACGAGGCTCATGAGATTAAGAACGGGAAGCGTAAGACGTGGGATATCGGATGACGGGGTTTCTGAGGATTCAGTAACTGCAGATATTGATCGGCAAAGCGAGACGAAATAAGGGAATGCGCCATATCGTACACGGGCAAGGCCTTCATTGCGAGCTGACTGGACTGGGATGCTGCGAAACCATCATAGGTCAGACCTGGCGTCGTCATACGACTCAAAATGTATTTCCGACCCACCTTTAGTTCGCTCCTCCGGGTTGACCAGACGTAATTTCAGGGTGCCAACGCACTGTACCCCTCTGAGGAAAGTCCATTCCGGGTTGAAGGATGAGTGGTGTCGCGGAAACCGTCACCTGGAGCGAAGGGATAGTCGCTACGTCCACCGTTGTGCCATCAACCTACAACACGATTATCGTTAGTATCCTTCTGTGGTGAACATCTACACACCAGCCGACAAGAAAAGAGTATATAAAAGCCAGTAGTCTTCGAACTGGAGAACCCACCTTCTGCACTCGCCACGTCAAGTTCTCCTGCAACCAAGGCTTCACAACATCCGGGTGCAAACCCTCCAAATTCGGCGCCAGCCTCGCGATCGCGCGATTCAAATGCACGAACCCTTCGATAACCAGCTCATCCTCGCGCTGGTTCCTACAGTTAGCGCACTGTTCCGCGGAGGAATTGACGAACGCGTCAACGGCGCCTGCGAATGTCTCGCAGCCACCACTCTGCCACGACATCGGGTCATGGTGAACACCGCCCAGGAAAAGCAGGACAGAGAATGAGGCTCCGACGGCGTATTGCTTGACGTTGACGCGGGCGGTCCAGTCGTAGTAGCCGCCGTTCTCCGGGTCGGTAACGTTGGTGGAGAGCGACCGGATGGTGAGATTTTGGTCTGAATTTCCGTAGAGTTTGTCCGTGATCGCGGAGATGGCGTCTTTCACGGCGTTGGGATTAGCGAGGTCGAGATTGTCGTATTCGGGATATGAATAGTTGAGGACATTGGTACTCTGGGTGTTGGCTGAAACCCAGTAGTTCGAAACGGCTCCACTACTGGTCTGGATGAGCGGGGTGAGCTCTGGAGAGCATACACGATGATTGAGATATCGCGAGTCAGAACCGCTTTCGAAATACAGGATCAAAAAAAAAGGGACAATAATGACGAACCGGTTTTGTCGTTAACGACGGTGTTGGGAGGAATGGTTATGCTTCCTTCCTGATCACGGCCCTCTGTGACCCAGACTCCGGGGTGACGGGAGGACCAAAGCTGCAGCAAGCGATCGACATTCGCATGGTGAAGCCAGAAAATGGGATCGAACCCTACGTCAGAGCATGATGATGTTCGCGTCAAGTAACAGATGAGAATTCCGATGCTGAGGCAAACAGGACTTACCAGCTACAGCCGTGTCGCCCATATGGCCCGCACCGCCAACTAGACTGTAGGAGTATGTCTTTAGATTTTGGTAGAAAGAGCGAAGAACACAAGGCCTGGGAACTCACTTATGAATTCTGTCGTGAATGGCCTCAAGACTGTTGCCAGTGGTACTATCATCTCCGCTGTTGCTGTGGTGGCTGAAGGACTCCCACTTATCCACGTAGGTAAGCGTGTAATGGACCCTCTCCTTGATGTTCTCGTGGTCCGCTTTCAAGAACCTATGTTTCTCAACCGAAGAAAAGCATGCATCAGAGAGATCGTTCAAAAGAAAGAGAATAGGCAAGGAGGAAACACCAACGTAATGAGCTCGTCGACATCGCTCTTTGCGTTCGGTGAGTTGACAGGCTTTGGGTGGCGTAACGTCGTGCGCCACGTCGCGAAAGGTTTCTCGAAGCTAGGATCGACGGGGTGGAATGTATATTGCAAGAAAGAGTTCGGAAAGTTGACCTTCTTCCCGTTCGAGTCCGGCGTTATGATAGCGACCTGCTGTTGACGGATGACCTCATCAGGCGGAACTGCCTGCGACGCCCAGTCCCAGTAAGGGACACGGAATTGAGTGGCCTCAGCGATCCATCGGTCTTTGTCGACGGTGTATAGTTTCGCTATCTCGAGTGCATGACTCTGGAGTTCTTGCTGGTAACAATAAATGATTATGAGTGAACTTGTTCAATAGTAGAGTGACTCAAAATCGGTGGTACGAACCTCGAAGAGCGAAACATATGGCCTATGCCAGGTGGGGAAGAGTACGGAGCCGTGAGTGCAATAACCTTTGAACCCCCCGTCGTCTGCGACATCTTTACCGACACCGACACCTTTACCCTCGCCACTCCACCTGATATAAGGCTGCCCATGAATGCCTCCGATCTGGAAGAACGATACAGAATCGTCCTGGTTCATCACCGCCATCCTAGCTGTGCCACCAATGGAAGATAACGAGTGAGCTCGAAGGAACGATACGTCGTAGCTGTATACAACATTACCTAGCGCCTGTATGTACAGAGAGAACTGCCACTGATTCTTCACAAAATCATGGACATTGACGCGGTTGGCGACTCCACCCTGAGGGCCGCCTGTGATAACAACGGTGGACATGGCTAGATTTAATGGATTTGTTCTGTACGAGTTGATCGTATAGGACGGGGACGAGGGCGAAGACGGCGACACCTTTTATAAGGTTCCAGCATTTGAATAAGTAGCTCCATTAGAATATGCTCTCCGCTCTGATGGCGATGGTACGACTCGTGGGCAGGTCATGTCACAACAGCATCGGCTTGCGATGTATGAGGAAGGTAATGGACGATACCTTTATGGAATGGAGTACCATGCCAAGAGAACGCCGTCAAACGAATATGAGAACGCTAGACAGCCCGCAATAGATTCATACCACCGCTGAGTTCGATCCGGTATGCATCAAAACACGGGACGACGGGTAGATCGTATGTAAGACGGACCTTGGACTCATAGCGCTCGCTAATGGAGTCACGATGCCGCTCCATGCCAGCTCAAGGGTTTAATATCGCCGTAGAGCTCTATCAAGTGGCGAATGTACTCCCTGGAAATTATCCTAATGAATAACGCGAGCATACGAGGCGGCTATAGTTGACGTGGCTTCATACTTGTGTCGCAAGTATAACATTTAAAGGTTAGGACCCCAAAGTATGACATTACACTTGATAGACCTGTCGGAAGTCGGACACCAAGTGCTGAAGCACAATGTATCCCATGCAAGATATGAACCTGTTCAGCTTTCCACCGATATCAGCTAACGACGGGTACTTACCATGTCGTAACACCGTTTTCCTCATACAGACCGAGTAAGATCTAGTCATTCTCCATGCGATGAATGGAACAAGAGTACGGATGTCGATTAGTACCGAGGCTGAGACACGGAGAGCGGACCATGGGCAAAAAAGAGCCAAAGTTCGACCAAAACAGACGGAATTGTAGGCGCCAGAATATAGACAAGCCTTGTCGACTACGCCATCGCGCAAGACATTATCGTGACGAGCGATACTTTGAATCGGAAAACTGTCTTGCTGGAGATTTGTGGTATGGGCTTCATGTAGAGTCTCGCAGAAGGGATACGGTTCGCAATTCTTCCTACCTATTGTACTCCGACCATCTCCAATAGTAGATCGCGAAACATACATAAGTACACTCTGGTGAAGTTCGTCAAAATACCCTAAGCTACGAGGGTCGTGATAAGTATCAGTAGCCAGGCATGGCGGGATTGACTGAACAGACGACTTGCCAAGTAAGAGCGTTCGTCACAAGTATCTACATATCACAGCGAAGCCTTCCCCATCGGCTCAAACGGCAGGAGCAACGCAATAAACCCTGACACGATGAACAGCGCTCCAGAGATATATATCGGAACGGATGTCGTCAGACTGGCGTAGAGTGCAATGATCGGCGCCTGCGAGCAAGGGTCATCATCGTTGTCCTTCTGGGACTAGCAGAAGAATTGTTGAGGTGAGAGACGAGACACACCATGATCCCAAAGACTCGATTTGCCGCTGCCACGATCGCATTGCCTGTCCCTCTGCTTTTTGTAGGGAATAGTTCGGGACTGAGAGCGTAAAGCACGCCGTACATGATGTTGCTGGTGAAGCTGTAGCCACAGTTCCAGCCTAATAGAGCGTTGGAGGAACGTGCAGTGGTGGAGGCGAATAGGAAGATACCGGTCAAGACTAGGAGGCGATGTCAAAGGGTTAGTGCTTGAGGATACTGTGAGACCGTGGGGTAGGAGTCATTATGGACGCACTGGTCGAGATGCATAGCGCGCCACGACGACCAAGGAAGGGTATCTCAACGGCCCATCCAGCGAGGAGGGCACCGGGAACGCCGATCACGCTCAGGATAACTTGCTGGGGAGGAAAGTCAAGAAAGTCGGCGACTTGCTCTATGTCAAGACCATTTCTGGGATAGAAGGTACTCACATTGCGATATGTAATATACGTTGAACCGTCACCGAAGTCGGCACCACGAGTCTGCAAGCTTTGATAGGAAGGGTCAATCTTGGGTCAGCCATGAGAATTACGAAGAAATCAGGAGAGATAAACGTACAAGTACGTGACAAAGCTGTTGTATCTATCAGGATGTAGCCAAAAGTTAATACGACCGGTCAGCTCGAGGTACCAAGTGTGGTGGTGGGTGTGGCGCGATTGAACTCACAACGGAAATGCGAGACCGATCAACGCTACCGGAGCCTTTTCAGTGATAGTACCCGATGAAAGACAAACAAGATTTAATCACCCCAGACGATGATTAGCAAGGTCGTAGACCAAGCCAACTTCCTTGTGGCGAACAACGAAGAAACGTGATCACTTGAAAACCCGCTGACGCTCCTCCTAAACGCCGCCAGAGCACTAGTCTCCATCGCCACGTCATTTCCACCCTTCTCCTCATCCAGCGCGCCAACTCCACCGGCCTTCGGTCCATAAATCCTTTCACATTCCTGCAACATCTCTAATGTCAACCGGCTCTCAACCCCATTGTACCTCGCCACCTTTTTGACGATCTCAACCGCCTCTTCATCTCTACCCCTGCCCATGAGATATTTCGGGGACTCGTAGAGATGAAAGACGAAGAAACGGAGTACGAAGAGGAGAAGCATCAGTCCGCCCATTGCGTATAGGAAGTAGCGCCAGCCCTCGTTCGTAGATTTGAGGCAGGGAGAGGTGTCGGTAGGCGTGGGGCAAGAGAAGTTGCCGATGAGGGGCCAAGCAACCTGAAAAATACACTGATCAGTTTATGGTGGGTGCATTTGGCGATTATGACTCACGAGGCTGCCAAGGAGCTGCCCAAATGCCCACCAGACGGAGAGAACGGTGAGCAGATACTGATGTGATGCAGGTACGAACTCTACGAAGGTCACGAAATGTCAGGTCGAAATTACTACAGAATATATGACAATGAGACGCACCAAGGAAGACAGCAGAATCCACAGGTAAGTTTCCCCCAACACCGATACTCCAAGCGGCCGCCAACGAACATAGCGCCACATAGTTCGGCGATGCGCCAGCCGCCACAGCAAATACGCCGGTGATGAGGAGAGTAAGGTTGAAACTCCATCTATCACGGCAAGGACAACGTTATCAGGATGGCGCAGCGTTGCTCCGGGCATACGAGTGATACATACTGTCGACCCCAGATATCGGATCCGACGCCCCAGAACACTGCACCTACGAGCAATCCAATGTTCTGGCCAAGTTTGAGGAATGGACCTTCAAAGTTGAATTCGTTTACGACGGGTGTGAGGATGAGGCCGGTAACAATCTGTGAGGAAATTAGATGGCTGCATTAGACGCGCTGTATGTGGCACCTACAGGCCACAGATTATCTCTATCCAAAGAGAACACATCGACCAATGAGAAATATTACAATTGAAAGGTCCGAACAAGTGGAGGACATACGATAGCCACCCGAATCCAGCCACAATGAACAAGTACCACTGCAACACCCGCCTCAGTACATCCACAATAGACGTTGGCGATATACGCACCTGGTACTTCCCCATGCCAATCTCTTGGAACGCGTCGTTTAGTATTTTTGCCTTGGCCTGATATACCGGATCCAGTGCGTCATTCTCATAGATGTCTTCTGTATCTGCGAGTACTACTGTACCAGGCGCATCCTTTTCAGAGAGCTTTGCGTTCCCTTCGATGGACTTCGGGTCGGCCATGGTCGAAGACGGTGGTGGTCGATGAGCAAGGAGCCGAACCTGCAAACGCCGCCGAAGAGTCTGGAAGACAACTCTTCTTTGATGCTCCCCCGAGTGTTCTCGTGAGCTTGACCACGTGTTCATCATACGAATGCAGGGTCCTCAACGTCAAAAGCGGTCTGACTTCCATATGAACAAGACGGGCGCCGTGCATCGGTATGGCGCGATGAGGAAGCTCGGTCGCGCATGTTGCATATGCGAAGTGAGAAAACAGCTACTCTGAAACCATTTATCATTAGATGCGTCTGCATATCCTGTGGCGAGGAAGACTCAGTGATCAACTTCTTTATCAGTCACGACTTGCCCGGCGAAAGGGGTTGAAGACAAGATGGGGTAGAGATGCATACCTTGATGGAGATATTCTCAACGCTTCACAGAGCTCTCGAGTGTCAACTGCAAGTTCTCCGAGTAGTCAAAGCTTGAAGTATACAAATGTGTAGGCAAGAATGGTGCCGACGATGGCACCAAGACCTGTAAGAGACATTCTTCACATGTACTCTCCAGCTGTTAGGGGAAAAATTGTTGTGGTTTATCCAACATTGTCACCGTAAGTGAACCGATCTGAGTACAGCGTGGCTCGCAATCATGAGAAAAATGAGAAAAGGACCGGGCAAAATCGTCCTCGGATCCCTCCGGGCGCTCGCTCGCGTGGTGGCTCAGAACTCCGCTCCAACTGGCTGCGTGTCCTTCTTCAAGCCGCTTCTTGAACTTGAACCTCTACAATGTCCCTTGCCTCCACCGCCTATCGATGGTAGGTGTATACTACGCAGTTCAAATAACCATCCTTCACACATACGGTGTCGTACTTAAACTGAATGAGGTACGTATCAGCCTGAAGCCTGTGGCAGGTTCTAAAGTCTGACTGTGTCTCACTTCCTTCCACCTCCATCCGAATGCCCGAACCGTTTCTATAAATTCTAATTTTGGCCTATACGATCACAGAGACATTCTATTGGAGAAATTTTGACATTCTTTAGATTATAACATGTGGTTGCCTGTTATGTTCGCCGTTTCCTCTCATGGCCTCCTGCTTGTCCTCCGCGAGGACAACTGTTCCGAAGTCGGAAGTATCTCGCTCACAGGTTTCGGTCTCCATACATCAGAAGCAAGGCGACTTCTTCTTTGCGTTGTTCTGTTGCTTCAGCATGAATTACATGGCCGTTCTTCATATCGAGTGTGGACACTGTACAACTCCTGATCAAGCGACGACTAGCTCAAACGCGCACGGAGCCTCGACCCAAACTGACGTTGTCTTTTGAGTGAACACCTCCCCAAATTCCCAGCGTCGAGAGGAATGATTCTTTTGTCAGTGATGTAACATTTTGGGTGGAGGTTTACACTACTCTCTTTCCGATGTTCATCCGCAGGCAACGATGGTAAGCAGCTGACTCCCTCCTCCTAGACATCTCATTCCTCTCTGCTTATTCTTCGGTTGATTCTCGTTTTAAGAGCCCTCCAGCGTGATTCAGGCCTTTTTCGAGCGGTCATATTGCTCAATTCTGCCTTAGGGAACTACGTGATTCTCCGAGATCACGATCACACTGCTACATAACTAAACTCCAGTGCGTCCCGACCCGAGTAAAATCCCTTCTCCTTTATATACGCTAGCAGTCTCATATCACCACAGTGAAACCCCTCGTCCTCATTGATTTACGGGTATACCTCCGTTGGCACTTCCTTCCACAAAATGAGGTCCTTCATCGCATCGACCGCTGCTGTCCTCGCCACTGTGGCGTCGCAGGCTCAAGCTGGAACTGTCATCTGGTCTGGCATCTTCAACTCTTCAGCGTATGTATTGCGTTGATTATACCTTATCTGGGCATACGGCTCACACATAACGTTCAGAACTGTCGCTGACTTCGACGACTGGTCCTGGTCGAACGAAATTGCCCCCTGGCAATGGTAAGGAACCCACTTACAACATCCCTCGACATAGCTTCTCTTGCTCACTGTTTCTACTCCTGCTACCCTGCTACTACACGGATTCATCTGCCCTACATGAAATAGGTACATTCACGGTTCTGGTGCTACCTCCGAGTACCTTGCCCTATCTCCAAGCTACAAAAACCCCGCGGATACTACCGATGCTCAAGGAATCAAGATCACCCTCGTCAGTGTTCTAATTAACTACCCAATCTTTAATCCTCCGCTTCTCATCATTCGTCATATATGACAGGATGGAACCGCTTTCTGGAACGGTCAGACCATGGAGCGCTCTGAAATTATTCCCCAGGTATGTAGCGGCTCAGTGGGGCAGTTCTCCTGGCTCTAGTCTGAGCTCATCTCTATCTTTGTCTTCGTGATTACATAGACGTCTACCAACCTGGGAACTGGACACCTTTACTACCACTTCTCGCTTTCAACCTCTTCCACCAACCCTCCGAACCCCGGGTTCGAGCATCAAATTGCTTTGTGGGTGTGCGATCTTCTCGCATTCAAGCATATCACTTATACCATCTTCTTCGGCCTTCGATCCCGCGTACAGCTTTGAGAGTCACTTCACCGAGATCAAGTACGGCCTCATCTCTGGTGAGGCCGGAACGACGGACAATGCACTCAGGTGGGACGTGAACTCCGCCACTCAATGGAACACGTCCTTGGTGGCCGGTACCTGGTACAACTTGTTAGTGTGCTCGCATACCGTCACACTTCCCCTTGTTCTGACAACATTCCGCAGCGCCTACGACATCGACTTCAGCGCCAACACTGTCGGTCTCTGGGCTTCGACTGGCGGCGACGACCTCACTCAAGTCATAGAGCCGGTCTCGGCCAGCACTTCTACCAACTCTGAGGACTGGTGCGAAACTCTTCACTCATTATTTGTATGCCCTGGCCCTGTGTTGTCTGTTAATCATTTGCTTTGACTCGCAGGCACATCGGCGAACTTCGTCTTCCCAATGGCGGAACCGATGCCGACGCAGAGGACTGGTACTGGTCTGGCATTTTCATCGAAGAAGGCCCCATCACCACCTCCATTGCTGGTCCTAACCCCGGTACAGGAGGTTCCGCTGGATCATCGAGTGCTTCTGGTTCTGCCTCGAGTACACCTGCACCTTCGAGTACTCCTGCCAGCTCTAGTGCGAGTTCGACTGTCGTGAGCACGACGAGCACTGCTTCTGGGCCTACGCAGACAAAGTATGGTGCGTATAAGTCACTTCAATCTGCTGGTATGATGGACGTTTAGGAAGTGCAAGGGACTGATGAGTGTGCTGTGTGGCGTTATAGGTCAATGTGGCGGCACTGGATGGACGGGTCCCACTGCTTGTGCAGCCGGCTCGACTTGCACTGCGTAAGTATATGTCTTTTCTTGCTCGTCAACCAAAGGATCTGATTTGAGCTCGGTATTTCTTTCAGAGTCTCCGCGCCGTATTACTCTCAGGTGAGTCATCATATTCTCTTACGCTCGCTTCCCGTGAAAGCATGTCCTGATGAGCCCTCGTATTCGACAGTGCTTGTGATTGAGATGCTTGACTTGAGGTCGGGTTCTCTCGAAAGAGGTGGTCTTTTATGGGAGACGGATTGTATAGCGGAGCTACGGCAGAACTGTACGCCAAGCATTCGTGGGGTCATACCAATACCGATGTACCAGAATCTATCATTATTGGCAGACAAACGAGTGGTTACTGTTAGGCTATGGTATATAGGCATATGGATGATTGGCGGTCGCTGGCAAGAAACGGTCAAGATTCAGCCTGTTGGAAATGAGCCAAACAAGATCCTGACGTGAGGCTGTATAGGTAGAAATGCTTAGATGAAGTATGCATACCTGGAGACGTCAGAGACCTTCTTTCTGACTTTCCAACAGTCTGTCATACTTCTCTCGCAGAGATTTGTTCTCGCCCTGTAAGGCGTGGGCCTTGATGGCTAGGGGCCTCCACGTCCTCTCCCTCGTAATGCTCCTCTCCAGGAGAATCATGTTCGTCATCGCTTGTATCATTCTCCATCCACGTTCGTATCCTATGATGTCTGGGAAATCCGCCATTTCAGACAGCCATTCAAATCCGCCTCCCACAACCTTCGGATCGAAATCCGATGCGATCTGCCATCTTGAGGCTCTCGAAAGGAATGTTGAGAGGTAATGAGCAATCACTGGATAAATGGTGGTCTCGCTGGCCTCGTCCGTCGGTAGTGGTGAGTGCCCAGTCCGAAAATGGATCGGGGTACCGGTCTTCCAAATCGGTGGAAAGTCGAAATGAGGTAGCGGTAGCGTGGCGTTGACATATAGCCCGATTGAGGTCAACTTGGGACAGGTATCGACGAAAATTCTGTACGCGGCCAGGGACAAAGATGTAATGTATGGAAGGAGGGGTCGAGGATTGAGATAGAGGTGCCGAAGATGAGGCCATTGGCGGGCGAGTTCCGAAGCCTCATGGTTGGTCATTTCGAGAGGATATGGGCATGTGATAGAGAAGTCTGTAAGCCGCTTGAATTGGAGAATGGGAAGTAGATCGTGTAGTCTAAGATGGGCGTCCGTGAGGTCCGCGTCCGCGAAGTCCTCTTCTTCAGCAGCAATGTACGTTGCTTTGTGGAGACGAAGGTTTAGGAAATAGAGCGAGTCTGACACTCTTGAAAGGGTGTCGAGAAACTTTGTGACTTCCTGGCGCTCAGGAGGAGCTTCTATATGAAGCCATAGGTAAGTCAGGCCATGGATCCAGTGGGCGTTGGGATTTAAAATCGTGGCCGCGTCCGTAAGCAGGGGAGCTGAGAAGGAGAATGTGCGTAGCGAAGGAAATGCATCGTGGTCAAGTGCAACTTCGGGTGAGAAAAGTTGGACAGTGTCGTTGATTGGGATGTTGGCCTTCCTATCGAGGATGATCCCGTTGAGATTTGGATGGTGTTGTATAGCTTGTGCAATGTGAGCGGAGAATGATGTCGCAGGAAGCATGAGGCGTTCCAGTTTCACGAGGGAACGAACGAGATCCACGATATGAGCATGATGAGTGGAACGGGTGAGCGCTTGATCGAACGTAATGCCTAGAGACGTTATATTGGGCATTCGGTCTCGTATATTGCTGAAGAGTGGCAAAACCTCCAAAGAATCTATGAACAAATCAACAGACTGGAGCGAAGGGCTCATGAAGAATGTTTCGAGATGTTGCGCCCTCATCGCAAGTCGTTGCACGTTCGGGAAGATGGTGGCTTCAGGACGCGTTAGCGCAATAGTGAGGATGGCTTCCGAAGTCAAGTAAAAGCGGTTTGAGTCCAAGAGCCTATGCACGCGCTGTGTGTTCATCAAAAAACGGTTCCAATCCTGGACAGTAGGCTCGATGACGAACGCCTGTGAACAGATAAACGTGGAGGATCAATCTGAGGCTCGTTTTGTGTGAAAGAAGAGACATTGTTACCAAAGCTTTGGCGCCGTACGGGTCAAGCTCCGTCGAAATTATTGTCGGCACCAGCGAGCGAAAAATGCCCGGGTGTGCAGCTCTCCAGACGGCATCAAGGGCGGTGTCTCTCCACTGGCTACATACGCGAGCATTCCGCGCATTAGAGTCCGGTGCGAGCGAAGCAAAGACACTAGCTAATATTTCTGAGATCAACAGAACACGGTGCATCCTATTCTTGAGATGAGCTCTCGATTCTGGTAATAAAGCCTTCACCATGAACTACAGTACCTGCGTAGCGGTTGGCAAGCCCACCCTCCTTTGACGTTGATGTTCGGATTACGATTTAAGTATGTGATAGTCACCTGGAGTAGCTTTACAATTTCTTCACAAACAGAGGATGAGTGTATAAACTTTTGGATAGAACCAGACAAGCTCACAGTTATTAGTGGTAAAGCTGTTGAAAGAGCTACAGAATGTCTGACGGTGCGATGCGGCGCAGATGCTGGCAGTATGAAAGAGCGAGGTCAAAGAGGGTCAAAGCGAGGCAGTGAGTTTGAACTGTAGTCTGTCGCGCACGTGCTTGTAATTAATCGATGTGGCACCGTGTGGCGATATGAACATTCAAGTGGGAGACTAACTTATAAGCAAGTGAAAACGAATGCGTACAAAATATTATGGATAAATCAAGTACCAAACTTCCAGCTCAACGACGTAGTAGTAATCATATATCATCAGCTGACCTGCACCTCCTTGTCAGCTACATCGGGCAGACGTCGATCCTCCAACAGCGCGTCGTTGTCATGACCTTTTGTCATTTCCATGCCTTTTCTATTATTTCCTGGTGGGTGCCACAGTTGGGCCACACTTTTCCGAGTTTCTGTGCCACTGTGGCCTGGGTTTGGTTGTGTTTGGTTCTGGCTAGTATATAAACCTACCTACTTCCTGTTTTGTACTCTAGTCTTGAGATCGTCAGTCTCCCCCCTATACAACCTTTTCCTTGCCCTTGGTGTGTGTTTCTGAGTGAGAGATCGCCTGCCAGCAACCCCTCTTTGTAGGATATGGTTGTTCTGGTGTGGTCGTGACAGTCGTGCTTCTGCTGCAGCTCTGAATACTGACGCCCCATCTCATCCCGACTATTGATCATCGGTGCCATGTATCTCCCAAACACCGCCCTCTCTTGCAGGACAACCTTCATCATCGCCTCTACCACCCTCCACCCGTTCTCAAACTTGGACACCTCCTCCATTGTATGAACGTCCTGTCCTAACGTGGACATCCAAGCTCTCGAGCCATACGTCCTGTGATTCTCGGTCAGGATGGGAGACACCTCGTCTTCGCTTGACCACCGGAAATTGCACAGTCCGGAAAGGGAGGTGGAGAGGTATCGAGCAATGTCGGGGTATGCAGTCGAGATAATGGTGGAAGTGATGGGGATGGGGGAGCGGCCGATACGGATATGGGCTGCGAGTGGATATGGTCCAGGCAGATAGAAGGCTGTGGGAAGAGTCGTAGCATCCAGATAAAGTCCAAGTTCGACGAGATGTTGACAATGATAGGAAAAGGGGTCGACGGCGGCGAGGGTAAGAGATGTGGCACCTGCGACGATTGGATGCGGATTTAGAGAGAGAGTCCTCAAGGTGGTGCATTTGGGCGCGAACTCAAATATTTCTTCGTCAGTCACGTCGAGGGGATACGGATGCACGATGGAGAAGTCAACGAGGCTTTGGAATTCGATGATGGGAAGGAGATGTTGAAACTTTAGGCGAGTGACATTTCGTAGGTTGGAAGGGCCGTCGTACTCCAATCGGTGAAACACGAGTGAGAGGTCTTCGAGCGAGGTACATGTCTCAGCTAAACACGCGATTAGGTTGCCGACCTCGTCAGAAGAGGGTAGGGTCATTGAGTGTATCCAAAGGTAGGAGAGAAGGTTTGATGGGAAATTTTGCTGGGTGAGGAACGAGCGAAAGTCGGGTATGGAATGTATAGACGTGGAAAGCATTCGAAGTGCAGGAAAGGCTTCGGCATCGAGCTCGTGATCTGGAACCGCCAATTCTCGAAAAGTACAATTTCTGGTATACGGTACGATGTGTGCCTGGAGATCGCACCATATGCCTTCCAGGTGCGGAAGACGCGATATTGCCTTTGCGATAGACGCATTTAGACAATATAACGGAAGGGAGAGGGTCCTCAATCGCGGGAAATGCTGTAGGAATTGACCGATCTCAACGTCGTAGGTGCGTACGCATTCCTCTTCGGATTGGATACGAATCGAGTCAAGGCCGGGCATCCTATCTTTGATATTGTTCAGAACGCTAGAAATGGTGTGTCGACCTTCAGTCGTCTCCGCTTGCTTATAGCAAAACATGAGTTCGATGCTGGTCACCGACGGCGACATGATGAGCGGCTCGAAGTACAAAGTACCCGCGAGGATATATTCGAGTTTCGGAAAAATATTCAAGGTCGTGCGAGTGGCGGCGATTTCAGCGACGGCTGAGATAGAAAGTCGATAGCGTCCTTCGTACGCTTCGTCAAAGTAGCCACGTACTCGTGCGCTGCTGCGAAGAAATCGTCGCCAATCGTCCACAGTGACGGACCGAGTGAAAGTCTACATAGAACACCCAGTTATTACGTGGTCAGATACAACTTTGAAACTTTTGTAAAGGACAAAAAACCACCCACCAGAACTGAGATGTCGGCTCCGAGTCCGATTGTGCTGGCTCTCATAGGTGCGAGCGACCGGAACACCCCAGGGTCGACCGCTTTCCACGCAGCATCGAGAGCAATGTCGGACCATTGCCTACAGACCTGTGCGTTGTTTGCGTTCGACCCTTGTCCCAGGAAGCCAAAGACGACCCTTGTCCCAGGAAGCCAAAGACATTGAGCAGAATCTCTTGAATAGCTAGCACTCGATGCATAGGCTGAGCCATTTGTTCAATCGGGGTCACGCGTGAAAAGTTCAACAGGGCTTCATGTACTTCTCTGGTGTCACGTAGATCGCGGTCAGGTTTGTAGATTTAAAGCGTTATTAATGTACAGCTGGGATGATAGTTACCATAGAATAGTCTACCTAGACCAGACTAAGCTTCAGAGCAACTTCAGAGCGAGTGTCGTGGTGAGATACTGTACTTTTTCGACCAAAGGTTCATCAAGAATTTACGTCACCCATCAGTTTCGCCCGGGTCACGGTTCAGAAGCCGTGCGTGAGCGTGACGGGACCCGTAAATGGTTCAGAAAACAACGTAGGCGCTTGCGAAAATGATTATTTTGCGCAAGCGCCTGCCGAGGTCACTGTTCTCTCACCCTGCGTTATGCGTGAGGTCACGCAGTATGTTGTTCGGTTCATCAACGCGGAGAACGCGTGACGAACCTTTGGTCGAAAAAGTACAGTAGGTCGAAAACTATCGAAAAACACGGGCTGCGCTGGATTGCGCGGCACGCCACACTTCGCGGATGCAGCCGGTCGGAGGTTAAACATGGGGAAGTGTCACCGCGCCGCGGATCGCGCTCCTCCAAGATCATTCAACAAACAACGATCATCTGAAGAAGAATTAAGACAAGGTGAGTTTCGTTTCAAACGCAACAATTATCTTGATTTACTGGATTCTCGTCCTATGTAGGTGATATGTCGGATACAACCGCCATAGTCATTGCTCTTCCTGCTCCCCCAGTTCGGGCTGCAAGCTCCCCATTCGACGAAAGCGATGCGGACACCATCCTACGCTCATCTGATTTTGTCGACTTCTCTGTGCACCGCTTGATTCTGTGCAAAGCCTCACCATTGTTCGAGGACATGCTCTCTCTACCCCAGTCACCCGGCAATGGAGACATACCAAACGGCGAGACTAGGAACGGTAAACCTGTTATCCAAATGACAGAGGACTCCCGAACACTCGACCATGTTCTTCGATTCTGCTATCCAATACCTGACCCTCCTCTTCCTTATATCGAAGACGTGAAACATGCTCTGCGAGCATCAGACAAACTTCAGCTCGAAGTCGTCCAGGTCGGAGCTTCCCGACGGTTGATCACTATGGCTGAGGACGAGCCCGAGCGCGCCTACGCCATCGCCTGGCTCTTTGAGCTGCCCGACGTCGCTATCGTTGCAGCCAGACATACCCTTCGCCACCCACTCCTCACTGGCCCTTCCATCGCAGAATTCTCTGAAATTCCAGCGAGCGCTCTATACGCTCTACTTCAGTACCAGCGTGAATGCATTGAAGAGGCCATACGACCGCTTGGTACCAGTTCTATGGCGTGGTCGACATTGGTACCCATCACTGCCATCAGGGACTCTCGTCCGTGTCCGAATCATTCATTGCGCAGTGGACACGATAGCTCTGCCACAGTGCCGCCCTGGGGCCACTCGACCATATGCGATCCATGGATCATACGGTACTTCTCCGCTGTGAGGGAAGCTCTTCAAAAGCGACCTGTTCCGGAGACACCGAAGGATATGGGTCTGTTGTTGGATGTGTTGCAAGAAGAAGCGAAGTGTCCCAGTTGTTGGAATAGTGCGCGAGTGTACGTTGAGGATGTTTCACAAATCTTGGCGGAGATTGTCCGGCGGAATACAAACCGGGTCAGTTCATCGTGTGTGTTTCTGTTGCGTTTCGATGACCTGACCTACTTGCTCTTTATGACAGGTCAAGCTGATCACTCCCTTCTCCGAGACTGCATCCTATGACGGGACATGGAGCGGAACTGGATATGCGAGAATGACAGAGATGTTTTAGTGACATCTCCTTACGCGTTCTCCTACAAGTACTTCGTTCGACTTAAGTATATCGCCATGGGACGCCTTTTTGACCGCCTCTGTATTTCTTCTACTGTTGGGCTGTTGTTTTGACTGTATTTCCCGATCCTATCAGCAAAAATGAACTGTTTCGAGACTCAGAACCTCCGTTTGCAGAGTCAACCGCCACAGTAAACAGTCGTCTACGATAAGTCTACGCCACCCAAGCCGTAAATGTAGTTCACTAGAGTTTCGGCCCTGCAGTAACGTAATGTACTCTATTACGGTTGGCGCAAACTCTGGTTTGATCGGACTCCATCCGACCTGTATAGCAAACATTATCCCATTGTTAAAGTTCTTCCTTTGGGAGGCGTCTTTCAGCGATGGTTTCTAAACGCTTTCTCGAGAAAAGTACACCTCTAGCGCGCTAAACCTGTGATATTTTCACAGCAGCTCAGTCGGGGTACGAATCACGGTGCGTATTTATGTGGCGCATCCTTTCTTTCTCTTACCTCTATCACCACTAGATCATCTCATCACCAGTATGGCAGACTCAGGATGGGGATCGGTCGACGAATGGCATACTACTGACACAACGATGACGACTTCAGCGACGACAACCAACGACACATCTAGTGCTCCACCAGAAATGCCGGAACCCTCTCCAGAGATGAAGTTGCCGAAGACACGAGGGTATCAACAGGAGATGTTGGACGAGAGTCTTAACAATAATATTGTCATTGCTTTGGACACGGGCGCTGGGAAGACACATATCGCAGTGCTGAGGATGAGGCATGAGGTTGAGAAGGAGACAACTAAGGTGTGTGGCTCACCGATACATGGCTTTCTTCCTTCTGGGCCTTTGTTGGACATCGGACAAGAACATAGACTTAGTCCTCCAAATCTGTCAGTCTTTGGACTTGGAGGGATATGTCGACGTCTCAACCGACTGTCTAGATTGCCTTCGATTGTGTGGCGCTGTGCTCTTACACCCTCTAAGAATGTGTGGCGCGAATTGACTTTGCGCTACAGGTCTGCTGGTTCCTCACTCCAACAGTCGCACTATGCTACCAACAACGTTCCGTCATCCAATCGCATCTCCATGTGCCAGTCGCCATGATATCCGGCGCGCTCGAACCAGACCAATGGAAAGACCCCAACCTCTGGTCTCGTACCCTCGCCACGCATCGCATCGTCGTCTCCACCCATGATGTCCTTCTCAATGCGCTTCGTCACGGTTATATTCATCTGGGACGGCACATCAGCCTAGTCGTTTTCGACGAGGCTCACCACGCGGCAGACAAACATCCCTACAACCGCATCATGCAAGAGTTTTATTTCGAGTTGCCGAAGGTAGATCGTGGGGATGGGAACGTACGCCCGCGGGTACTAGGGCTGACAGCGAGTCCGGTCTTTGGTGGAGATATCGAGAGAGCGTTCTTGTAAGCCGTATTTTCTTTATATACAGTTACTCCGAGATAACCATATTCTTCAGAAAACTGGAAGCGAACTTGGACTGCACCATACGTGCCCCAGTTGCAAACCGATCGGAACTCGCGACCCACGTCCATCGACCCGAATTCAAACATGTCATATACGAAGAACCGGAATACATGATGGGCTACGGCGAAGCTCCTTCAGCTAGCGTTGTCTCGCTCCAGAGTGTCGTTGAATCCCTGGACATCCGCCAAGACCCATACGTGCTCGGTCTCCAGGCCGAACTAGCACGCTTGCCTCCGGGACCCGATCGGTCACGCACTGACCAAAGACTATCGAAAACGATCAACAGGCAAGACTCGTACACGCACAAGGGGATGCGCGATTTCTTCAGGGCAGCCGATGAGATTTGTTCGGATCTGGGAGCGTGGGCGGCGGATTGGTACGTTCAGACGGTGCTGGAACAAGCCTGGGACACGATGAAGGGCCCAGTTCCGGAGTTCGCTGGCGCTTTGAATAATAGGGAGAAGCAGTACCTTATGGGTGCGTTATCGAGGGTGCAGGCCACACCGGTGTCTTACGATCCGGAGGAAATCGTACGGAGGAGCTCAGACAAGGTGAAAAAGCTGATTGAGACGCTGTTACACGAGAAGGAGGTCTTCGAGAGTTACGATGAGGAGTACCATGGACTCATTTTCGTCACCCGTCGAGACGCCGTTATAGCGCTTTCGGAGATTTTGGAGAATCATCCGGAGACAAAGGACGTATTTCGTACTGGTGCGCTGCTAGGGATGTCGGAGAATTCTGCTCGGAAGGCCTTCCTCGATATCACTCGAAACATGCTCAAGCAGTCCAACGAGGATACGCTGCGAGACTTCAAGGTCGGGGACCTGAACCTCATCGTTGCTACTGCCGTCGCCGAAGAGGGGTTGGACGTCCAGGCTTGCAATAACGTCGTTCGCTGGGACCCGCCGATGAATATGGTCAGTTGGGCGCAGAGTAGAGGTCGGGCGAGGAGACAGCGGAGCTCATTCGTGCTCATGTTTTCGACCGCCTCTGTGCATGCGAAGGATGTCCAAGGGTGGGAGTATCTGGAGCAAGAGATGGTGAGGATGTATAATATGGAGCGACAACGTCGGGAAGAGGACGAGGCTGGAGAAGAAGACGAAGAAGACGGGAACGAGGAATACGTCAAGCCCCTGTACAACGAGAAAACCGGGTTAGTCGATTCTCCCCTTTGACTTTATGTTCATCAACTGACGGTCGTTTTTGTAGGGCAAAAATCACCCTCGATTCGGCCATCACTCATCTCAATCATTTCTGTGCAATTCTTCCTGGCGGCGGCGGTCTAGGATCTCATTCTCCTATTTACGATATCAATCCGCCTGAATTCCCTTCCGAATGGCATGCCCAACCAATCGCACTCCTGCCATATGCCGGTCCTTTCGGCGCCACAGTCACTCTCCCGAAGCTCCTCGACCGTCGTTTTCGTGTCTTCTCGACTCCAGTCATCCACGGGCGAAAATCATACGCCCGCCGTCGCGTCGCATTCGAGGCGTACAAGGCTCTCCACGATGCAGGTTTATTAAACGACCACCTGCTACCTCTGATGAGTGTCCTGGAGCCCGAACTTGAGGACGAAGTGAAGAAGTTGCTATCCGAGGTCGATAAACGAGACGGAGTCACTCGAGTCACCAAGCAGCTCGATCCCTGGAACCTGGAGCCTGGACAAGAACCCGCATGCTGGTACTCGGCAGAGCTCATCGTTCACGGTTTGCCGACGCTCAGAATGTTCACCTTGACAAAAATTAGCACTCTCAGGGAGGACGAGATGCCGCTCTTGTATACCCATGATGGATCATTATTCCCCGTTCGTGTTATACCCAGCGATACCCGCATTCTTCCACTGGATTCTGACATTGTTCGAGCCCGGGAGTTCACCAAGACGTTTCTCCTTCCGCTTTACGGGAACCGCATGAACGCTGACGATGATAAATTCGCCTACCTCTTCCTGCCTTCCGACGCGTCTGCTCCAGCCTGGAAAACCCAACTCTGGGCTCAACGGCGCGCAACTTGCGAGAGCGAACCAAAGCCATATGGCTTCAATTTTCCCCTGCTCGCTCACGCAGATTGGTTTGGTAAACACTACGATTACCCACACGATATCGGCATGGTCGGCGAAATGCGCAAATACGGTCGTGCCCATCGTTTCCTGAGATGGAAAATGTCGCGGGTGACCGAAGAAGAAGCGGAGGAGCTCACTTTACGCTACGCTCCTGAGGGCGGAGAGCTGGAGATCACGTATCCTTTGATCGTAGCGAAAGCTCTACCCTCGAGGGTCAACTTCCTGGCCCCTCTCCCAGAAGACTCGAAGGGCGCCGCCGCCGCTAGCCAACGCTCCATCTTACTGCTTCCCGAATTCTCGACCGTGGCGCTCACCTCATTCGTGGAGACGCAGTATGCCCTTTGGATGCCATCTATACTCCGGTATCTCTCCATTACCATGACTGTTTGTGCCATGCGAGACGATCTCCTTTTGGGCTCACCGCGACTTTCCGCCATTCCGTTGAAACTTCTTACCACAGCCGTAACGTCCGGGGTCGCTCAGATGGGTATGAACTATCAGCGGTTGGAGACCCTCGGAGACACCGTGCTCAAGTTCGTCACCTCATTGAACCTTCTCAGCGAGTACCCGTTCTGGCACGAAGGATACCTTGCGAGGAGAAAAGACCACGCTGTATCGAACGCTCAACTTGCGAAGGCTGCGTACGAGAAGAAGCTGTTCAAATACATCATTCGTGACATGTTCGCTCCACGAAAGTGGAGGCCTACCTATATCGGCGGGGCGAAGGTCGAGCCTCCGTCCGATGCGAAGGCTGAGGACCCGGAGGACATGGCCCCGACTGTGGTCAAACGGCCGCAGAAAGGACCGTCGGAGGCAAAGAAGAAGCAGAGGGCGAAAGCTCAAGGAGAGATATCGACGAAGGTCCTGGCCGATGTTGTTGAAGCTCTCATCGGTGCGGCATATATCCATGGGAGCTTCGATCTCGCCGTCGAATGTATCAAAGTCTTCGGTCTTGGTCTTTCATGTGAATGGCTTCCCATTGCCGCCCGTATCGAACCCATGCTATCCCGCGTCATTGAACTCGAATTCTTTCCGACCCAGCTTTCCGCCGTCGAGAACATCCTTGGATATACGTTCGAGAGGAAGGCACTATTGGTGGAAGCGTTAACGCATGCGAGCTACCAAACGGACCTAGGCACGATCTCGTATGAGAGGATGGAGTTCCTCGGCGATGCCGTCCTCGACATGCTCGTCACAGATTACCTCTATCATGCTCCCGGAAAGGACTATAAGCCCGCTGAGCTTCACCTTCGGAAGACCGCAGTCGTCAATGGCCACTTCCTCGGCTTCATATGCTTACGAGCATCGACGTTCATATCGACCGAGATGCCAACGAAGGTCAACAATCCGAACAGTCGCAGACGAGGGAACGCGTTTTTGATCCAGCTAGAGCAGCAACAGGAGCGTCTATACCTTTCGAAATGCCTTCTCCATTCCAACTCGAAGGTCCTCGAGTTGCAGAGTAATGCGTTCGCGCGGTTCGAGAAGACAGATGGCGGAGAACATATCGAGCGGTCTTTACTAGAAGACCCCATATTCCCTTGGGCAGCACTCACCTGGCTCGAAGCACCCAAATTCCTCAGCGACATGGTGGAGAGTCTGATCGGAGCTATCTTCCTGGACAGCAAGGGCAACTGGGACGTTGTCCGTGACGTTCTTCGCCTGCTGGGAATCTGGGAAGTATTGGAGAGGATCGTACGAGACGATGTGGAGGTGAAGCATCCCGTGTCCAGGTTGGCGGAGTGGGCTGCGAAGCAAGAGAAAGAGACGGGTATTGAGACGGAAGTGAAGTACGTGATCGAGCAGGGAAACGGGAGGATCTCGTGTCGGGTGTTGGTCAATGACATGGAAATGGCGTCGAAGGATGAGGTATGGCGAGGGAAGATTAGTCGGGAGAATGTGAGGTTCTCTGCGGCAGAAGAGACGATTGAGGCGCTAAGACTGGATGAGTTGGAGCGGAAGCAGGTCGAGGCAGATCTTGAGGCTGAGGATGTCGCTCCGGAACCGCCTTTTGAGGACTGAAATGTCTTTTGGCTCTCTTGTGTACGCAGGAACGTCGAATTGCTTCATGTATTCTACAGGTATATATCTTCATAACGTGGATGGAATGTACATGTATTGCCGACAAATGTCCCAGCGATGTACAAATGCAACGAACCGGTTATCACCGCTATTGTAATAACCCAACCTTCTTCCAATACGCCATCCACATCTCGACGTCCTTTCTTTCCAGCTTCTTGATACCTTTCAACGTCGACGAGACCTGCACGGCCTTGTCCGTTGAAATAATCCCATCGCTAACCTCACCCATCTCCTGCTCGAAGAACTCAAGGAGCTTTATCGCAGGGTTATGTCTTGCTACTTCTTCATTCGCCCCTTGTGCTGCGGATCGGAGCTTGGACACCCACTCTTTATAGGGAATGATCGGTACGGCGAGGGCTTCGGAAGCGGTATGAGAGATAACATCCCAGGAGACTGTGTACGGGTGGACGAGATGAAGTACGGGTTCATCGCTGCCCAGCATGTCCAACAAAACAGAGGCGGCAATGTCGACTGGGACGAAGGAAACGTTCTGTGATATGTCGGTCTTGAGTAAAATACGGCACAGAAGGTAGGGATGCGTACCTCAACTCTGTGGGGTATAGCTCCGAGAACTTGCGAACCCTTCAACGTGACGGGAACCCACTCTTTCTCATTCCAACCACCGGTCTTGCTGTCACCGCAGAGTTGGCCCACGCGGACAACGTTTGGCTTGAGGCCACTTTCCTTCGCAGCTCGTAGAAGTATGCTTTCCGCCACCCATTTACTTTCGCTGTAGCCATTCGCGACGGCAACCCTTGGATCGGTGATAGGAAGCTCAGGTACGGGTGAGAATGTAGAATCTATAAAAGGGGTCAAGAAGGCAAGTTGAGGTAGGCTATTCAGGTCGACGTACGAAGGAATACCGATATCGAGCTGGTGAAGAGTATTGGTGGTGGCAATGGGCGGGGCGAACTCAGTGAAAGATCGACCAAGTGGCGTACTCCCGCAACGAGCGGTTCGAACGAAGACAGAGAGAGGTTGAAATCAACGCGCCAAGCTGCCAGGATGTCAGATTTCGAACATAAGGCCCAAGGAAGTACTTACCATTATGGATAATGCTCGTCACAGAGTCCCGCATCTGTACGTCAAGTTGCTTTAGCGAAGCTTCTACACCCCTCACGAAAGGATGGGAGCTGGCGACATACCTCACCGAACAAGTCTGCTCCCACTCCAAGATCTTTTTTGCTGAAGTCAGCTTCGAAGAGCACGACCTTGTGGCCACATAACAACTCTACATCCAGTCCCCAGCTCTCGAACGCAGCCCTCTGTCTACCCACAACACTCTGTCTACCCACAACACTGCCCGTTCCAGTCCTATTTAGCGCGTACACTCGAGTGACAGACTTCCGCTCTAACAACTGCGCCAACAGATGTGCTCCGAGGCGACCGGTGGTACCGGTGAGAAGGACGACCTCATCGATACTGGCGGCAGTTCCTTTCCCTTGTGGCGAATGGGAGGGGAAAGTGGAAGAGTAGGTTTCGAGCAGTGATTGCATAGCGGATACCTTGGCCTCGCTGATAGAATCGGGGGAGGCAGAAGCTGAAGCCAAGAAAGCGAGGATGAACGACGAGAGTGAAGTGATGGTGGGATTAGAGTATACGAAGTTGTTGGGGAGGTGAGCAGTAAGGACATTTGACGACTTTCTGAGCGCATGAATGACGGTATTGCGAATGTATGTTGCTTGTAGACTAAGCACGACAACGTAAATTAGTTAGTATGGGAAGGACGAATCGGTAAAACTTGTAAATGTTGGTGCATACCTGTCACATCCTTCAAGGAAGAAATCGACGGTGTCAGCCAGTTGCAGCTTCATGACCTTTTCCACGACCTTCCTTACGAAGTCCTTCGTGGATTCGGAATTCCATGAATCAGGAGCTGGGATATCTTCTTGGGTCGAGTTCTTTATCGTCTCATACAAAGCTTCGATCTCATCTGCGTAAGCCCTGATAACAACGTGACGACGAGCGGTCATCTTGGAAGTGAGCTCAAACGGCTTCGACGGTTTCGAAACCAGAATCATCTACGGCGAACAAGATCAGTCAACTTCGACTCCTTCAAGGAAAGGTAGGTGTAGAAGTTTGCCGACCTCCTTGAACAATCGAGAGTGCGCAGGTGCGAAGTTGTTCAGCTGTTCGACAGTCGGCCTGTACCAATGATATGTTTTAAAACCTCCAAGAATCAATTGTCAGATGTCTTACCAGATCTTGTTTCTGAAATCCGCCAACTTCGCTTCATCCGATGGGTCAAACGCGAACTCAGGCTTTGGATCAATCAAGACGCCATTTTGGAACTGGCCCCTGCCAAAGATCACAGCGGACGCCACATGGGGATCTTGCACAAATATTGACTCTACAGAAAGGGGCGAAAAAACCTCACAATTAGTCGTGAGAGTTACGTCGTAGAAATATAAACCCACCTAATGGCCCAGGATTGGTCTTGTGGCCGCCGTTGAGTAAGGCGATGTTGAGAACAGAGGACATTGAGGGAGTGATTGCGCACCTTCTCACCGGTAGACAACATAATCTGGTCATCCGCCCTTCCATAGACTCTGTACAGTGTCGGTTCGGTAGGATGCCTTTGCAGTAAATCCGAAGTCCTGTACATCGGCCTCCCGTCGCTCGATGTTGTGTTCGTAGTGTTCGGTTCGAAATATTCGGTCCTCTAAGCCGTACATCTCCCATCAGTACCAACGAAATCATTCCACGAGCGTCGGCGAGAGAAACGTTGAGATAGAAAGGAGGCGGGGAAGGTGGTGACTGGACGTACAATAACGCAGACTTCGAACAAGTCATCGCTTTCTTCTTGAGGAAGTAGCTCGTATGTAAGTTGTCGCGAGAGATGGAAATATGGCCAAGTATCTATGCTGGGCATTTCGGCAGGCATAGACGTGCTGATGCACCCTACTTCCGTGCTGCATAAGACAGCAGTAAGAAATCATGAACTCGAAAGCTCATAGAACGAGATTGTGTGGACGTACGCGCCATAAAATGGGTAAAGAGCAACGCCCATGCTTGTGACCTTGTCTCCGATGGCCTTGTCTATTGGACCTCCCGAATACAACTGCCGTAGAATAAAATAGTGTTGCATAAGTGACCATCTTACTCCGCAGTGTGTGGACGAGTGTAGGAGACCGCTCACGTACAATAGCTCGCAAATTCTTGATGACTGGATAATTTTCTGGATCGCGCATCCATGCCTTGCATGAGTAAGGAAGAAGTCAGTTGATAGCAGTATAGCCGTATGACGTCAGATTAGGACCCACTTCGACAAACGAAGGAACACAGAACAATATCTCGCTCTTCGTCCTGATGATCCCTTCGAGGTAATTCTCCGGCGTTGGCATGATTGGTGGCGAGGACGGTTTGAAACACGCCATGACCACACCAGTCACGACCTATGTTAGCCACCCGCTAAGTGAGATTTATGTTATAGGCCAAAGACAAGCAGCGCACCGTCCAGATAAAATTGACAGAACCCATCGAGTCTTAGCAAGACCGTAAATTCGAAGACAAAGCAAAAGATCTAAGAGCGGATACATACGGAAAAGCGGCGCCGTATGAACACCAAATACGGTACCACACAAATCACGTTCACCGTAAGCTGAGATATTCGGCACACGGGTCAGTCTATTTGTCAGATCTCAAGTGAGAAGATAAACTCGCCATGAGCCATAGTCCATTGCAGGAACGTTCGGTTCCTGACATAGATTGGCTTGGGAAAGGAGGTTGACCCTGTGTAGAAATGTAAATCGGGCGATTCCTACGAAACAAGAAACGATCATATGTAACATGACTTACCAGAAGAATGATAGATACAGACCGTTCTCTCCAGGTCCAATTTGGGGAACACCATTTCTTCCACCTTCGCTGCACCTGCACCTTCGTCGGAGATCTGTTCGTACTGTAACATCTGGAGCAAGTCGAGCTCGATACCGTCATCTTTCAGGATGAGTTGTGCATCGGAATAGAGGCGTTGCATGGCTGGATCAGAAGAGACAAATAGCTGCGTGACGCCTACGCTCTTGACGAGATGGGCGACGGCAATGGCGGAATTTCGAGGTGAGATAGGAAAGGGCACAAGGCCGAGGCACATGATGGAGGCCATGGTGGCCCAGTAGGTGATTGTGTCTGCAATCCCCATTAAGCGACAAAGACGAACGTCAAAAAGTTAGTAAAAATATCGATGATATACGATCAGCCCCTATTTCAGCTATATGGGCTGCAGATACCACGCCACGCGAAAGATGATAAGATGTTCCGGGCACCACGGAAGAAACGTACCAGCGTTCGCCAAAATTCCAAGCACAGGTCCTGTCTGGGTTTTCCCCTTTCCTTCAGACCCATTCTCATACCGCCCACAATGCGCCTTCACTATCTTCGCAGCTCTCTTGATGATCCTAAACGCTTCTGGGTATTTGATCGTCCTCATCTCACCTTGTGGTCCATCCGCAAACACGAACAGAGGATGGTCAGGATTATGTTCTGCATTCCATCCGAATAGTTCAGGAACGAGAATGGTGCCGTCTAATGGTGGCGGTCTGAAGGTAGGACAGTTCTGAGCTTGCGGCGTGGGGAGTTTATCGGGAATGAGGAAATGTGGTTTCGACGTCATAGCCTAATCGTAGTTCGAGTGTAGATGAACCTGCAGCTCTCGAGATGATGCTGAGGAAGATAAGTGTATGCTTGTCACGAAAGACTTATATACCTCTGTTCTAAACTCCGAGAACGATCGACCGACGTTGCGTCCACTTGGAAATCCGATGCGTGCGAGCAGGCGGCTACATTTCAGCGATATTCTATCGGAAGGGACTCAGCCCCATGCAGCCGCCTCAGCCTCGGTAGAGTTCAGGCGTCATATTACGCAGAAATCCTGCTTTTCTTGCGCCTTCATATGCGTGAGCAAGAGGGAATGTGCGATGAATATCGGCGAAGAGCCAGGACTATGGGACACGGAACTTGAGAGACCAACACGTTAGCTCTACATTCGGAGATGTTTATACTTTCGAAGCCACAACGAGCGTCCGAAACGCGTCTGGGTCGATCGAACAATGGGATACCGTGATCTACTGAAAAGAGGGATGTTGTTCACCAATGTAAGCCGTTTAAGTCCGGTCAAGTCGGCGTATAACCTTGAGAGGACGTACATGGTATGTATATTCGGCGCGATGCTTCGCGCGTCGACCCTGTCCCTCATCTTCCACGCAAAGAGGTTCACACAGATGCGTCTGAACGCAAGAACATGTGCGAGAGAAAGGCTACTACCGTCGTCTACACAGCAGAAAATCGTTCCTTACGGCACTCTCCGGGGTTGCGTACGAATAAGGCGTCTTTGTGGCGTTGTGCAAAAGCCTTGTGGCCCTCCTCTACTGTTTCTCTGATCATCGTTGCCGACCCGCGTGAGGGTACAACTGATATTTTATTTCTATTTAGTACTTTGAGGTTACTAACGGCAGGTTATTCTCTCGTCCATGAGCGCTGCTCGAGTCGGAGAATAGTGACTTCCTCTCCAAGTTCGCGAACCGGTAGGTGACCCGAACCCATTGTCTGGGAGAGGAGCATTCGCCGGCACGCATCGGGGTATCAATTGAGAGCACACCAGGTCCGATGAGATGATGATAAATACGCACTGTTTCTTGGTCAGTCTATGCCGTAGCGTGACGGCTCCGAAAAACGCTTCTGTGAGAGCAAGTCTATTCCTACTTGCGAAGTGATGAAAACCCTGCGACTCGTGATTCAGTAAAAGCCGATGGATTGGTCATGCCCAGAGCGGTGCGTTTCGGTCACCGACGTGTTATCTAGCATTACGCTCAGACGTGCGAGGGCCTGGCAGCAAGAAGGGGATGGACGGACAGGAAAAGTCGACGACAAAGCGCGTTAACGCAGGAACAGTAACGTTGATATGGGTCAATTACAAATGTACACGGAGATTGGTTTCTAGACTTCAGTGCCGCTCAAGCGGTAGAACGGGAGATGGAGATGATTATCGTCTGGGATCGTGCTCGAGTTGGATTGGGTTTCTAGACAGAGAGTGACGGAGAATGGTCCGGATCGCACCTGCAACAGAATTTCGTATATTAGAGAACGTAGGCAAGAGGAAAAAGAGTAGAACACCGACCGCCTCACGTTCAAGAATGCCTCGGTGCATGTCACTTCAACTCCACCACCGCTATACCGTCCTGACGGCAAGCACACTCACTGCAACAACGCAGATGCCTTCGGATTGTGGTTCTCCAACTCATCTGCATACTCCCAAGCCTCACACTCGCTCACAAGCTTATTCCATCTCCCTCCATGCCACGAAGCCAATTCCGTCCACTCCGGGCTTCCCTTCCTATAAATCCTCTGCACCCAGATCAACCATGCCGCCATCACGAAATCCGCGTAAGACCGCACATCGCCCATCCAAAACGTCGTCGTCGTCCCATTCCAATTCATATACCCGTCGATCTTCGCTAGCCCAGCTTTCACCACGGCCCACATCTCCTGCTTCTCTTTATCTTCCGGCATCAACTCCTCGAGTTTCTTCCCCCAAGCTTTCTCTCGCGTCTCGCGGAAATATGTCTGGGACGCGGGATTGAGCTGATTGTGGATTTTCAGCATCATCAACGGCCGAACGGGTGTGATGAATTTCTCCTTCCATACGTCCTCGAACAGGTTCAGCGCGGCCGCTCCGTTGAGAGGACCCTCCGGAAACAGTTTAGGCGTGTCGGGGTAGGTAGAGTCGAGGTATTGCGCGATGTGGCAGGATTCGGAGACATAGGTTTGGGTCTTGGGGTCGTATATGAACGGGACGGTGTACAGAGGGTCCTTCTTGCCGTCCTTCAGTTTATATTCGGAGGGAGGGGCGCCGAGGCGCTCGCAAAGCGCTTTAATGTCCGGATATTCGACCCATTCTACTTTGTAGGGTATGCGTTTGTAGTTCAGAGAGAACCTGCCCAAATGTGTGTTGAAAATCGTGGGAGAGGACTGATAAAGATGATAGGGGTTTACCAAGACTGAGAGAATGCTTACCTCGTCTTCCAAGTGTTTGGAACCCATGCCTTGTCCTTCGTGGCATTTCCAGGGATATCGTAGAGCGTGATAACGTTGTCGGGCATGTTGAAGCGCTGTGCAGAGAGTACGATGGAATCGACAGGCGCTGGACGAGATGAGGATACGGAGGAGAGAGGATTTTGATGAGCCGAGTCGAGTCATGGTCGGAATGCCGCGCTGACGTCACCTGCCCAACGGACGCAAAAATTGGCCCACATGGCGCCACATAGGGCCCCTTCGCAAAAGTCCTCTCTGGCTTCAACGCAGGGAAAGTAGATAGCACAGTGAAAGGGAATCATCGAGCATATGGCCGTTTGTGCTGGTGCGGACCAACCGTGACCGGATCGAACCAATACTGTGACCATGTCTGAGAGCCGAGCAGTACAGATATCATAGTTTGTATGAAGCTGAGAGCATCGACGGAGCCAGGGTGAATCAGTGTACCTACCATATGTGATTCTGGCAACCAGATAACCATGAAATCAGGAACGATGCGTGAGCGGATAGAGATATAGAGACGCACTGGTGAATACATGCAGTCTCGAACAAATGCAAGAGCGGCACAGACAAACAGAGAGTGGCATATCGGCATGGATAGTTTCCAGTAGACACGACTAAGATATCCTGTAGCATGTCTTCCGACGTACCCCGCGAACAACTTATCCGTGGAGGTCGTGCAGCTCGGCATACCCTCACGGCAAGCAGAGAAAACAGAAGTCGGACGGGCCAAGTCCGTCGCAATTTGAGCACAAAGACCATACGTGCCCGAGTCTACGCGAGTTGAACCATCGTGCCGACAACCAATTCCTGAGGACGGTATGCAAAAGAGACGGCCGAGCAGAGAGACAAGCACAGGCAGGCGATAGAGGAGACGGAGACGGTGGACAAGAGAAAGAAAGGGAAGCCCGGTCTTCAGGCAGGATTCGGCTGTGACAGCACACGTGGCGGGCCGGCGGCTGGTTAGATTTGTGTCGATGTGGCGCCCGTGCGTGGCGAACAAGACAAGCGGCAAGTATTGAGCAATCAAGGAAGACCCAGAGCTAACGGTAATTTCCCGGGGGAAGCATACACGAAGGTGGAAAGCGACCTATATGAGACGAACGATAGCGATTTCCGGCCTGAGAGTAGGGCCCGAAGAGCGGCAAAGTCGTGCCAGAAGTGTTTCTAGAAGACTCTTTCAGCCCCATATCCTCGTCTCCATTCAGAGAAGAGCCTGAGTTGCTGAACGGACTGGAGGAACACTCGAACGGAATGCGAAGAAACCGAGACATAGTGGGGAGAGTGACCCAAGGGTGACATCGACGGAAACGAGCGGAAACGGTTGATGGGTCCATTTTAAATGATGGATATATAGGAAAGAGGAATACATGGGCCTTCGGTTTCAGGATGGAAATCAACATGAGTCTGAAATGAAAGAGGAGAATCGTCGGATCGCGGCGTTGACGGCATAGGTCAATATAATTGATCCCGCGGCAGGCCGCCTTCTCTTAGAACGACTCCTGGCGATATATACTTGTATTTTCCGTGAGCGATGTATCTGGCTGTATCAAAGGATGTGAACTCACGATTAAGCTGTCCGCGATGATATTGAGCCAATAACATACCCATTTGACCTGGCAGCAGTATAAAAGGTCCTGCACGACAATGCTACACATCACCACAAAACGCCGTCGTGTCCTCTCTGGTTTATTTAAGACGGTATTCCCAACATATTCACACTTTGCGTGTTTTTCTCTGGCGAAGCTAAGATGAACACGATATGAGCCTGTTCAAGCTATCAAGTTGCAATGAAAAAAGCAATAAGCAAAAACCTTCGATCAAAGGGCATACTGCATCTGACTGGTCATGCGCATATCGACGGCCAGCTCCCTCTCATAATCCACGGCTATAATCTCCTTCACCGCCACCTTCCACGATTCCGCCGCCTCCTTCCCCTCCTGACTCATCATCGGGGCGTACAACGCCTTGATATATTCCCAATGCTCCGGATACCAACCCGAGTGCTCCCAGTCGATGATCCCTGTCACGACATCCCCTTTGACCATGATGTTTCGAGGTGCAAGATCGCCGTGCGTGAACACGATGCGATGGCTATCAACCATCTGCGCACGAATTCCAGGAAGCTGAGTCTCGTCCATGAAAGGCTCCGCGGCACGGATAAGGTGATCATTGAAGGCACTTTCGTCAGGAAAAGGGCCGAACGGCAATGATCTCACTCGCCCGTCCTTGCACACCGAATTGTTGAGCCCGCAGACCGCGCCACCGTGAGGAGAGGAAAGGGTGCGCAACTCCGAGATAAAGTGGTGCAGTTGTCGGACTATGTTGGCCCTTTGTTTACTGTCCAGATGAGCCCAGACGAGGTCAAGAGGATCTCCTGGTACGCGGCGCATGAGAAAGTACGCTCTGGAATTCTGCGCAGCTGCAATAACTCGCGGGACGGGAATCGAAGTTTGTCGTCTGATGAACCGCACAACATCGCCCTCGTTTACCCCGCGGGCCGGACTGCCTTTGAGAACGAAGCCTCCAGGCAGAAACTTGACCGTCGACGGGTACTTTTTCTCCCAATGTTTCCTATATGCAGAGGAAATACCATCGATGGCTTCGAGAGTTGCAGCAAGGACGCCCATGGATGAAGATGATTCAATCTGTGAATGCCCTGTGAGCTGCTGCCAAGAGTGAGACTACGAAGGATATCTTGCCAGACACGCGAGAAGAGAGCCAGATAGGGCACGTTATACTTGAGGACTTCGCGATGATCTATGATAGCCCCGTACTGGCCACGGGAATGGGAGGAGTGGTGAGTGTGAATAGAGAGCAACGTTTGAATGTGACACGCGACCATGGAACGACTGCACGGGCGCTTCCGGACCATTTCGCGCCACAGTGGCGCACTAGTGCTCTCAGCTCTGTTCATCCCGGTATCCTTCTATATTTCCACTCTATTGAGCAATTTCTCCATGTTACGGCTAGAATCTCGTCAAAAGGAGCGCGAAGAGCGGAAATAGATATCGACAAATATTCACGACGAGCCATGGTGAGAACACAGCATTGAAAAATCAAAATCCTTGATTGACCGAGCTCTACAGTACATAGCGTTTTGAAGACGAGCGCGCGATGGAGAGAGATGCATCTTGTCCTGACGCCAGAATATACTCACTGCAACATCGCAGATGCCTTGGGGTTATGATTCTCCAACTCATCCGCATACTCCCAGTTCTCGAACTCGCTCACAAGCTTATTCCATCTCCCACCGTGCCACGCTGCCAATTCCGTCCACTCTGGGCTTCCCTTCCTCCAAATCCTTTGCACCCAGACCAACCATGCCGCCATCACGAAATCCGCGTACGACCTCACATCGCCCCTCCAAAACGTTGTTGCCGTTCCATTCCAGTTCATATAGCCATCGATCTTTCCTAGCCCAGCTTTCACCGCAGCCCACATCTCCTTCTGCCTCTCCTTATCCTCTGGCATTAAGTCCTCGAGTTTCTTCCCGAGGTAGGCCTCACGTGTTTCACGAAAGAATGGTTGGGACGCAGGATTGAGCTGGTTATGGACTTTCAGCATCATCAGCGGCCGGATGGGGGTGAGGAATTTCTCCATCCAGACGTCCTCAAACAGGTTCAGCGCAGCCGCGCCGTTGAGAGGACCCTCTGGAAACAGTTTGGGCGTATCGGGATATGTCGATTCGAGGTATTGTGCGATGTGAAAGGATTCTGATACATATGTCTGGGTCTTGGGATCGTAGATGAACGGAACGGTGTACAGAGGCTCGTTTTTGCCGTTCTTCAGCTGAAATTCGGAGGGAGGGACGCCAAGGCGCTCGCAAGTCGATTTAATGTCCGGGTATTCGACCCATTCTACTTTGTATGGTATACGTTTGCTGTTCAGAGCGTATCTGATGAAAAGTTAGAAATATTGCGGTGGAGGATTGACAAGTGGGCATGGCACGATAACGGACGCTCACCTGGTCTTCCAAACGTTTGGAGACCAAGCCTTGTCCTTTGTGGCATTTCCGGGGATATCGTAAAGTGTGATAACGCTGTTGGACATGTTAACGTGCTTTGTTTGGAGTACAGTCGAGTCGACAGGAGCTGAAGGAGATGAGAGGAATGGAGACGCAGAAGGGTTTTCGACGGACTGTGGCGAGGGGAGCGTGCGATTGTCGGAATGCCGCAGTCGTGACATCACCCAACCCAGATTTAGGGGCAGCAGGCACTACCGCCACAGTGGCCCTTGTGCGTGAACTCGTGCGACGTCGCAAGCTTTAGAGGCACAGGCTGACGGGACACGATCAATGCGCTTCCTATAGCATTGCAGACAACATGAGCATGAAGACATTTCGAGTAGAGACAACATATGCCTTTTACCATTGGCAAACCGCACGGAATATGAAGATTTTGCTGCATATCCAGTGGGATACAGCGAATAGCGTTATGGAGGAAAGAAAGAAGGTCCAGATAAAGAGGTTACTGTATGTTTGACGCCATGATTGGGATAACCTGTGTTCCTTTTTCGAAGGAAAGTTACCCAGGTATAGGCGTTGGCGAAGATAATTCGCGGATTGTTGATGTATGTGACGATCATGCAGAAAATATCTCAGTGTTGAGTTTATCTTGGTCTGCCAAAATCTCGTCGGCTATAATCTATTCAATTGCAAAAAATCAGCCACTATGTGCAATGGGATGAAGAATGGGGTAATGCGGGGTGAAGAGGGGAAGTTACTTGGCAGGCTTTACTACGGTCGTGCACATAAGGCTCACCGGCGATGACCCATCAACCTAGCCTGATAGCAGCAACCCAAGTCTCGTAGCAGGGACCATATCATCAGACACATCGGCGTTTTGTAGCGAAACTTTCCAAGGAAATGCCTCCATCGTCAGGTTGAGTTGGGGCAGGTCGCGGTCAAATACAGAAGCGTGTGCATTTCACATGGCATTTGGTGTCCCGCCGGATTCCGCCGAGGCTCTCACCTATTTTGACGCGTCTTCTCAGAGCACAATTGGTGCACCCTTCGGGCCAACTGGCATTTATTCTTCCGAGTCGTCCTGCTTCAGGTATGCGCTAAGAATGAAAATGACAATACTTACGTTGCTGGTAAATGAGTAACCAAGCAGAAGTTGGGTCACGCTTTTGGCGATCAATGAATGAGCAGGTGGCGCACAGCGTGGCAAGCTTGTGGCAAGCAGTGTCGAGCATCACGATCACACAACGAACGGTACGAGCCAGAGACGTATTCTTTGGGGAGCATGGCAGGCACTCAATGGTAGAGGAAGAAATTGTTTTCATCACCTGAGCTCAGATGACTCTCAAATATATAACGTTTACAAACCGAGCGCAACAGATAATAAAAAGAACAACGGAACCATACCGCCTTTGCTGTCACCAGTACCTCTCCTTATATCTCGCTAATCCAGAGCCTATTGCTGGTCGGCAGGCAAGGCGCTATAGGCAGGGCAGAGCGCTTCCCAAGCTGCAGAAGGTTGGACGTCATCGCGGATATCGTCGAGGCCAGATGCCATGACCGTGGCAAGACCAGCCTGCATGTGCCAGAAAATGTGACAGTGGAAGAACCAAGGGCCTGATGGGACGAAGATGTAGGCCATGGTGAGAAGCGGTAGAAGGCGAAATATGGTAGTGTTGACATACCAGGGTTGTCAGTAGTGAAGCGAACGGTGGTTCCCGCGGCACCGACACCGGAGACATCACGCTTGATGGGGTTCACGGTGTTCACAATGTCGGAAGAGTTGGATTTGACGACCCAGAAGTTGTTCTGGTGAGAAAAACGGGTGGTTAGTCTATGCTTTCGGATCTCGGTCAAAAGAGAACAATACATACACCGTGCAAGTGGAAGGCTAGGTCATGAAGCCGAAGTTAGCTATCGGAAGGGTAGTGTATATCGCAAGAGAAAGAAGCTTACGATGAGCCTCGTCGTCGTCGCTGCATGGCGTCGAAGTCAGATATACTCATGCTATAACTGTTCGGAAGCTGGTACTTACTTGGGAGGGAAGTCGACCTGGACAGTAACGTTCGGCGGTAAAACGAAAGTATTCTCGGTGATGTTGAAGTCAGCGCTGCTGTTAGCGCCGTTCAAGATCTTCACCAAGGTCGGCGTGTCTGGAGGGAGATAAGAGACGTTGTTGACGTTCCACTGCGCTTTTCCAGTCGTCTAACACGCCGGAAGCCACGCGCGCCTCAGCAATGCAAAAATGGAATAAGGCGGAGAAAATACGCACGACAACGAGGTTGAGGGTGATGTTGATATCAGGAGCAGGAGGCTGTGACCTGCAGTTAGTAATTTCGTCGCTTAGAACCGAATAACTGGACAGACATACAGGGTCGGCGACCAAGGGCTAGAAAAACAGAGTAAGCGGTAGTTTCACGATTTCATTCCATTCAGAACGGGCTACTCACATGAAGATTGGCCTCAACAAGAGGGTTAACACCATTGGCTGCACCAACGGAGCCAACTGGATCCACAGCGGGTGCACCCTCGTAGCGCAAGATGGCCCCGGAATTTGTTCCATTTTCTGTCAAGACATCGCTGTAAGCAGGCGAGTCATTGGAGGTAAATAGGGGACCCACGGAGGGGGTTGTTCGCGGGATCTCCACCGACGAATCTGAAGAGGGAATAATAAAGTTGTTAAATATGAACTCGAGAGTATGAGAGGGTGCATACGGAGCGTTGATCCAGTAGTTGCCAACGGGCTGGTCAGCAGTCAACTATATCACGGTCATTAGCTTGTTAGCTGGTTGAAATAGGAGAAGTCTCGACTGACGACAACAGAGTAACGCTGGCCGGCGAGCATCTCCAATTCGTCGACAACGAGGGGCTGGGTAGCCACACCGTCCGTCTCGATGATCTTCAGAAATGGAAAACAAGAGATGAGATCCACTCTTCATCACTTCAACTCAGAGCCACTCACAGTAACGTTGTGGCTCTCGAACGACATGGTGAAGACGTTTCGAGCAGACTGGTTGATCAGCCTGAAACGGTAGCGCTTGCCAGCCGTGACGTTAACGACGGACCACGGGACCTCAGGTCCACCAATGTAACGGCCGACACCGTTGGTTGTACCAGAGTCGGAGACCCTGAATGTGTGGACACCCGTATGAGTTGATGCAAGGGTTGAAGTAAGCCATTATCGACTTACGGGACGATACCGGTGGCGACGTAGTGAGCGAGCAAGGAAGTACTGGTGTTGTGCCACCAGTCACCAATTTGAATGATCTATGTGAGAGGATGGTGATTAGAATAAAGACGCTGATTTCAATCTCTAGCGGGACGTACGGTGGACTCGTCGTCAACATCATACATATCGGCCAATGGGTCGTCGGGATCTGGAAGTATGTTAGCGAAAATGAAAGAAGAGGATAAAGTGGCCACGCACCATAAATGATCAAAGGCCCACGGAGGCCATCGACGTACTGGACGCTCAGTTGACTGAAGAGCCAGACAATGTCAGCAATGCCGAACGATGGTATCCCAACAGATTACTCACCTGTGATACCAAAACGTGCCGCTTTGGGTGGGAAGTAAAGGCAAAGAATATGTGAAGCTTGAGTTGGGAGCGATTGGGCAAGTGGTGACAAAGGGGGTGCCTTCTTGCCACGCATTGGAGGTATCGACCATGACACCGTCAAAGTCCTAAATACACGCACTCAGAGACCATTACCGTGACTTCCATTACGTTGACATACCATGGAGGTGCTGAGACGCATGCTGCTGTCCTCCTAAACGGTGCACGGCAATTTAAGGCGGGCGCATGTGTCAGTTGGAGGGTCGACGCACCAGTTTGTCGTTGACGGTGACCATGAGCAAGTCTCCCTTGGTGGCGGTGATCAAAGGCCCGGGATAACTGAAAGCCTATTAAATCGAGACGAGACCCTCCAGTCGACAGTCACTCACGTTCCATTGGCCGTGATAACACCTTTGAGCACTTGTTAGCATAAGGACGTCAACGTATATATGCCAGGTACTCACTTCGCATGAAACCATCGGGGGCAAGCTGAGTGTTGACAATGTCGAGTGTAACCGCAGTGACGTTCGCCGCAGCTGGTGATCTCGGTTGTACGACAACACCAGCCGCAGAGTGCGACAGGAGCAAGGCAGAAACCACCGAAAGGAGGAGAGTAGAATGCATGGTCGAGCACTCGATACCGTTCTCAAGTCGTCAGAGGTTTCCCTTTTATCACGTCCACGCCCTTCATTCACTGCTTGTGAACGTCCACCAAATAGCACTGAATTGCTTCATGATTCGTGGCGGAACCGCAACAACGGAGACTGCGTGCGTGAGTATACCGTGAATCAGAAACCAAAGGAGGTTTGACGATAAAACGAGGGAGGCCATCCTGCACTAGACTTTGCGAGGGAGAGCGAAAAAGTGATTGAATGTTCCGCACACACGCATACATTACGAAACGTGTGCCAGAGGGACTTTCGTGGATAAGAAGCTCTTCGGAACGGTAAAGAATCACAAAAGTGGATACCAGCTCTGTTGGATCTAAAAGTAGAGCATCCTTCAAGCAATAGGTGCATCATCTGTCTCTACCGCGGATAATCGGATGGTCACGATGAATGACGTTGGTCATAGTGATATGACCAGAGAGTCAAAAAAAAGACGCAGCTCGAGGAGTATATACGGAAAAGGGCTTTACACGGCGTTACCGTTTGGAAAAGCCCAGTAACGCACGAAGCAGAAACATACCTTACCTTACCTACCCTCGCTTCAGTGGAATCTATTCTTATCCCAAAAGACCGTTGTAAGATCAACCTACAAACATCTGAGTTTGGATTGAGATCAGATCAGTTCTGACTCGATACACTCCCCGCCCTCGGTGAATTGCCAAAAGGCTTGGGTTGGGCTTGGTAGAAAGGCTAGACGATGTCGAGGAGGCACATCCACCGACCTGGCTTGGCGATACGTGACAGTGTCACAACAGCCTCGCTGGCACCATGAACATCCCACGACGAAGGTCGCCTGCCAGCCTGTTCAAATAATACGACGAACAGGGCAAACTATTTCGAAGAAGTTCGCCATCAGGTCGAAGAACTTCTGCTGCGATCGACTGGACTCGGAAAGAATTGCTCTCTACCTCCCACAAGGTAACATGAAGCGCACTTTATTTGGGTGATATTGTTCCCATCCCTCCTCGTCGCGGCCATACTGAGTTTGTGTACGCGAAACATTCACAGAGATGTGAGAAGCCGAGGAGGCGACGATTCAAAATGTATAGGAAGGAACCGAGAGCATGCTTATACTGTACCATGATAGTTACAGCTTGAGTATGTGGTAGCGAAGAGATATTACGGAACTGCCAGCGGGGGATTATGTTGAAGTTCATGGGAAAGCTTGGGGAAAGCCACAAAAAGGCAGCACCCAGCCACGGTTGCCTCCCGGCTCGTCCCGAAACAAAACTCCGCGGGTCCGTGCGTCGTGTGCTGACTTGGCACCGTCGCCACGGTGAGACTACGATGAGCGGAAATGGCAAGACGACAAGGCTTGTTTGTATTCCTGTGAGTCTTGGATTCCAATTGACGAAGCAAGGCTATATAGACCTTACTCCAAGGAATCACTTGCGTGTGGGACATCGTCCGACATATTTGATCGTCTTGCAAGATCTGGCGTCATCAGTCGACCAACGTTCGGACCGTGTATGGTAACACAAGAGGTTGAAGGGACAGTACCGGCCTTCTCTTCCAACCAAGGTTCTTTATATCTTCGTAGAATTACTGTCGCCTTTTATGCCTTTAAACCCTGCAGAGCCTCGAGGTTTACCTGAAGGGCTTCTCGACCAACACTACAGCGCTCTCGCCTTCTGTCTTCATCTCTGCTTGGTCCAACGACTTCAGTATCCAAAGGCCACTCGTCTGGTTTGATCCGCTCCTCCGAGCTCATACGATCCTCTCATACCTCGGGCTCGGGTATCCCTCCGCTCTCACTCTCTATGACAGGCCCATGGTTCTGGTTGCGTTACCCTCTAGCCCGGGATCCCAGCAGTATATTGCCCTTCATCGACGTACCCAGGCCTCATTCGAATAGGAAAAGACCCCGTTTAATTTTCTGGCCAACAATATCTTGCTTCAGTCTACTATCTCTTCGAGGCATGTCGCGTACCATTCATACCATGGGAGCCATCTCTTTTCGTCGTCATCCACTGCTCCACTTATTCGTTCCCGTTTCGCCCACACATCCGTCATCAATCGACGCTGGACCCTGTGCAACACAGATGATCTCCTCCTCTCTCTCGATTTGACGGTAGACATTCAGAGACATGTCCAAATTCTGCACTCGGGTACACACAGCAGTGTGGGGTATAGTTCGCGACCTATGCGGATCATCCCGTGGTGAAGGTATGGATCTTCTTCATCGAGAACTTTTTTACCATCGCTGCATTCTTCAACTCCACATTCATCGGAATGGGCGTGTTTCCGTCATACCGCGCCTTGTTTTAGAGACGTTCCAGGCAGAGTTGCCGAGCTGCAGAGGCTATGCTGCCGTCTCTTGTATCACCAGACGCCGAGCTGGGTGGCTCGGAAAAACTATCATAGCGTTGCAGGAGAGGATATAAAGGTATGAACTTGACGCTTGGTATGACCTTCTGTTGTCTTTGTGGCTTGTGCTTCAATTAAACGATCTTTGTCCGTTCACTTCAGTGAGCTTGCTTTTCTCCTGCCTTTTCACTCGTGATCATGAGGATTTGATGCGTTGTTGAACCTAGTGAAACGGTTGCAGCTCAAGATCGGCTCGAATTCCAATATGACCCAATCTAAGCCCGCCAATGGAAGTGTCGGTAGCACGGTACGTCGCACACTCATCCGACCATCGCGCGCATATTACTCTACCCATCGGCCCTTCCTCATACAATATTTATTATCGTCACGCATATGCGTTACACCATTACCGTCGCCCAGAAATCGGACAAAAGCTCCATCAATACAACACAAGCGTCCTCCACTTCTTCGTTACCGAAGTCGGTAGACACCGCACCATCGACACAATCGAGTCCGATCTGGCTGAACCTCAATACTGGGAAGGTGAACCATCACAATGAATTATCTACACCTGGTCTCGGGCCTAACATGATTTCCTTCAGCCACCAGCAGCGTACGCCCAGATGATGGACAATGATAACTCATCCTGGGGGAAGCCTAAGTTGCATTGACTGTACGACGCCATCGTCGACAGCTTGCAGGTCCCATAGACGGAGACATCTGGCTTCTTTCCTCTACCTACAATTTCCAGGAGGCTCGTCTTCGGCCTTTCAAGATTTGCTGACCGATATCCACCCCATCCATACTATATACCAGTTCGTCCATCTCACACTCTTACACACAATTAAAAACTATGATCCGCCTCCGTCGTATCATATCCGCGCAGTCCGATACCTGATCGATGTCCTCCTTGATGTTCCTTTGAACCTCTTGTTTTGACGCGCTGTGAAACATATCCTTTTGATTTTACATGGCTACAGACAATCTATAAGATGGTACTCTAGCGATCAGCGTCCCACTACGACGTACTGAGATATCCTCAGTCAGTACACTCCAAGCTCCACCGTGCTCAGGGGCTCAGCTCGCGAACGTGTGCACTACTCCTATTGCACTGTACTATTCAAGGCCTTGAAACACTCCGCTAAGTCTTGGGCATTGACTGACTGCCTTTCATCAGTCTATCATGCTGCGGTCGCGGGTCCAGTTCTACTGACGAGCGAGGCCATACAATGGAGCCCCATTGCGGCGCTGGACTTGATCTTGTGGATAGATGTTGGAGTGCGGCGGCCATAGTGTATCTTTCGCCGTCTTGTCTCATAGAAGGCTCGTCCGCAGTGGGATAGTTACACCAATACACTTTGATTATCCTCTTGGCAAGAGTGTAGCAAAAATAAGTGGATCTGAAGATGCTCGACTGAAAAGGCCTGTGATTGTGGCGTGAGGTCTGCTTGGCGTCGATTTGACTAAGGAATCAGGATGTGACCACACATTCTTTATTATGCGGCATTTGTGTCCAGAGAAAAATAAAGATAAACATTCAGGAGGTTTACTAAAGTATTTTTGATTGCAGAGACACGAAGCAAGATCATTGGGAAAAGCTCGGGCCAAGAGCAGCAGTTGGACGGCGTTGGGTCAATGCAAAGTTGCAAACAGTTGAAAGTTCGTCAGTGAAGCCTAACCAGAAGTTTCTAGCAAGAAGGATTTTACTTATGAAGCATGTTTTATCGCGTACGACGCACTGTTAGCGTACTTAGTCTGCGAAGAGCAACAGGCTGGTACCATTGCGCGGGTCGTGGTTCGAACTTCAAAGCGTAGATTGTAGCTCCGAAGCCAGCCCGCCGGGCTGGACCGTCGAGTCTGAGGCGTATCTATTTTTATCGTAGCGCCATGACGCATGTTTGAAACCGCTGGTGCATATCGCTGTCCCTGACCCCACGCGTGTTTTCGCACACAATAATGTTTCTAACATCTTTTAAGTGTCGCACCTTTGCTCCTGCCTATAACCTCTGCAGCTGCCTTCAGTAACCCTGGATTTTATTTGAAACCACGCACCTGATATGCCTCGTAACGCACACTTCACACCAGATCACGCTCCCCTCACCCATCACAAATCCTTGGAGGCGGAAGAAAATAGGACTACAGGGCCGTTGTTCTTTCTCAACCCTACAAGAGCTCGCTTTTGTCATACAGACATCACACCGGCTCCCACTGGTTTCAATGACAAGAAGACTCCGGCAAGGTATACTCAACCTCAAAACGTCGCTTTCGAATGGACCTCTCGAAACAACAGAAAGGGTCGCCACGCCTTGCGTGTTGAGGACTCAGCCTCGCCAACCACCCCATCAGGTTTTGTAGCGCCAACTTCGACGTCGAAGCCCCTCCCAATTCTACGCAATATCTGGGGTATGTTTGTGGAATATCCGTATTGGGACGTCAGCTGGCTGGTCGCTTGGTGGTTTACGTGGGGGAGTATCGTGTGGGTCATCAATGCGTTCTTTGTCTGGTTACCCCTTGTACGACCAGAAATGGAGTTTTCGACTGAGATAGCTATTGGAGGAGGTGCGTACTCAGTTCCTTGACTCTTCTACCGGATCGGTTCGGATGGTGCTTTTCGATCAGCGGTCGAAGGGAGGTGATCGATGATCTGCGCACTCAGCATTGCTTCGTGTGGTTCAACTACTCTACCCGAGCATCTGGCGTCACATCAAGGAGGTTTGCGGTCGTGATTTTCATTCTGTCCAATATGGGCTATTCGTCTACCCGTTTACGGTAGTAGCAATGTCTGGTTGGGAAGGGACATCATGTGAAAGTCGAGTGTGGCGTCACGACGCCACACCAAATTAAATTCCGTAGCATCTTGGCTCTATACATTTTGAAGGCAGTCTTGCTGATTTATTTTGGCTCATTAGGCGTGACCGCCTTTATTGGTGCCTCGATGTTCGAGATCGGGAGCGTACTTCTCATGATCGAAGCCTTCAACGAAAATCGAGCCGGCTGCTTTGGTTGGCAATTCGAGCGCCTCTTCCTCAGCGGGTCGAATGGCAGCAAACAAGATTTGGATATCGAGGAAGGCAAGGCTATCCGGCTTAAACCTGACACAGACCACTGTACACACCATCATCCAAACAGGAAGAACTTGGTCGGCAAGGGTACGACGCCCGCTTCGTTCTTTCCTCCCCTTCCACCAAAAAATGTACTGATATCAGATCCATACCTTCAGGACGAACAGAGAAGGCAGCTATTCAGGCGGACTCAGAGACGATGGACGAGAATTCGGTATCTGGGAGTACAGACAGGAGCTGGGTGTGGTTTCCTACCATGAACGAGCTTCGTACACACTACCTCCGAGAAATAGGCTTCCTCGCCTGTTTCTCGCAATTCATTGGGTATGTCTCACCTCTTCTCGATTCTCGATTCTACCCTACCAGCGCCTTCTCGCTCCTCGGCTAAATGTCTACATTACACCGTTTCACTCCAGAGCCTCGATTTTCTGGATTGCAGGCCTCACAGGCCTTCCGAACATAATCCCCAAAGGCGACCAGCCTCTGCTCGACGGAATATACTGGGCCCCTCAGGTCGTAGGGGGTACAGGGTTCATAATCTCCGGATTCCTATTCATGTTGGAGACGCAAAAGACGTGGTGGAAGCCGGCGTGGGGTGTGCTTGGGTGGTGGATCGGGTTTTGGAATCTCATTGGGGCATTTGGATTCACCGTGAGTTTTATTCATTCCCTCATCTCCCTAGGATACTAAAGTGTCGTTGGGTCTAGATCTGCGGTGCGTTTGGATACTCAACGAATAGTGGAATCGAGTTCGAGTCAGCGCTGGCGACATTTTGGGGATCATGGTGCGTTTCTTTTACGCCCCTTCTCCTTGGCCTCTTCGCTAGTAAGTGCTTCGTACTCACACTCATTTCGCTTTGGTAAAGGGCTTTCTTGATCGCGAGCGTGCTCCAGTACTACGAGAGTCTAGAAAAACACCCAGTGACGACAATCAAACCTAGAGCCAATTGATTATAATGTAATGTCTTGACATGTATCTCCTTGAATTTAGTCAATCATATGCCTTGAATTGACCTTGCTCGGTTTGAGCGATCTACTCGAGTTATACCAGCGTTCGACGACTAATCATACCCATGCTACACTGACCGTCAGTGCAGTCAACGTGGCTACGTCGCGAATACGGACATACCAAGAAAGGTTGCTTTTCCGTATCTACTCAACGTCATTGGTGACCTACAATGACCCAAGGTGAACCGTGAGCCTGAGTAGGATGGATAGGGAGGATTTCAAGACAGCTCACCTTCCTAACATGCTCGCTGTCTTTGTTCTCCTGTGATGCATGGTACTTCTTCCGCAACTTCGTCAACGCCTCGGACAGTCTGCTCGCCTCGAGCCTCTCTGCAAGGATGAGGCTTGTCATACCCTGGATACACTTCCACGCTTGCTCGTACTCCTCCACCTTCGGATAATCCGCAATCTCGCTTAGCCACGTAGACGGTCCATCGACGTCAGGATAAAACTCGGTGGACATATTAAGCCAGTCCCACTCCGAGCACGGAACTAGGAATGTAGATAAGAATCGCGCGACCTTGGGATAGAACGTGGTGGGCGCGTTTGAGTCGAGGGGTAATGGAGATCGACCAACGCAGATGTCCAACACATCATGAGGTCTGATGTTGACCGGTTCGGCGGGAACGGGCTGGGTGGCGTCGACGTAGAGGCCGATGAACCATAAGGAAGGACAATGTGTTACAAAAGAGATGAATGCGGAGAGCGATAGCGATGTTTTTGATGGGATAAGGGGTTGAGGGTTTAGCGAGAGTCGGGTCAGATGAGGCCATCTGGAAGCCAGCTCGGCAGCTTGTTGATCGTTCATCTCGATAGGGTAAGGATGCGTTATTTCGAACTGTGCGAGTTTTTCAAAGCGTAGAAGGGGAAGGAAATCACGGTACATGAGTACGGGGAGGCCGTTGAAAGCCTCCTCGTCATCTGCATCATAGTTGAGCTGAAAAAAATCGAGGGTGAGGGTATGGAGCGAGGTGCATGATTCGGAAAGCATGTCGAGGAAGTCCTTGACGTATTTTGGCTGCGGGTGAGATGCGATATGCAGCCACAATTCTTCCAGGCGATGTGATGGTAAGACTGTAGGTGTCAAGAATGCGGATGCGTTGCTGATGGTATCAGTGGAGAACGCAAGAATCTCGAGTGAAGGAAAGGCATTTGGATCCAACGAAGGGGCTGAAAAAGGGAATTGTTCCTCTCCGTCAGAGACCACTCGAAGCAGGGAGAGATTTTGAGTTATGGCTTTAAGGCTTTTGTGATGCTGCAACTCTCTCGCCAAGTTGGTCGAAAAATATCCAAGTGGGAGATTTATATCCTCTAGTTGTTGAAGGGAGCGGAGAAGCTCGACCAGGTCTGTCTCATGGCGAGGTAATGAGCAGTAACTTTTGATGCGGAGTGACTTCACATGCGAGGCCCTATCTCTAACGCTTCGCACCAGCCTGGGGAACGAGGTGGATGCGATGATCAGATGAAGGTGAACCAATGTTTCGCTCATGAAAAGCGCATCCTGGTCTCGACCTGTGATGAAGAGTGACCGAAGGTTCTGGAAGATGGCCTGGGTGGGACGAGTGATCGCGATGTCAAATGCGGCGTGGCGGGAGAGTATATAAGAGGATTCCGGTGGGAAGTTGGTGAAACTTCGTACTCTTCGCGAATTCGGAAGAAATCGTGCCCATTGTTCCGCGGTGGGCTCTGTGATAAACGACTAAGTTACAGACAATCGGTCAAATCGTGTGATCATCAAAAGTGGCAACATTCGTACCAAAGTTTGGACGGTGTCGGAAGGATCGCTCCTGGCCACCCGCATAGGGGCCAAGGAGCTAAACACATCGGGTTCGGCAACTTTCCAGGTCTCGTCGAGTGCAGGATCTGTCCATTGCCTACAAACTCGTGCATTGCGGGCATTAGAGCCAGGCTCTAGGCACTGGAAGATGCCCATTAGGATCTCAGGTATCGAAAGGCCGCGATGCATCGTAAGTCTACGAAAGTTCGGGCATTGTTCGCGTGAAGGAGTTAGAAGGTGCACGAAAAATCGACGACGATTAGGGAGGCGAACCTTCAAGGCAGTGGAAAGGTTACTAGGTGATTTTGGTCTAACACCGTCGCGCAGTTACGCATGGATCACCCTGTCATTAACAATTCCACAGTCAGCATTGAGACTGCATGAGACACTCGTGAGCTATTGAACGGTGCTAACATCAAAAGTTGTCTAGGTGGAGTAACGCGGAGGCATGATGCACCATGCCAAACGCCACATATTATGCCTTTTCTTACATTTGAACTCCGCACTATACTCCGACTTATAAATTGCCAGGGTTACTTATTCAGCAGAACGCTGGGAGGACTATGGCAGCGATAAAAAGCCCACCTCCCATCTCTTGACAGCCAAAACTGCTATGAAGTCAATGCGAGAGGGTGTTCTTCGGCACTGACACCAACATAATCAAATCGCACCTCTGAATCCGACTGGATAAGTACTTACTCACGCGCCAAAAATGTGTCTGCATCGCGTCCCCTCATATCTCGTCAATAGGTTTATTCAGGTTGTGCCCTACAGGAACGCTCGCGAGGAGCTATAGAGCTAGCCATAAATCATAGTTGCTTAAGATCATGGTGCAATTTTATGTATTAGCAGCTCCTTACTACCTCAATCTCGGCGTCTGATCTATCATACATGCCGTGTTCGCGGTGGTCGCACAAAATTAAAATAACTGATAAATTACTGGTACAGGACTGGACACAGTAGCCCCAATCGCTCGGTCATTCTGTCCTTGCCTGCGATAGTGGCAAGGCCAATTCTCTGGACCTCGGTCCCGCACGACCAGATTTCACTCGAAGTAATTTGATTATACTTATGTCTCTCTCGTCTGCCTCCGTGCGGACTCTCCGACCTGAAGAACCTCTAGTGGCGCTGGCTGATTCGGATGTGGGCCGGTATGCTTGAGAACTTCCTGCTGATGTAGCGTTTGGGGCGAAAGGTACATTAGAAAGCAATGAGGGAGGTGGCGTAGAAGGGAGTGGCGTAGAAGGGAGTGACGCGAGCTTGACTTTCGGTTTCGCAGGACTCCGCTCTGTTTGGAGAATGCGATGTCGTCGCGGGGACCCCTTCAGGTCACAGGACGCGGAGCGTGGGCTGCTAGACCGAATGTTTTCTTCCAATCCACGTCCAGACATACTTTCAACAGATTCTTCGCCCAACCACTCCTCGATCCGCCGTCGCTTTTGCCCGTGCTCCATGTGAGTGGTCTCAGTGTCGTCTTGCGAGGCTAGAGCTGGGTCGAAATCGGGTATGGACTGAGGCTGGGAATGATGTTGAGAGGAGGGGTGGTGGTTGATGATGGCAACAAGAGGAGACACAGTTGAGTCTGGCATTGGATCTTGCATGTGGCGGCCGAGTGGTGTAGGAATAGCGGCGATGTGGAACCCTGGAGCGGTCGGTTGGTAAGAGATTTCAGATTGCATTGAGGTATGACTGGTAGTCGCGAACTGATTATGCTGAGGAAGATGAGAGCCAGAAGGTTCCGGAGAAGAATGAGGATGAATAGTCTTCGTATTGAGTGGGATAGGAGGCGGGTTCCGCGTCCTCTTCGCCGAACGATGGTGATCGTGGCCTTCGCGGAAGGCTGTTTTAGGATGATGCTGCATTTTCTTCCTAGGTCGTCGGTGTGCAGGCTCCGGCTCCGGCGTCAACGGCATCCTCATAGCCCTTGACTTCTTCGGTGTACCTCCCCCCCTAACTATCTCGGCTTCCGGTTCACCCATCCCCACCTGCTTCCCTATCATAACTCTGGAATGAGCTCCAAAATCCCTGCCGTCTTCGTCCACATTCATCCCATACTCTCCTCCCTCAACGTCCGACGACCCCGACCCCACTTTATTCTTACAACCATCCAATACCCATTCCATCGCACTGCCCGATCCATCTTGCTGCGTCTCTTCATCGCTGCGGACTTCCTCCTCGTAAAGCCGCGTTCTCGAGCTGTCGTACTTCAACCTCTTCATGCTCGACCCTGAAGGACGTTTGGCAGGTGACCAAGGGAAGACGCGGACGGGGATGTTGGCTACGGGGACATGTCTTTCGGCAGCGGGGTTGAGGATGGTAGAAGAGGGCCTGAGCTTCGACGAAGAGGATGCCAATTTTGACGGTGAAATTTGGCGGCTAGATGGAGAGGTGGCCGCTATTCTCGGAGAATATGTTGTTCCTTCGTGACGGACTAGATCAGCACTGCCAGATCTCCAAACCTCACTCGTTGCTCGCAGGACGCTCTCCTGACTTTCTTGGCTGATTTCCTGCGTCCCATCCGTCTCTCCTTCGTCGTCGTCATCCCAATCTTCCAGCATAGGTAGATCCAACACCCGCAATAAAACCCTCTTCATCTTCGATCCTATTCCTTTCCTCGCCTTTCCATTTCTCTTTGTCTTCCGCCCGCCCGTCTGGTTTTCTTCCTCCCCTCCGACCTGATTTCCATTCTCCGCCCACCTACTCGCTGCCTTCGCCGCACTAATCCCTCCCTCCAGATTGCTTATCGCCGCATCTTGCTTTCCCTTGCCCTGCACCATCGCATCCCTCATCTCGCGCTTACTCAGCCTATCCAGCCTGTTCAACAGATCCTCGATATCCTCCTCGGTAAGATGAGCCGCGGGCGACGACGGATGGAGCGACGAAGCGAATATGACGTTGATCACGTCCCAGTCTAGGCCTTCGAGAGCCGGATCGAGTGTGTTGGGGACTATGCGCGCAGGCCTGAACATACGGACAAAGGATTGCAGTTCGGGGAGAGCAGAGTGGCGTCCTAAAGGGACGAGCTATGTACGATCGTGGTATAGATGTATCGTCAGTTTCACGTGTGGAAGATGGGGCAGCAAGGTTATATTGATAAAGGGACGCAGTAGAACTCACGAGCGATGAGACACAATCGCCTCTCTCCAGAGAAGCTTTGATCTCCTCCTGATACGCCGCCCATTTCTCTGCGCTCATGTCGACCGGATTGATATATACGACCTTACTGGCACGCTGCTTGGCCATCCCCCAGTCCAGGGTGCTCTCCGAATCTATCATCTCTGCTCCCTGGCCCTCCTTTCCATCCGCCTTCTCAAACGCCCTATAATCCGGCGAATACTCACATCTATCAAACCGTTCGCAGGCATGGAACCTTGTCGAAGCAGGATCATATGTGAAGATATGTTTGATATCTCTATCACGTGCTGGTGAGCTGGATGATTTCAGGCCAAGATATCCGTAGATCTCGCGTTTGTAGCGGTCGGCGTGGATCTGTGTGGCATGTGGCGCGAAGGCGAAGGCGGCAGATTGAGGCGTGTGCACGGGGAGGGAGGGAAGAACTGAAGAGGAAATGATGGTCTGCACGTACCCTTGTGTCAAAGGCCATCGCGATGGCGATGAGGATGTCTTCATACCCCCATGTCCAAGAGTTAATGAAGAATGTAGTGGTCGCACCATAGAGCTTCATAAGGGAGATCAGACCGTTCGTTGCTTCCGCCTTGACAGATTCACATTAGATGTAAGAAGATGATTGAGCGCGCCACGAAATGGAGCTCACCTTCGAAGGTTGTTGGATGTTCGACCAGACGCAAGCAGTATCCAGATAGATCGCGTCCAGAGTCGCGCCCTTGCGAGTTACTCGACCACTTCTGCTAGCGCCGGACAGATCATCGACGTGTTCGGGGAGACTTAGGTAGGATCGGAGGTGAGGATTTTTAGCAATAGAGTTTAGGAAGCGAGGTTCTGCGCGAAAGTCTCCTGTGTGAAGGATGTTGCCTTCTGAGCCTTCGACGAGATACCTATATGTCGATAATAATAGAAATTCATAAGTTTCTTCTGCAGAGATGGATTTCGTCAAAGGAAACGGTGTATACAAAAGGATATGAGTTGGATTGCAAGATATCAGAATTGCTGCGAGCACTTGCTTGGAGAACTTGACGCACGCGACAGCCTCCGAAGGCGTCCATTACACCGTTGCGCCACGACGCCTTTCGTGCACGGGGGAAATTGAGTTGAATTGGAATATGGAGCACAAGACAAACACAGAAAGCACGGATAGTGTACACAACAGCCGTTCATGGTAACACATTCGGGACGGGGGAAAACCGAGAAAAGGTTGTACGGAATGGAACTGAACTTGGATTGACTTACATGACAGCACCAGGGCAGTGATTGGCATCCAATAGTGTGATGTTGACAGTTGCTAATCCCGACATATCATATGAAATAGGCGTGTTCAACGGAACAGCATGCTAAACAAAACCACACGCAAACAAACTGGTGTCAGGCTTATTCCTTCGTGTTCACTAGCCATATCAGATGAGATGCAGAGCAAGAGACGCACCAGAAGATCCCTGCTCCCATGATAATCCTTCCGTCCATCCACAACTTGCGGGCTGACCTTCAAATGCTGATAGGCTTTCGCCAACTTCTTATCCTCCCGAATGTCTGAATCCTTCAACTTGCGTTCCTTATACGGTTCCAGCCTCAGCAACATTTCCTTCGCGTCATGTGAGCACCATACTTTCGAAGCAAAAGATTTCGCTGCAAGACCCGTAAGATGGTCGGAATGGGTGTGTGTGAGGAGATGAAGTGCTGGTGGAACGAAAGTGGGGTCGTCGGATGGAGTCGTAAACTCGTCTACACGGATGGAATAAGGTCTTATAAATCCATGGTATGGCGCACCGGGGGGCATATTAGCCTCTCCCTATAGACTGGGGAGGAGAAACAGTAAGCTAGAGACGGATGGTGGTCGTTGACAGAAATGTCTCAGAACGAAACTCTCGAACTCAGTGCAGGCCGGCTTTTGCCGTCGGACGCGTCAGTGGCACAAACACGGTGTGGCGAGATGTCAACGAACGATTGTGTATGCGACGACGCAAGTTGAACTCATGCGTAGTGATATACGGAGTGCCTTAGTATCTGGGCAATTCAAAAAGGACTAGGATAGATGGACGAACAAAACGTTGACAGGGAAAAAGTAAATAAGGGGATAGTGTCATCAAGACCTCCCAGTCTGGAGGTGGGCTATGGCCATAGCGAAAGGGACACCCATTTATTATCCCCTGACATGGGGCCTCTCTCCTGTAATATCGCCTCCGTCATACTCGCCACTATTTTCCATCCATTCTCGTACTCCATCAAATCATTGTGTCCGCCCAACCCAGCCAGCCACAGCCCCGCGTTCTTCAACTCTGGATAAAAATCATCATCTTCCGGCCATACCCAGACACAAGAAGGCGACAGAATAGAGGCGCAAAATTCTGCAATGGAGCAATATGCCATAAGCGGCGAAATCGGAGCAATCGGCAGACGCGAACGTCCGAGGTAGAGGTCGATTGGAAGAGGATGGGGGACACTGGCATGTAACGGCACCGCTGGAGGGACGTAGACTGAGGCGTCCAGGTAGAGCCCCAGCTCGCAAAGGTGGGGACATTCGGTGATGAATATCTTTAGCGCTTTCAACGTGAGGGATGTAGGCGTAGTGACGACAGGATGTGGGTTCAGAAGCAAGCTTTTGAATCGCTGACAATGGGTGGCGATTTCGGAGGCGTCTTGGTCGGCCATTTCGATGGGGTACGGGTGACTAAAAGCGAAGTAGGTGAGCGTACGGGAATGCACAAAGGGCATCAAGTGCTGGATGTTCAGTCGAGGCGTGAGGAGGAGATTATGTCCGCCACGATACTCGAACTCGTGAAAGGACAGGATAAGTGTAGTTAACGCAGTGCAAATCGAGTTGAAACTTTCAAGAAGTGCTTGAACGTGCGCGGGGGCAGGAATTGTTGGGGTATGGATGAAAAGGATTTTGAGATCGCGAAATGGGAAAGCAGGTTGAGATAAGAAACCCCATGCGTCCTCGATGTTGCAAGACGAGAACTCCAGTCCGTGGAGTGATGGAAAAGCGTTCGGACCAAGCCGCTTGTCTGCAGAACACAAAGACGGGGTAGTACAAGGCCACGGACCAATTGGATCATCGGTGTCCATTGTCACCGTTCGGAGATACTTGAAGCAGGATAGTGTTTGGGCAATACTTGCATTGAAACATTGAGGAGGAAGTTGTAGATGCTTTATCTCTGAAGCACTCTCGAGCAGTGAGAGAAGCTCGTCATCGAGATTTGGGATCGGTTTGTCGCAAGCAATCTTCAAAGTGCGTAAGTCCGGCATGTGACCGCGTATATTGTCGATGACCGAACGAAAGCGGTGCGCCGACAGAAAGTCTGTGTAACTCATGTCATAGTTAAACATCAAAAACAGGACCTTGACAGAGTTGCTCATTAGCAACGGTTCAAGCTCGGACGTCCCGGCTGTGATGCATGTGATGACTCGTAGACGCGGAAAGATATTGACCGTGGGGCAGGTGAAGCGTATATCCCACAAGGCTTCCGGCGACAATCGATATTTCGCCATGAACGACGAATCGAACCACTTCCGTACTCGACCGCTATTGAGCTGGAAGCGTTGCCAGTCGTGAGCGGTGATGGGCCGCGTAAAAGACTTTCACAGCAAGCTGACAGTTAGTTCCTTCGCGATTTTAGCCCAGTGCAGCGTAAAACGTACCAGGAGTTTGACAGTGCCATCATGGGAGATCCCGTAGACCTTCATTGACGCCAGTGAGCGGAAAACTCCTGGTTCGACAATTCTCCAAACGTTTTGGAGTGCCTCGTCCGACCATGCCCTACACACTCGTGCGTTGCGAGCGTTTGAATCCCTCTCTAGCAGCCCGAATATTGCAGCCAATATCTCTACAATCGCCAAAGCACGGTGCATCCTGAAAAATTCTGTATACAATCCATAAAACAAGTCAAACAGAAGTCGCCCGAAAGTCGAAGGAACAAAGGAACGTGGCATGGTTGTCGATGAAGGGTGACCACTTACAACACGAAGTACAAATGCCTAAGCTCTGATGAGAAAGATCTATGTCTGAGGCCTCAGTCGATTTACTTGCAGTACATAGTATATATCCAAGTGGAAGTGAGTGGTAGAGAGAGGAGCTTTCAGGTGTCTCGGTCGCGTCCGTTCTCTTCTTGAGGTCGGCTTTTACCGGCCGGTGTCGGGCGCCACTGTGGCGCCTTGTGTCACGAAGTGAAATGGCGGTGTAACTATGCTCATTGTCGCACACATTAGAAGTAAATTTACTTCGCATATCCCTAAGAAGCGTAAAGAAAGCATATGGTCGTTCAGAAGGATGATGAACACGGAAGCTGCACGACTGGTAGGATGGGCAGGCCCAAATGATTGCGGGGTACTCAATGAAGAGCCAACCGAAAACATATATCGTGAGAGACAAGCTCATACAAAGAACATTTAGCTGACTTATTATTTAGTTCATGCGGCCAACGCTTCGAGCTTCGCCTGCACACCCGCATACTTCGCCTTCAATGTCGCGTACCTCCTCTCGCAGACATCATGACCAACTCCCGTATTCCCAACATCACTCCTCAGCAACCTGTTCCGTTCCTCAAAGAGCATCTTCGTCATAGCCGCAATGATCTTCCAGCCTTGCTCGTAGCCGTCAATGTCGCAATGCTCTGTCAGATTAGGAAGCCATTCGTCGCGGTCCGGAGTCTCTGCGACGAAGGCAGAGTCATCCAATCCCACTCATATGCGTTGGAACTGACTGACGTTAGATATTGTGCAATTTTGGGATAAGATTTCATGATGGCGGAGTGGCCCACTGGTAGAGGAGAGTAGCCTATTTGCAAGCAAAGGGATGCCGAGTAGAAGTTCGTAGGCTGTGGATGGGGAGTTATAGATGGCAGTGAAATGGGAAGTGACCCGTCGACGTATAGTCATAACTCAAACGTGAGCAATGCCTGATCAGGGGCGCGAGGGCCGCTAAACTGAGCTTGGTCGGAGCCGGTACGATTGGGTGGGGACACAGGCGTAAGACCTCAAGCGAAGGCCAGACGGGCGCAAGCTCTTCGATATTCTCGTCCGTAAGATCAATGGGGTATGGGAGGCGGATGCTGAGTGTGACGATGTTTCTAAATCGCGAAAAAGGTCGGAGGTCCTCTAAACGAAGAAGAGGTATCGATCGGAGTTCTGAAGCGTCTGTGTATCGTAGCCCATGGCATATAAGGGTTAAATTCACCAATGCGGGACATTCAGTGACAAGCCTCCTGAAGAAGACTGCCACATCATGCGAGGAGGGATTGCTTCGAAGATGAATCGTCGTCGTAGAGAGATTGTGCGACGGAAAACCCGGTTGAAACAGAAAAGAAGTTGCATCCTCGATATTGACCGCAGAGAACGACATGCTTTCTAGAGAGGCGAATGCGCCACCCGAGAGAGGCTGCACGGAGTCGAAGAGGAACCGTGAATGCTGGGTGCATTTGTAGAGCGTAATTGGTGTGGAGATATCGTACATAAATTTACGAAGGCTTTGATGACTGGCGAGTGCGAGCACGATAGAGGCGTTAAGGCACATGATTGGGAGTGACGCCTCTTGAAGTCGAGGTAGATTCCGAAGGAGATCTATGATAGATTCGTCATAGTTGGGAGTCTTGCACTCTTACCCAAGGGTCAAGGAGGTCAAACCGGGAAAGTGATCCACTACGTTCTTCAAGGCCCAAGGGGTACGAAGAGAACGAGTACGAAAATCGGCAAGTATAAGCAATTCTAGGCTTTGAAGCGAGCTCTCCATGAAAAATGAAAACCAGTTCGAATTGTGCTGTCCCCACAGAGATATGCCCCAGGTTCGGAAAGATAGGGGCCATAGGACGTGTGATAGCTATATCGTTCATGGCGTCGCGCGACAAGCGGAATGGAGCAGAATATGCACTGTCGAACCACTCTCGTACTCTTCTGCTGTTTTTCAGAAAACATTTCCAATCGTCAACAAGGAGAGGGCGCGTAAAAGTCTAGGCAAAATTATAAATTTAGATGAAAGGTCTCACGTCTCAAGTCAGAGAACGCAAGTTTCACCCACCAGAACATCGTCTCCATCCCTGTGTCCAACGGCATTCATTGGACATAATGAACGAAAAATGTCAGGCTCGACTTCGGTCCAGATGTCATCGAGTGCGATAGACGACCAAGCCTTGCATACACGGGCGTTGCGAGCGTTGCTGCCTCTCCCGAGGAAGCCGAAGATGGAACGTAGAATCTCTGCGATGTTCAGCACACGATGCATGCTTGAAGGGGGCTGACGAGTATCAGACTGTATATAAAACATCCACATACTCTCTGTCAGTTCAGTTAAAAGCCAAGCAAATGGTATCAAAGCGGCATAGGAGACGTTGACGCGCATAAGTACCACTTTGTCGTCTTGTACGATTCTCCTCAGTTGCGCTTTGCTGACAGATGACAAGATATCAGCTTCAGAGAACCTGAGACGCAGTGCAGCTCGAATCTTAAGCTGTCATTCCGACGAGGCACCAGTGAGCAGACCAAACGTAGTAGAAGTCTAGTGAGGTTCCGAGCTGTGAGGTGGTCAAGCGATCAACCAAGTTTGTGTCGGGGATGAGCGTCGATGAACGCTCGACGCGTAAAGCCAAATACACGCAAACAAATACGTGCAGGAGCGCCACATTGCCCGCCACCTGACCCTTGTGACGCATCTTCCGCGAGCCTGATATTGACCCTGAACAACTCCATACGCCAACGACAAGACAGCTGTAACAAGGAAACACCACCCATCGGTGTATAATTTGAATGCAGCTACTGGGCCCCGTTTGGCGACGCTCTAAGCCTAACATTCTCAGCGTCTAAGGCCGCACATTTCCCCTTCCACGCAGACAGTTCTCCACCCAGCGCTTCCAGCACACTCCTCTGCATCTTATCCCTATCCTCCAATATCATCTTCAACATTACCGCTACCATTTTCCAACTGCGCTTGTGACCGTCGAGATCATGATAGATGGTCATCCGCGACAACCATTCCTCTCGATTAATGACCTTAGCAACAAAGTTGGTATCTTCCCACCCCCATTGGCATGGCTTGCATAGCACGTCCGCGAGGTACCGAGCGATGCGTGAGTTATCATCGAGGGTCTCGAGGTCTACGGATATCGGTGAGTGACCGAGTATTAAAGTGCCGCGTATACGTCGAGGAAGGGTGGGAATAGGGGCGGGGGCAACAGTCCCATCGAGATAAATGCCGACAGACCGAAGGTCGGGACAATGGTTGGCCAAGTGTTGTAGAGCGAGGAGAGTGGTTCCGGGCCGTGTCGGTACAACTGGGTAAGGATTTAGATGTATCGTCTGCAAGCGAGGGCAGCTTTTCGCAAGTTTCGCGACGTCGTTGTCGTCCATGTTGATGGGGTGCGGATGGCGGATGACCAAAGTGGTGAGATTTTGGAGCTGAGAGACGATGGAAAGGTGCTGAAGTTCGAAGTAGGGGATGGTAGGGAGCGGGTCGTTCCCGTCGTACTTCAATGCATGGAATGCAAGGGTAAGTTTTTGAAGTGTGGGACAGTCGGTTGTGAGTCTCGATAGAAAAATGCCTGTATCACCGGACAATGGAACATGTCGTATATGAATGGACATAACTCTTATGTTGCGCAGTGGAAATTCGGGCTGGAAGAGGAACGACGCAGCATCGGCGAGGTTCGAAGCGGAGAACTCCACGGTATGGAGTGCAGAAAATGCTGCATTCGGTAGGGGTTGCGTGGAGTCGAACATGACACGTGTCTCCTGCGAACAGGCGTAGAATACGATGGGCATACCGAGCTCGAACGTGACGGTGCGAAGGTCTTGGTGACTAGCCAGAGTGAAAGCAATGTCTGCATTGAGACACATGATTGGCAAGCTGAGCTTTTGAAGTTTTGTAAGGTTGCGGAGTAGGCCCACGATCTGCTCATCATAGTTCGGGGTGTCATCGTCGAGATAACTGAGATACAGCGACGTCAAATGGGGTAGTCGCTCCGTCACGTTCCGGAAAACCCAGGTGGTCCGTACTTCAGCTACGTTCTTCAGAGGAATATGTCTCACGACAAGGTCCAGAATCTTCACCGAGGTTCCCATGAGGAATGGATCAAGATCCTGTGTCCCGGTGCACAGTCTCAATAAGTTTGGAAACACACTGGTCAAAGGACGGGACATGGCGATGTCGTTCCTGGCTTTTTGCGAAAGGTTGTAGGGGGAGGACCAGGAACTGTCCGACCAGGTGCGCACCCGTGAGCTGTAGGTAAGAAAGGTCATCCAATCGCTCAAGAGCGGGGGACGGACGAAGGTCTGCACACTCAGTTCAAGCCTACAGTATCATACAGGAGGTCTTGTCACTCACCAAATTTGTTTCTGACTGGCTCATAGGACAAAGTGAGCGGAAGACATCAGGCTCGACGTCCTCCCATACACGATCAAGGGCAATCGAGGACCAAATCTTGGAAACACGGGCGTTGCGGGCGTTGGAGCGTACGTCAAGGAAACCGAAGATCGAACGGATTATCTCCGTTATAGTGAGAACGTGATGCATGTTTTGGTCGCGCAGCCCTGGAGGCGAACAATAGATGCTTCGTCTGAATTCAACGAACCAGCCGAGGTACAAATGGAGTGGTCGAACGGTGAGATGATCGTTGCGGTCAAAACGCGTCGCGTCACCTCAACGCCACCCAAGTGGAGTCCACGCCCACGCCACATCATATAGGCAAAAGTTGGCGAAACTCATGAACTCTCAGGAAATTCAGGTCTCCCTTGAAGCTCTCTCAGTGCGGCTGGGTTTTACCAATCATCGCAGACATGGCTTATTGGTATTTGAGTCGACCCAATTAGTGAGGGAATATAGAGGCATCTTTTATGTTCACTTAAAACTTCTGCTACGCAACTTCTATGAGGAGAATGACCGGTAATTATGTACTTGTACACGACTGGAAAGCAGGAAAATATTATAAGGTGTGCAGAGGTGGAATTGTCAGAGAGACTGGTAAGTAGCCAGCTCGAAGTCGTCAGAGCACAGGCGAGGGAGATTCTGTTGGGAGCGAATCGCCGCGTAAGAAAAGAAATAAAGTCCAGACAACGACAGGCCACGGGTAACAAGGAGGCAAGGAGTTGCATATGCGTTGTATGCCGGGAATGCGGCCACTAGGCAGAGGGCCGCTCAGTTCGTTTCCGCCGACTCGGACAACACTTTTAGCGCCTGCACCTCAGCATATCTCGTCTCCAAAGCCACAAACTTCCTCTTCCATATCTCCAGCTCTTCGTCCGGCGCTACTACCAGGCCACTCTCCCGCATCTGACACCTATCCTCAAATATCATCCTCGTCAATGCCGCTACCGTTTCCCACCCACGCTTGTAGCCGTCGAGATCGTGGTGCGGAGTCACATTGGGAAGCCATGTGCGGCGATTGTGGAGTTCGGGAACGAAGACGTCGTTCTTCCAACCCCATGTGCACGACTCAGAAAGGACTGACCCGAGGTAACGAGCAATCTGAGGGTAATGCAGAATAGTAGAGTCACTCCTGACGGGCAACGGGGAATGACCGAGTGTCAGCGTGACGGACAAGCGTCGAGGAAGTATAGGAATTGGAGTCATGGCAACATTTCCGTCGAGGTATATACCGACATTGACGAGGTAAGGACAATGGCTTGCTAGGTGGTGTAGGGCGAGGCAAGTGACCTCTGTCGTTGTCGGTATGACGGGGTACGGATTAAGATGGAGGACCTCCAGGTTTGGGAAGCCTGCGGCTAGTCGCTCCACGTCGTCGTCGTTCATATCGAGAGGGTATGGATGGCGAATGATGAGGGAGGTAAGAGTTTTGAGCAGAGAAATGGAAGCGATGTGCCGAAACTCAAGACAAGCGGTGGTCGACAGCTGGATACCGCTGCGGTATTGCAATTCATGAAAATCGAGTGTGAGGTCGTCTAGCGCATCGCAAGCAGTCGCAAGCCTCTCAATGAACCGTCCGACGTCCTCAGATGGTGGGACAATCCGCGTGTGGATAAGAAGTCGTTTGAGGTTGTATAGCGGAAATTCAGGCTGAAAAATGAATGATGCAGCATCATTGAGATTGGGAGCGGAGAACTCCATAGTGCGAATCGACGGAAAGGCACCGACGGGGAGGGGTTTCGAGCTATCAAACATGAACCGTGTTTCCTGGGTACACGAATAGAGCATGAAGGGTTCTCCTTTATTGATCTTGATAGTATGAAGGTCCTTGTGATGTGCGAGAGCACTGACAATGGCTGCATCGAGACAAAGAGCGGAAATCCTGAGTTTTTGGAGGGCCGGAAGATGCTGAAGTAGATACGATATATTGTTGTCGTAGTTCGGCGTATCTGGATCGAGATAACCGATCCACAGCATCGTTAGTTGGGGCATGCGATCTGCCACATTCATAAGAACAGATATGGTCCGTAGTTCACTGGCCTGACTGTCGTCGGAGCTATGCCTGATGACGAGAGCTAGACGTCTTACTGAGGTACCCATGAAGAATGGCTCAAGCTCACTCGTCCCGACCTTCATGTCCAATAGATTTGGAAAAATGTGGGCTACGGGGCGTGTGATGCCAATATCACTGACGGCATCTCGCGAAAGCCGGTACGGAGAGTTGAAGGTGCAATCATGCCATTTACGCACTCGTGCGCTGTTCACGAGAAAGGACAACCAATCTCTCGTCAATGGGGTGCGTGTAAACGTCTGGTAAGTGCATCAGTCCATACTGTGAATACAAAATCAGTTCAATTATTATCTTACCACAATTTCAGTGTCGTCCTCGTTGTGGGATTCCATTATGTTCGTGGGGCAAAGCGCTCGAAAGACCCCCGGTTCGACGCTTCGCCATGCGCAATCGAGGGCAATGGATGACCAAGCCTTGCAGACCAGGGCGTTACGAGCGTTCGATTGCTTTCCGAGAAGATCAAAGATACAGCGGAGAATCTCTGCGATGGCGAGAACACGGTACATGACAATGGCTGCGGCCTTCGTGATCGTTTGATTGAGACAGGTTCGAGTTCTGTGTCAGTCAAAGAGAGCTGAGGATATATAAAAATCGTTTAGCAGCACACCTTGGCCAGTGTTGCTCTCCCGTAAGTACGACTTGATCGACGATACACAGGACGTCTGTCTCACAAACTCCAACTGCGTGTCTCGGATGTTGCGGTGTTCAGTCGATGAGATAGGGCAGTGGACCAATGATCAGAAATCAATCTTGAGGTCTGCTAGAGCGACTCTCTAGCCCAGATTTTCTGAGGTGAAGGATACAAAGAGTCGAATGGAGTGCCCCGACTCCGAGCTGATATGGGCAAGACTTTGTCGCCACATAAAGCCAAAGATGCCCAAACAAAAGCGGCGAGCGCCGTGGCCCACACTTCCCACGCCACTCGCATCCATTGTACGATGTACAACCCTTTTGTGGGCCAAATCACTCTGATCAGGATTTTCACGGCACACAAAAATCAAAACTATACTAGCAACGCAAGAAATCACAAGACGAAAGTAAACTAGTAAGTGTCTCAACTTGACTCGTCCCGTCTTAACAGCACCTCGTTTTCTGCCCTAAGCTTAGCATTCTCAGCCTTCAAGATAGCACATCTCTTCTTCCACACGACCAGTTCCCCACCCACCCTTTCCCAAAAAGTCTCCATGTCACGCGAGACGATTGTCGTCATCGACGAGACCACTCTCCAACTACGCTCGAAGTCGTCGAGGTCATGAGACTCAGTCAGCTCTGGAAGCCATGACTGACGATCCGTGACTTCGGCAACGAACTCGACGTCTTCCCATTCCCATTGATATGGTTGGCGCATCACATTTGCGAGGAACCGAGCCATACGCGGATATCTATTGTTACAGGCCTCGCGGTCTGTGGGAATCGGAGAGTGGCCGAGCATCAGAGCGACAGACAACGGTCGGGGAAGAGGAGGTATAGCGGGGACAGTAACGGTCCCGTCGACATATATACCCACGGATCTGAGGTCGGAACAGTGATCGGCCAGATGTTTCAAGGCGAGGAGAGTGCTCCGAGGGCGCGTCGTGGCGACGGGATAGGGATTGAGATATAGAGCTCGTAGGTGAGGGCAGCCTTTAGCGAGGTGTGCTACGTCCTCGTCATCCATGTCAATAGGATGTGGATGGCGGATGGTTAGGGAAGTGAGGCTGTTAAGCTGAGAGACGATAGCAAAATGCTGAAACTCGAGGGTGGGGGTAGATACAAGCTGGACCCCGTCGTCATACTTTAGCGCATGGAACGCCAGACTAAGTCCATTGAGCCCAGGGCATTCGGTCGCGAGCTTTGTTGTAAAACGACCGATTTCCTCCGAGAAGGGCACGGTTCGCATATGGACCGACAACTGCTTTAAGTTGCGTAGCGGTGACTCGGGCTGGAAGAGGAATGACGAAGCGTCGTTAAGGTTGGGAGAGGAGAACTCGATAGTGTGAAGCGAAGGAAAGGCTCCACTGGGAAGGGGTAGCACGCGGCTGAACATGACGCGTATGTCCTGCGAACAGGTGTAAAACGTGATGGGTGTTTCAATGTCTAACTTGATTGTGTGAAGGTCCTGGTGATTGGCGAGTGTGAAAGCGATCTTTGCATCGAAACACATGATTGGAAGGGTGAGCTTCTGAAGCTTAGGGACGTTATCGAGTAGGGCCATGATTTGGCCATCGTAGTTTGGAGTATCGTCATCGAGGTAACTGATACACAGTTCGCTCAAGTGGGGTAACCTGTCGGCCACATTCTGGAAAACCCAGGTAGTGCGTGATTCGGCGACATCCTCTTCAGGAACGTGTCTGACAACGACATCCAGATGCTTGACTGATTCTCCCATGAAAAAGGGCTCTAATTCATCAGTCCCGATCCACATTTCCGATAGGTTCGGAAAATTTGGAGTTGCAGGACGCGTAATACCAATGTCAGCGATGGCTTCACGCGACAGCTTGTAATCAGACGTGGATGAGCGGTCGTGCCAAGTGCGCACTCGGGAAGCGTTGGCGAGGAATGGAATCCAGTCATTGAGAAGTGGTCGGCGGGAGAATGTCTAGGTACGACCACAGGTAAGAAATAAAACATGGATCAGTGAGCGCAGCAACTCACCAGTATCTTGGTAATGCCGTCTTCATCGTCCACCGGTGTTGACTCTGTGACATGCATGGGACAAAGTGACCGAAAGACGTCCGGCTCCGCGTCTGCCCAGACATGATCAAGAGCAACTGAAGTCCAATTCTTGCAGACGCGGGCGTTACGGGCGTTGCAGGGTTCGTCGAGAAAGTCAAAGACCGTGCGTAGTATTTCCACAATGCTGAGGACGCGGTGCATATTTGATAGCTGTCAAAAAGTCCAGATGTACAACCAGAAGCCCAGGATTATATAAATGGGATAGAGATAGATTGAGAGCACGATGGTGGTTGAGGACAAAGGTGAAAGCTGGCGACAGACGCCCGCGTCGCGTCGCGACCAAACTCCGCACTGATGGGGCCACAATCGGGCCACTCAACCTGCACAGCCTGAAGGACTCTCGACACCAGTGCTCATGAGAGAAAGTATTTTTCGCGTGTCCAACATAGAAAAGGCGTAGAGGACGATGGTTTCAGATCAACTTTCAAGTCAGATACGTAGGTACAAAAATTATTCAGTACAGAGACGAATGGATGCATGAATGTGTAACAAATCGAGAGGAAAACAGATGATAATGCCAGAGAGTAGATAGAGGTAAAACAGTAGAAAGATATTACGAGAGCGTCAGTCAGTCGTGTGAGAACATAGGGATGCCGAGGGGAGAGAGACAGAGAATGATGAAGATGGGAATACAAGGACGAAAGGCGGCGAATAGGAAAGTGAGTACGACATGAACATCAGACGGCGCACTCAGGCAGAGCACATCAGACAAGCCTCCTTGTTCTCCAACGAACACATCAGCTTCTCCTCTTCGTACTTCCTCTCCTGAAGCTTTCTCAACGCCGCCGCAAACTCTGGGTCTTTCGCTGCCGCCTCGCGCGTTTTCTCGTCGAGACCCTCAAGGCCAGTGAGATCTACTGCTGAGGCGGTAGGCTCAGTCACCTTCGAGTTAGAAGCAGGGGCAGTCGTGGCAGGGGCAGGGGCAGGGGCAGGTGAAGGCTCTGGTGAAGCGTCCCGCTCAGGTGGTGGTGTCACGATCCCGGTCTTAGACTTGACGGTAGTGGCCGCCGGAACATCAACCTTGACATCCGCCTTCTGGACCTTCGCCTCCTCCGTCGCTCTGAGCTCACTCGCCTTCTTCTCCGCAAGCTCATCCTTCTTCGTCGCCTTGTCCAACTTCGCCTTGTCCTGCGCCTTCTTCGTCTGCTCCACCAATTTATGATCCAACGTGAACTGAATCGCCTGCGCCGCCGGCCTCGTCCTCAAGTAATACATACCCGTCTTCAACCCCTTCTTCCATCCATAGAAGTGCATGCTGGTAAGCTGGTTTACCGTCGGCGATTGGAGGTGGACGTTCAGGCTCTGTGACTGGCAGATGAAGGCGCCTCGGTCGGCAGCGAGGTCGAGGACCTTCTTCTGTGAGATCTCCCAGACGGTCTTGTAGATAGCCTTGACGTCGTCTGGGATTTCGGGAATGGCTTGGATAGAGCCGTTGTGCGCGATGATCTTGTTCTTCATGTCGTCGTCCCAGAGCTTGAGCTCGACGAGCTCGCGGAGAAGCCAAGGGCAGACGACTTGGAACTCGCCAGCGAGGACACGACGTGTGTATATGTTGCTGTAAGAGGAAGTATCAGCATCCGCACTGGTGAACAAAAGGTAGAAAGTGAATGAACCTAGTGTAAGGCTCGAAGCACTCGTTGAAGCCCAAGATCTGAGACGTCGAAGCCGTAGGCATAGGTGCCACAAGCAACGAATTCCTCAACCCATGCTGTGCCACTTTCGCCTTCAACTCCTCCCAATCCCACAGATCGGTCGGCGTAACGCCCCACATATCATACTGCAACTCTCCCTTACTTGCCGGACTCCCCTCATAACTCTCATACGGCCCCTCCTCTTCAGCAATCTCGCAACTCGCCTCTACCGCCGCATGGTAGATCGTCTCGAAGATCTGCTGGTTCAACTTCCTTGCGGCGTCGGAATCGAACGCCATGCGGAGGATCATGAACGCGTCGGCGAGACCTTGGACACCAAGACCGATGGGACGGTGACGCATGTTGGAGTTACGGGCTTCGGGGACAGGGTAGTAGTTCACGTCGATGACGCGGTTGAGGTTGTACGTGACGACTTTGGCGACGTCGTGCAGCTTTTGGAAGTTGTAGATGCCGTTGTCGATGAAGGTAGGGAGTGCGAGGGATGCGAGGTTGCAGACAGCGGTCTCGTCGGGGGCGGAGTACTCCATGATCTCGGTACAGAGGTTGGAAGACTTGATGACCCCGAGGTTCTTCTGGTTGGATTTGCCTGAACGAGGGCTACATGAGCGAACGGTCATTCACCAATATGCAATGATATGCTTACGGTTGGCAGCATCCTTGTAGCACATAAAAGGACCACCCGTCTCGATCTGAGCGTCCATGATGGCATACCAGAGCTTCTGTGCAGGCATCGTCTTCCTCCCCCGACCCTCTTTCTCGTACTTCTCATACAACGCCTCGAACTCGTCACCATAAACCTCGTGGAGGCCAGGAGCTTCATCAGCAGAGAACAAAGTCCAGTTGCCGTTCTCGCTGATGCGCTTCATACTAGAGAAAGAACCGTGTGTCAGTAAACGCCAAAGGCGAATATCCAGGGACCATGACATACAAGAGATCAGGGATCCAGAGCGCGTAGAAGAGGTCACGAGCACGGACTTCCTCCTTTCCATGGTTCTTTCGAAGGTCCAAGAACTCGAAGACGTCGGCGTGCCATGGCTCTATGTAGATAGCGAAAGCACCCGGACGCTTGTTACCACCCTGGTCGACGTAACGAGCTGTCGCATCGAAGGCGCGAAGCATGGGCACGATGCCGTTCGAATAGCCGTTAGTACCAGCGATATAAGCACTATGGAGTAGAGTTCATCATTAACGGTGGAGAAAACGACAAGATCACCAAAAGGTAAACATACCCGGTCGCACGAATATTGTGAATGCTCAACCCGATACCTCCAGCCGTCTTGCTGATCATAGCACATTGCTTCAACGTGTCGTAGATACCCTCGATCGAGTCGTCCTTCATGCACACTAGGAAGCAAGAAGCAAGCTGTGGGTGTGGCGTGCCGGCGTTGAAGAGTGTCGGTGAGGCGTGGGTGAAGTATCGCTCGGACATGAGATTGTAGGTTTCGATAGCGCGCTCGACGTCGTGGCCGTGAATACCGCAGGCGACGCGCATGATCATATGCTGTGGACGCTCAGCGGTGCGGCCATTGATTTTCAAGAGATATGAGCGCTCAAGGGTTTTAAAACCGAAGCTAGAATGACAGGTTCAGCGTACGCGGACAGTTTGACATAAGAGAACCAACACGTACAAGTTGTAGTTAAAGTCTCGCTCATAGATAATGGCAGAGTCGAGACGTTCGGCGTTCTCAGATATAAATCTGTAAGTCTCGTCGGAGATCATACCGGCCGCCTTGCCGGTCTTGGGGTTCACTATTATTATAAGCACGTCAGTTACCATCTCCCACTAAGAGACGACCACAATGCAGCCGCACCATAGTTGTACAAATCAGCGATAACATGGGAGAAGTTCTTCTTGGTGTCTTTGTGGAGGTTAGAGACAGCAATGCGGGCCGCGAGAATGGCGTAGTCTGGGTGTTTGGTCGTGAGGTAGGCAGCAGTCTCCGCCGCAAGATTCTACAGGAGGCTCTTTCAGGGTCATGTTCGGAACACATGCATTGATGCCTTACATCGAGTTCGCTGGTAGTAACTCCCTGGTATACACCTTGAATAACCTTTTGTGCAACTCTTTACGTATAACATTAGGCGAAAGCCAGGAGTATGAATTATAGGTGTAATCACGCACTCAGCAGGCTCAATATGACTGTTATCAAGGCCGTAGCAAAGCTTGCTTATACGAGCAGTGATCTGCGAAGTGAAAACGCGTTGAGGAAACGTGGATGGGATGAAAGTACACGACCGAAACATACCTTATCGAACTGAACACGCTCCTTTCGCCTGTCACGACATCATCTCGGTCAAAAGCTACCCGGAGCATACTATTAGATTATTACGCACCCATCTGAAGGACGCGAAGTTCAGTACAATTCTGACTTGGGGATGATGAATACTGGTAAAACACACCTCGCTTGAACACATATGTCGGGGCTTCCGACGACGAAAACTTTGAAGCGTACAAGGGAGGCATTATACACGATAACAGCGAAGAAAACAGGTACGAACGACGACTGGATAAGTGGGGTGAGGACGTCAGAGGGGAGTGAGGGGATGAAGGGCGAGAGCAAGGCTGACAGACGCGACGCGAGCCATTTTTATTGATTTTTCGCGTGGATGACTAAGCGGAGCTCCAATCTCATCCAACGCCGATAAATAGACATCTTTATTTGTCGCAAAACGTGAGTATGGGCCTGAAAATACTGACATAATATGTAATAGGTCCTTGCTGCACATAGACACGTATAAACGCGCTTTGGTCCTCATGAAACGCGCTATATTGTTCGGTCAATGCTTCGTCAACGGAGTCGCGTCGCGTCGCGCCGCGCCGACGCGTACATAGACGCGTCTGTGGCGTGGGCGAGCTGGTTAGATACGGTCCATGATCGTACCTCGATGCCGCGTAAAATACCATAGGTTAGCGCACTAGAGCCATATTGCTTGGCTGATATCGTGACAGACCCTCTGGAAGCCGTCGTTCTCAAAAGACCCTCGAGTGACTCGGAGTTAGAGTAGGCATGCTTCATCTTTATCCTTCAAGGTCTTGACTTTGATTACCCACACGCCCAGTATTCACAGAAGTAGATTATGTATAAGCTTCACGATTGATTTTAATGGACATTCTAGCCACGATTCTACCCCGATCGCTCTCCGCCCTTCAACTTCGCTATCTCTCCCCGCAACCTTCGAATTTCCTTCTCCCTATCCTCATTCCCCCTTCTCTCCTCTTCTATCAGCCTAACCATGGCCTCTACCGTCTGCCAACCTTGCTCAAACTCCTCGAATTGGTGGTACGCGGTGAGGCCCGGCAGCCAGTCGTCGCGGTATTGGAGTTCGGCGGTGAACTCATCAGCGTGACCGGGCCATCTCCACGTGCAGGAAGAGGGTAGCACGGACGCAAGGAATCGAGCGATAGATGGGTATACAGTGCTGGTGGCATCCAACGCAAGCGACAACAGGGAACGGCCGAAATAGACTCCAGTGAGTAGGCTGCCGAAGTATCTGGGTAGGAATGGGGGAGGTGCGGGACGTGTGGCGTCCACGAAGAGGCCCACCTCGCGGAGATTTGCACAATTAAGGAGCAGATCGGTGTACGCGTTCAGCGTAAGGTTGGTGGGCTTCGGTACGATGGGATGGGGATTTAGCAGAAGCTTCTTCAGATGCGGGGAGCGTAAAGCTTTCATGTCGGTGTCGTCCATCTCGATGGGGTAAGGATGGCTGATGTCGAAGGTTTCAAGACAGGCGAATCGTGTGATTGGTAGGATGTCGTTGATCTTCAGAGTTGGGATACCCCGAAGACTGACGTCCACTCCTTCCTCGACGTATAGTAGCCTGTGAAACGCAAGCGTAAGGGCCGCTAGCTGTGGGTAGACAGGAATTAAATCGTCTAAGATACGATTCAATTCCGTGGAAGTGGGAATGACCTCGGTGTGGAACCAGATTTTGGTTAGATTTCTGGAAGGAAATCCGGGCTGAGTAAGAAATAGGGCAGCATCGGAAAGATTAGGGGCGGAAACAGCGAAGGTATTTAGCTTCGGAAATGCCCCTTCCTGTAGTGGTGGGAGATTAGCGACGTATAGAAGTCGAGCCTCAGGCTCTGTCGGATAACGAATCAGAGGAGGGTCCGCGTCGCATTCTAGTGTATTCAAATGCTGGTGCTGTGAGACGATCCGGGCGAGTGACGCATCGAGACATCCAAGGGGAAGGGTGAGGTGTCTGAGATTTGAAAGCACACGAAGAAGTTTCGCGAGCTCCTCGTCAAAGGCAGGTACGTTAGTCGACTGGTACGTGATGGCGAGCTCGTGTAGCCCACATAAGCGTTCCTCGATGCTTTCTAGAGCGGGAGGGATTTTGATCCCGGGAAACTCGGTCGCCATGAACATCAACTGTAGCCCTTCGATGTTACCACACATGATGAATGGCTCGAGGTTCGAAGAGCCAACTGCGATGCGTCGCACGTTCGGGAATATGAAAAGAGCCGTGCGAGTAGATGCAATGTCGTGCACAGCCTGCTCCGACAGGCGGTATTCCACCTGGTATGAATGGTCGACCCAGAATCTAACGCGAGCAGTATTCTTTAGAAAGCGTTCCCATTCCTTTGCTTTAGGAGGGCGCACAAAAGACTGACGTGGATTTGATCAGTAGCCGCACCTGCCCCGGTATACTAACCACTCACTCACAATTTGACGTGGCCTCTCATCCGAGACTTCAGTCTGGGTCAAAGACAAGAACGCTTTGGGTTCAATCTGCCTCCAGATTATATCCAGCGCAACATAGGACCATTTCTTACAAACACGAGCGTTTCGTGCATTGGAGTCCTTTTTCAGGAAACCGAACACATTGTGAAGAATTTCCTGGATGGCCAGCGTTTGATGCATTCTCTGTGGCCATGCGCAAAAGAGTATGTCTGTCAGTGGGAGCATCTATAACTAAACCAAATGGTCTCAAACCTGGAAAGTACTGCAGGTATCAATTCCTCTCGTCGAGCCTGAAGTAGCCGGTCGACAGCAAGAACTCGAAAGAGTGGGGACTGCGCGATTTCCACCGTTCTCCGTCCGAGTCTGGTACCACGTGGTGGGGCTGGAACTTTCCAGTGGCGCTGCCTCCCATCCAGATGCTGAGCGATGACACCGACCATCGCCTTCAAGTTCTAAGTTATTTTCTTGGGCTTGCTTCAGTCTCTTGGGACTCCAGTGGAGACGTCTGCTTCTCGCGGCGTATCGTATATTATCTCAGTCTTTCAGTCCACCGGGCACCCTGTCGGAAGTGTCTTCGAGATAAGATAGGGAAAGTTCACATCCCGCAGCATCACGTGCCGCGTGGCGTGCGCGCCGTCACCGACGCTTGCGACGAGCTCAGTGTCCGAACGAGGACAATTCTCCAAAGTCGAAAACCACAGAATTGCGTGGAATCCCTTAAAGTATATACCATACAAATTTCATGATCGCACGGTCCCACTTCGAAGAGGAGATAATATAATGATGATTTCTTTTGCAATTGTTCTGGTGTGGCGTTGAGCCCCAAATTAGGGTTCCAAACAAATCAGAACAAATCATTCGAAAACTATCTCCTCCCTGAGTCCTGCATTGTTCTGCACAAAACTTTGAACATATATTCTTTCGTATATGTCTCACAAATCTGTGGTTTTACATTTGTGAAATGTGTTCTTTTCCGCACAGTGAGCTCGTCGCAAGCGTCGGTGACGGCGCGCACGCCACGCGGCACGTGATGCTGCGGGATGTGAACTTTCCCTATCTTATTCAGGGTTTCCCAAACGTTACTTACATTACATTACCGCTGCGTAATGTAATCTAATAGTATTCTCTCGAAATCATGCACGTAGAGATCCGGAAATGTATTGTAATGTATTCTCCCCGTATTGCACCCAATTCGTAAGTAATTGTAAGTAATGGTATGAAATCTCTTGCGTGCACATGCATCATATCTTTTTGGTTCAGCGACTCACCCGCACCAATGTTGAATGATACAAGTGCTGCAGAGCATTCCAGGGTATGTATACATGATTTTCCCGTGCCCTTACAGGGTTGAGTTGAACGGCAGGTAGAACAGCGAAAATGTGGCGAAAAACATGCTACGGGCACTCATCCCCAAAAGGTGAATGTGGCGGCAATCGAACAGTCGGGGCCTATCCGGAGCTTCCACCTGACCCAAAAATGTCACGGATCATACAAATGAATAGTATTAAATAGTAATCATTTCGCATCTCGACTGTAATCGAAAGTAATTGTAACGAAATGGATCCTGGAAGCGTGGCCGCCGTAACTGTAAGTAATCGTAAGTAATTCTAAGTAATCGTAAGTAATATCTCGTAGTTGTAATGTTTGTCGCTCCCTGATCTTATTCCTTCTCGTACTAGTATTACTAGAGTCGACGACTCCGAACGTTTTCTGTCCCATTCTCAAGGAAACGCGCCGCGTAAACTCTTCTCAGAGACATGTTCTATGTGTTCTCAGGGAAAGATCCATATTTTCATTCAACATACAGTGTCTGCCAACGGCGCGGTCTGGGCTGAGGAATGATTTGGGAACGGTGAATTTCAGTAGTCGATCCGAAGCTCAATGACTGAACTTTCATTCAGTACGACGATACGTTGGTCATATTTTTCTCTCGCCGACGATTCGGGAATCTATAAGTTAACGATTTGCCATGCTTGTAGCGGATTAGCTGCACTCAAAGTTGAAATCAGCTGGGCTGACTTTTTGTGAGCTGGGCTGACCCGACCAGCGGTGAGCTCGGGCGAGTTATTAGGGTTACGCAGGGTTACGCCCTGGTCACTCCCATGCTTCCCGCCACACGAGCTTTCTTCCTGTCGCGACTAATATACATGCTGACAGCTTACTCATAAGACTCAGAAAAAGTATACGCTGTGTCAATGCCCACCATGGAAAGTACTTCTATCGAGGAGATGAATATTTTAAGAGAGGTAATGACAGAGATGCGTATCTCCTGTCTGCCTGACAGCTTACTCATAAGACTCAGAAAAAGTATACGCTGTGTCAATGCCCACCATGGAAAGTACTTCTATCGAGGAGATGAATATTTTAAGAGAGGTAATGACAGAGATGCGTATCTCCTGTCTGGGTGTGGCGACTCGGTCACAGCGCGTCACCGTTGCTCGATGGTGACCGCGAACGACCGGCGTTGGGCAGCTCAGCCCAGCTAACAAAAAGTCAGCCCAACTAACAAAAAGTTAGCCCAGCTGATTTCAACTTTGAGCCCCCCTATTGTCTACTGTAGTTTTTCGACCGTAGGTTCGTGGGAAGATTATGTCAGACGTGACCTTCGCCAGACCACGGTTCGTTTGGACGGACCACGCGTGACGAACCAATGAAATTGTTCGCGGTACGTCCCAAAAATTGATTTCTGGGTGATTTTGGTGGAAATCGGTCACGATTTGCTGTTCGTGGACCCGCGTATATGCGTGACCATCGGGTCAAATATGTTCGCCGGCGCACCCTGCGTGATGCGTGACGAACATATGGTCGAAAAACTACAGTAGATTCCGATCATGCTTACCCACATATTGTACTGTAGTTTTTCGCGCACAAGTTCGTGTCCCGTGTCCCATGGGGGCCGCGAACGAACTCGTGCCGCGGGACAGTCCCACCCCATTGACGTGCACTGAACTTGTAGATGGGACAAACCAAAATTTGGTGCAAATTTGACAAAAATGCAAATATATTCTAGGCTCCTAAAGTGACCTCAGAAAGGTCCCCAAGACACACTTTGGGCTATATTTTGCCACTGGGTGAGATATTTTACCCAAATGCAGAGGACAAATGGCTGCTGAGCGGTCGTGAAAGGTCGTATTCCTGGAAAAGCGTCGATGTTCACGAACATTGTCCCTTGTCCCGGTCTGCTTGCGAACCGGGACACGAACGGATTATGTCATCTCGGCAACGGCCGAGGGGCGGTGGCGTTGTGCGCGAAAAAGTACAGTACTCTAGTACTGAGCGTCGATGTCAGAGGAATCCCCCAATTTCACGATCGGTACCAAATCAGTGCAACTCACCACATAGAGGCCGAGCAATCTCTTCAACCGGATTGAATGGGAGTCGACAGAAAGCATTCAGTGAGGCAATAAACGGGAGAGCAGAAAACATATAGTGTGATTTATCTGCCCCTCTTCAGTTCGTCAGCTTGCATACCCCGATTCGATGGGAGAAATCGTGCCACTCAACCACATTGCGCTCGGTCTCAACGCTGTTGGAACCTGCGCGATAACACCGTTATAGGGCCATAGCGGAACCAGCAGCTACAATGACTCTAGGACAAAGGTTTGAATGCCCCACGGTTAAATGCAATGACTAATTCATCAAACTCAAGCAACAAGACAGCACTACCACAATGTTACCTATAGCTACCGCTTCACCTTCTTCCCTCTCCGATTCTTCTTCTTCTCCGCATCCCCTCCAGCTCCACTCTTTCCCTCACCCCCCTCATCCGCCGCCTTCCTCTTTTTCCCCTCCCCTGCGCTACCCTTCACACTAACGATGGTCGACCTTCCCTTCCCGCCCGCTAAACCCCCTTGGACCTGTTTCTCGGCGGCGCTCCAATCTGCCGAGGCATCGTTGATGGCGTATCTATGTCATGTCACGGAAAGACTTGGATATGAGCATGAGTTGCACGCCACAAGGCAAACGCCACGACGTGACGCGAGGAGAAGGGTATGCAGGGTTGAGTGAAGGTGTAGTATGCGCGAGCACTTACCGACTCAAATCAAGTGCATCGATCATAGCCCTCTGTTTCTCCTTCATCGCACTCGTAACCTCATCCCCCGCCTTCTCCAGCTCGTCCTCCATTCCCTTCACCCCTTGCCCTATCGCCATCTCCGCGTCCACGTTGTCGCCACCGACTCGTGAGGAGGGTGCGAGCGTGAGAGTGGAGGTCGAGGTAGAGGCGGTGGGGATACTAGCGCCGATAGCGGCCTTTTGGATCTCGGTGAGTTGGGAGGAGATTTTGCGGATGAGTTTGACGAAGAGGGCGAGGGCTTGGGAGACGGGGAGTTGGAGTTCGGCCTAGTTCGTGCATTCACATTTACAATCAGCCGTCCGATCATGACAAGATGAACTGGTAAGAAGCGAACATACCTCAACTTCTTCGACACTCTTCCTCTGCAGCCCCATGCCCAACAATAGACTGCTCTGTACGGCGCTCAACCGCATACCGTCCCCCAATCGTCGTTCAAAGTATAATGAGGCGACTTTAGGAAGCAAGTCGAGGATGACGTGATAGTCAAGTGCATTCTGGGCGTATGATTCGAGTCGCTTGAGATCGAAGGGCGTTAGGAGGAAAGAGAGTTCGGTGGATGTGAGCTCTGTAGTACCGATAGGGTTAGTCACAACACGCGACGGCGAGAAGGCAAAGAATCCGAACCTGAATTTGGTGCATCTAGGAACTTGACACCCGCGTTCGCAGCCTCGAGGATGCTCAGACCCATCACACTTCCGAATTCTCGGAACTTGAACGAAAGCAGAGAGAGGAAGCGTCTCCGGAAATCTACATCACATTCCGTTTGGGTTTCAGCATACGTAGCGGACGCGAAGCTCGGAACATCGGAATGAATTCGTACCTTTAGCGAACTCGCCCAACCACTGCAAGTCTCCCTCGCCCGCCGAATTCAGCCCACGGACCATAACGCAGGAATGTTCGCCGGTGAGCTCGCTCTGCGTCTGCCGAATGTAAAGTGGGACGTAACCTGCTCTCTTCCAGAACCTACGGTTCGTGTCAGCATCAACATGGTCAGCTCGACGCTTTTTATCCCGGGGAAAGATGGCTGGGGAAGTGAAAGACTCGTACCGGAGCAGTTGTGGCGTGAGCCCATACGAAACACCCAAGTAGTCCAAAGCCTCTGGTTTCCGCTCGGTCAAACGTTGAAGGAGTGGAGGCATGGCAGTCGCGGAGCGGACCGTTGGGTTGTCGGTTAGTAGGTCTGTGGACTGAACGAGGACGTAAGTATCGTTAATCTATTGATTTGAGAGGCGAAGGTGGCTTACTTCGTCGATAGCTGCCGCATTTGGATATGAAGGTTCCGGCCTCGAAGCCTCGTCGAGGTTCAGATATTCATTCGAATAGTAACCGTTGAGAGCCTGAAGCGCTCTCGCTCCATATCCCATCTATCACCAAGCAAGCATCTCAATCAGCATACGTGCACAGAAGCCTCAGCGCCAAGTCATCAGGAAAGGGGAATAGGGCCACAACTCACATTCGCATAATCGGGATGTGTCGCAATTCTCACCACCCTCGCCCCACTCATCAACGCAAACTTGCCCTCCTGGAACTGCTGCGCCACCAACCACGGAATCATATCTCCGCCAGCCCTCAACCCCCTCCCCAACCCCTCCATAATCGCCCCCTTGCTAATATTCCCCTCCAGCGCGACCTGCAACACCACCAACGGTTCCGGCAAATGGCTTTCGTCGTCTTTTAAGGGTGGAAGGAGGACGAAGAGATGGTGCGCGGGCGCATCGGACAGGAGTTGGAGGTCGTTCGGTTGGTTTTTGTAGTGCGAGGCGACGTAAAGGGACATCATGCGTTGGAGGAAGAGTTCGGAGGCAGGGTGGTAGGAGAAGAGAGTATCGCGGGAGACGTAAAAAAGTTCGCATTGCGACGGGTGGGGTGTGCCTTGGTGGGCGGACCTTGGTGCCGTTGTGGCGTCTAAACACAACAGCCCGTTGAGCCATTTTTCGACACGGTCACCGGAGGCGTATCGGATGGGTGCGTCGAGTTTGATCTCGCGGAGGGTACGCGCTTTAAGAGGTGCGGAGGCCTGTGTAGGCTTTTTTGTGGAGGTAGAGGTGGAGGCGGAAGGAGCGTCTTCGGTGACGTCTTTGGAGAGGGAAGGACGGGTGGATTCGCGGAGTTGTTGGATAAGTTTGAGGGAGAGGGAGCGGCCGGTGCCTTCGTAGCCGTTGATTGTCGAGGCCATGAAGACGAGGTAGGGACCGATGAGGTTCCGTACGAGGGGTAGAGGGATAGCGGCGGCTTCGTCGATTATGACAAGCTCGGCCTGACCAAGTACGTGTGCGTCTTGCGGTTGAATGTACTGCAAAATCCAACTATCAGCTACGTATCTCTGCGAAGGAGGGAACATAAGAACAGACCTGGATCGTCTGCCGATGCTGCCTGAACACATTCACCCTTACGATGGCTTTGTTGAACTCCGGATTCGTACTCTGCGCGATATCATAATCCAGATGCTCCTCATACCCAAGCGCATCCATGCCCTTAAACACAAACTCGAACAACGTCTTCAGATTCTCTGGACTCGGACTCGTCACAAATATATTTGAATACCCGTGGGCGAGCGCAGCGGCCATAGCCAACCCCAACGCCGCACTTTTACCCCTTCCGCGTCCGGCCGTAAGCGTCACTGTCGAACTGAGTGTCTTTTCGGAGATGGCATCGACGAAGGTGAGAAGTGCCTGGGCTTGGTCGAGCGTGCGTGCGAGTTTGAGGAGGTCGCCGACGGGTTTTGTGTCTGCGAGGGAGGATTTGAGGGTGCTCAGTTCGGAAGAGGACTCGGAGGCTTTTGATTTGGAGCGGTCGGACTCGAGGGGTTTAATGTCTTTCCCGCGAGAGATAGGGAGGACATTGAGTTCGTCGTCGAGGACGAGACAGTCCTCACAGGAGCCGAGGGAGAGGATGAAGCGTTCGTTGAAGCGGGCGACCACGGCGTCGTGTGATGATGTGCGGTATCGTGCGTGCACATCCTATTCCAAGGTCGATCGAAAAAGTGAGAAAACCTTGTGAAATGAGAGACGAGGTAAAACGCACCATGGTCATACTGTACAACTGTCGTAACGACGACATAGTCTTCAACAAGAGCACCACCAGTCCACCACCCTCGACCGTCTCAATCGTCCGTGCAAGAAGATTCGGCGTGATAGCTTCAAAGTCCTGGAGGACAAGCATACCATAGGTATTACCGAGAATTTTATGCGACTCCTTGTAGTATCTGCCATGGCGTATATCATTAACAACACACAGTGGAATCGATTGTGGGAATTATACTCACGTATAGCGAATGTCGGTCACGGTGACGAAGATCTCAAACGGGTCCTGGTCGTTCGCTTCTCTGATCCCTCGTTTGACATCGCGCTTGATCTTGGCTTCACGCTTCTTCCGATGGCTATAGAGAGAGGTGCAAGGAGTTAGACATACTGAAGTACAGTTGGGGCCACACCGACCCTCGCCACATTTCTTCACATGAGCTCGCTCGCTCAATGAGTGAGTACCATCACGTCCCTCCCGCCCTGCAGACTTTTCTCTTCTACCACACCTCGTCTAAATTGAAGAATTTCCAGGTAGTTTGCACTTACGTCGTGAAACCCAGTTCCTTTTTGTAGCACCAAAGCACCGACGGTCGTGCCGAAACTCTTGACTGAGATAGCAAGAAATGAAGGTTGACAATCTGGTCACGACCCTTGTCGCCGACGAGCACTATGAAAGACCGATGATTCTTCTGGACATTATTGTTGATGAGGATAGGTATCCGTGGGTCGAGCTGTTTTCGCATCGGGGTCTGACGAGGAGAGTTCGGGAACAGAAGCCGAAGACTAGAGATACACGAGCGATATTACAGACGGTTTCCAAGTAGAAATCAGAAGAAGTAAGAGCAAGAAGACCGTTCGAAATTGAGGGTCGGTCGTGGAGGAAGAGAGCAGCGTGAAACAGAGCCAAGCGGAAAGTGGAGGGAAAATGTTACAGGAAGATAAGATTGCGCTAATCAGATAAGATGGTTTCGGCCGTTGATCTAATCTCGCCTCCTCACCCCGACAACCGAGCGTAGTGCAGCGTGGACTGGTATATAACCCTCATGCGAGTCGGGCGCGGACCCCCAAGGGCCCTAACAAGCGACTCGTAGCTGTGTTTGGATATTCAAGAAAGTATAGGCCCTTTCTTCGTTATTTTCGTTTATCTCTGGGTACGTCTGGGTCAGCCAAACCAGCCTAAATCACCCCCGGACTTTGGGCCACAATCTGTGATTCACCGACTCGAACTGGTGGTAGATCTGCCGTCGTACTTTCTCTGGATTTCACTACGGTCTTCTTTTCGAAATCGTAATGTCTGCTTCTGGTCCGCCTCTCCCATTATCTCTCGTCGTCTCAGGACCCAGCTCTCATCCAGAGACTTCCCTACCCGCATCTGCACAACCCGCGTCCTCTCCCGACGAAGAACAGATGGACGACGAACTAGCTGCAGAATCTCTTCTCCAAACACCCCATTCATCTACCACTCTGCGTCGTAAACGTGCTCGCCCACGCTCTTTGGAACCTGACTCTGACCGGTCAGATACCGGGACGGACCATGACACCAAGATGATTCAGTCTGCCCCGACGTCCAAGGCAGCGGCCGTCAGGGATCATGAATATTATCTGAGTGACGGTAGCTGCGTGTTGCTGGTAGAGAACGTGCTATTCAATGTGCGTTTGTGTCCTTATCTACCCCGTATAGTTCCTGACTGACGAACCGTGTGGCACTATTTATATTCGTTTACTACAGGTCCACCGATCGACGCTTTCCAGAGATTCGTCATCGTTTGGAACCATGTTCTCGTTACCTCAGGGAGAAGCAGTTGTCGAAGGAACTTCGGACGATCACCCGATTGTTCTTCACGGTGACAAGCTGGAAGAGTTCAGAGACCTGCTCTGGGCGCTTTATGCTCTGTGAGTAGTTGTTCACACGTTTCGAAAAGCATAATATATCTCTGTTCGACATTCGAACCTCGATATCCTACTGCAAAGACGTTACGATGGTAGAGTGGCGGCTGTGACCAACTACTCTCGCCCATCGCGATTCACGCTCGTACCCCTATCTTATACTATGTATTCAACCTTTTTCAGAACACGACATACTGACATTTCCCTCAACTACAGACCACACGAACTCATGCTTGTCCACACCTCCCCTACCAACCTCCCCCGGCTGATCAACATCGCCCGCCTCTCCAACAAATACTCCTTCAAATCCCTTGAAACCTGGTCTCTCGACGTGATCGTCGAAAACGTAACCCGCAAACCCTCCACGATCCCCCCTCAGTCAACACATCCTCTCACCATCAACCCTCTCTTTGCCTCTTCCTCTTCCCCCTTCTCCACCACCTCCCCATCCACTCCCTCCCCCACCACCACCCATTCCGGGACCTCGCCACACGGGAGTCGGAACCCGATCGCGCACCTGACAGAGAACACCGACCAGATCGTCGCGTTGGTCAGACTGGCTCAATTATGCGGGCACGAGAAGTTATTAAACACGATGGTCGACAACCTCAAGAAACTCGTCACTTCCTCGCTCGAGAGCGCTTACATCGCCATGACGCTCGCCGAAGAACTCGATCTGCGCCAACTCCGCGGTCTGGCGTACTACGAGCTCATGGACAAACCCATCGCTGTCCTGCGTCCGGGTGCCTCGCACGGTGCGGCGAGACTGGGCCACTTGGACTCCAAAGGCCGTCTCGTCATCACCCCCGCGCAACACCTAACGCTCCTAACAGGGTTCCACGCGCTCTCCACGCACTGGCACTCCCACCTCCGCCTCAATCCTCCCACCATCATGCACTCGCCCACCTGCGGATCCACGTGGCACCAGCACTCCTGCTCATCCTCTTGGTCCGATTTCTGGAAAGAGAAGGTGAAGTGCGAGAGTGTGTGTGAAAAGGGGTTGGCGGATGTGAAGGGGCGGTTGAGGGCGATGGGGAGGGAGTTTGAGAGGTGGGGCGTGGCTGGGTTCATGCATGCGGAGTGTAGGGAGGCGGCGAAGGGGATTGTGAGGAGCTTGGTGGGGGAGATGGAGGATGAGGCGGGGCTGGTTAGGTTTTTTGAGGGGGCGGTAGAGGCGAAGGACGGGGGTGAGGCGTGAGAGTCGGTCGAGTTAGGTGCTGGTCGTGGCTGCGGACTTGGTATGGATCTATAGACGATTTCCTTTCGCTGGCGTTTTTCACTACATATTATAATTTACTGCTCAATTACAGTGCGGTAATGCTTTTTTGCTTCATATATGACAGCAGACAGAGAAGAAGCATTCACATCGTCCTCGTAACGCGCCTTACAATGCATACTCAAATACGGGCCTCGAGCTCTGCCGGTGGAATATTGGACACACTGCGATGAGGGATGTTCGTTTGACAGAAAAAGAAACCAGCTCGAAGGCTATGCTGCCGCTCTTTCTCGGTGAAGACGAGCCACGTCAACATTTCTCAGGCTTAACCTGCCAATCTATATAGTCTGGACGGACGCTCGTAGATCGCATTCAAAGTCTTTGGGAGACTTTCCAAAGCATCGCGGTGGCTTCGAAGATGTCGATTACCATATCGTTTTTGGCGCTGACGTTCTGGCCAGCCTACATTCTACGGAAAAGGCAGTAAAGGTTTTGGGCAGTTCCCCAGAAGTGTCCATATCTGATCCATATTCGATCGGAACCTGCAATAGTTGGCGGACCGTCAGTGCCATCGCAGGTAGGTGTAGTCGTCAACGCACGCAGAGGTAACGCAATTCTGGTCTAAACTCACAAAGCCCTATTTCGCTCTCATATTTCCTGTCGAACAATCTCATTCCATTCCCAAACCGAACGCCTCCCCTCTAATACCAGACTCGTCATGGCCGCAACTATCTTCCAGCCCGCCACGTACGTCTCTACATCATCACGACTATATGCTGCCACGGACGCCCACCAGTTCCACTCGTTCCTCAATCGCGGTGGTAAATCGTCTTCATTCGGCCACTCCCAGTCGGTCTTGGACGAGTCCACCATAAAGTGGGCCAAGTAACGGGCTAATTGCGGAAATGTGGTCACAGGTGCATTGGCGCCTATCAGGAGGGGAGAACGGCCGATATGGAGTGTCGTGATATCAAGCTGCCGCCTTGAGACAATAATCCAAGGGGGGACGGATGGTGGGGCTGCAGTGGCATCGACGTAGAGGCCGATTTCGAAAAGATATGGACAGTATGTCGCGAGAGTGACGAATGCGCCCAATGTGAGCGTCGGGACCTTCGAAACAACAGGGTGGGGATTGAGGTCGAAAACGCACAAACGGGGCCACTTAGAGACGAGCTCTCGGAGTTCTGTGTCGGATATGTCGATTGGGTATGGATGGCGGATGCGGAAGACGTGGAGACTGTTGAATCCGAGGAGTGGGTGAAGGTCTCGTGCCCCGAGGGCCTCGACAGAACTGAAGTCCGAGCGTCTGCTATATTGGCGCGCTTGAAGGATCATCTCTAGGTCGGTGAGGAAAGGGCATACACCGGCGAGATAGGTCAACAGCTCTCCGAAGGATGCTGGAGACGGTATGGTTGTGGTGTGAAACCACAAGGAACGAAGATTGGTTCCTGGGAACCCAGGCTGCGTGAAGAACTTCTGAGCATCGGTGAGGGAGGGGGTAGATAATGATAACTGGTTCAGAGACGGGAATGCGCCTGTCTCGAGCAGTTTGTTAGGAAGTACTAGGCTGCGCTCGCGCTCGCGCTCGTTGCATGGGTAAGGCACATACGTTGAAGACGAGTCAACCAATATGCTTTCGAGACTTTGATGTTGTGAAAGTGCACGTATCATGGATGCATTGAGACAGAAGAGAGGGAGACTCAAAGTAGTCAATTTGGGTAAAGCCTGGAGAAGTCCTGCGATTTCGTCGTCGTAAGGAGGAAGCCCTTCAGTCCCCATCTCATAATATATATCTAGGTCTTTTAGCTGGGGAAGCTGATCGCGTATATTTTCCAGGATAGTGGGAACGCGCGAAGGTGAAATTTTTGAAACCACCAACACCAGGGAGACCACCGAAGGACTCATGATGAATGTCTCAATTTCGTGGGTGCTGGCGCTAATGTCTTGCAAGTTAGGGAATATGCAAGTTGTGGTGCAGGTCGCTGAGATATCGGCGAGGGCCGCGGATGAAAGACGCCAGGCGTTTGCTGTGAGGTTGAAAGTCGAGTCTCTCCACGTTCGTACGCAACTGCTGTGCGAGAGGAAACGGCTCCATTCTTCCGGTGTTGGGGGGCGTACGAAGGTCTACGATGTGAGTGTAGTACCACATTCAAGGACAGTATTAGCTCCGGCTACCAAACATATCATCCCGAAATGTTGCGTACCAATTCGCGAGGGACTGCGTTGGCCTCAGTGGGAGCTAATGAAAGAAAGACCCCCGGGTGTGCGACCTCCCAGACGAAATCAAGAGCGGTGTCGCTCCAGCTTTTGCATACCCGTGTATTACGAGCGTTATCGTCCTGCTCAAGCAGAGAGAATATATGGCGCAATATCTCTGAAATACTTAGAGCATGATGCATGTGAAGCGACGTGTCTGGTCAGTGTTCAACGATTGGGTGAGCGGTTTTCAGCGAGAGCACCGCCAGTTGCAATGCGCACCTTCAAAAACCCGTTGTATTTTGGTATTTGGTCCAGTGGTTTAGGAGGCCACAAGTCAAGCAATAGACAAAAAACAGTGTTCGTGAGGTCTGAACGTTTCTGAACGTTGAACGTTGAACTGGAGATCATTGAAATTCGGATGATCAAGCGACAGTTCAGCTGACTAAGTATCGGACTTACCCGAGAGCCGTAGCACCGAACCAAAAGATACCTGAGTCTACCTGAGTAGGAATTAACGATTGTTCTGACCAGGCAAGGATCGAGTGACCGGACTGATTCTCCCTTGCATTTCTGCTGTCTGATCACTACTGAGTCTTTGGAACTGCTGTAACAGCGCTTCCGTATCTATAATTTTCAGAACCCTCGTCGACACATCCCGGTACGAAAACAACTCGATCTACTACGAACACCTATTTTTATCCACAACTATGTCCAGAGAGTCGGTGACATGGGTTACGATCAAATTGTCAAGCTACATTTCCGGTTATCTCAGTCAAAACGAAGGAGGGTTGCATTCTCATTTCCCAGTCCCAATAAGCTGATGCCAGCCCCTAACCGAGCGCTTCCCATCTAATACCAGACCCGTCATGACCTCGATCGTCTTCCATCCCTCCTCGTAGTCTCCCAAGTCATTATACACCGCCAAATCATGTAGCCAATCCTCCTCGTCCTGCAGGTGTGGCGGATATATATCGCCATCTGGCCACATCCATTTCATCGGGGGATCTCCCTTGATGAACGAGCCAAGGTAACGAGCGACTTCTGGGTACGTTGTGGTCGAGGCGTCATCCTCGAAAGATAGAGGGGAGCGGCCCAAGTAGAGGGTCGAGATGCGTAGTTCGTACTTTAATGCAACGATGTCGCGTGGAAGAGGAGGTACGGCCAGAGTCGCATCGATATACAGTCCAAGCTCGGTGAGATCACGGCAATGCATAGCGAGGGGAAGGAATGCACCCAGGGTCAGCATCGTCGGCATCGTGACCACGGGATGTGGGTTCAAGCTGAGCGAGCGTAGATGCGGCCACTTCGATAGTAGTTCGGCAAAGTCGGCGTCACCAATGGCGATGGGATACGGATGGCGAATACGGAAGGTGGAGAGGTGTGCTAAGGTAGGGAGGTGGAGGAGGTGTCGTGCTTGAATGGGATCAACGGGCGACATATTCGAATCTTCCGAGTAGGTTGGTGCTTGAAATATGAGTTCTAGTGTTGTGAGGGAAAGGCATACGCCAGCAAGGCCAGAAATGAGGTCTCTAACAGCGGAGGACGGCGGTATGCTTGGCGTATGTATCCATAGATTGGTAATATGCTTCGATGGGAACGCGTTCTGAATGATGAAGGATCGAGCATCAGTGACTGTGGCCGTTGAGAAGGCGATGTGGCGTAGAGCAGGAAATGCATCGGTCCGAAGGGGGTGATTCATCGTCGAAAGAGTACGTGTTTCTGCGTTGCAGGGATATGTCGCAAAGGGGGGGGTCTGAATCGACATGTATTTCCTGCAAATTCTTGTGGCAGGAAAGAGCTTGTGCCATAGGTCCGTTGAGACAGAACAAAGGGAGAGTAAGCGTCTTCAGATGCGGCATATGGTGAAGGAGATCTGTAATCTGGTCGTCGTAATCCGGGAGCTCCAAAGCGTCCCGCTCGTAAACGAGATAGAAATTCTGTAGGTTCGTCAAGCGATCGCGTACGTTCTCCAACGTGACCGGGATGCGTAAATGTGGTTGCTGCCCCACCGAGGTGACCATCAGTGCTAGGTCGACCACGGCCTCTCCCATGGTGATCGTATGAAGAGCGTGAGTGGCGGCGAATATAGCGCGCAAGTTCGGAAATATGTTGATTGTGGTACGGGTGAGCGCAATGTCGTTAAGAGCTCTCTGCGAAAGATGCCAGTTGTTTCCCTGAGATTTGAAAACGGGGTCTTTCCAAGTTTTCACACGCGCGCTCTTCAACAGAAAGCGACGCCATTCGCTGACCCGCGGCGAACGTTCGAAGGTCTGGGACACCGTGATCATAGGATAGAATCAGTGTTCAATTCCAGACCATGCTCCCTGGAAAGATTGTGGACGTACTACGATGCGCGCGGGATCGAAACGTGTGGGTGCCAATGAACGGAAGACTCCTGGATGTGCATCTTCCCAGGCAAAATCGATGGCTATATCGGTCCATTGCTTGCATACCCATGCGTTACGAGCGTTATCGTCTTGCTCAAGAAGAGAGAATATATGTCGCAAGATTTCGGCGATGTCTAGGACATGGTGCATGGTGGGCATACGTATCGCTATGTCGGACGGATTGATGAGAAAATCAAAATCTATATGAACGAAACCGAAGCAGGGCGCATGAGAAATCGTACCTGAGCTGAGGTTGCGAAAGTTGACACGGTTCGCGGACAAGTTGCAAAAAAACCGTCGTCCAGTCGTTCACCCGCAAAAGGTCTCCGGCATGTCCCGAACTGAATCACCCGGCAGTCCAACGACCGAGCCATAGGCGGCAACGACGGTGGCGTCACCTGCGCCGTTCGTCTCAGTTCGAATCAACTTCGAATCTTACGCACTTCGCATACTACTACATGCCGATAGAGTATAAGGCGTGATCTCAGAAGCATCAAGAAATAGAATCAACAAAAATACTCCGATATTTGGCAAAGTGCTGGCGCAAAATAAATATTGCTTTTCTACGGTTTTATATGTACGAAAGTGTGGCCACACCTGAAGACGCGCCACCGTGACAAGGCATACCGAGATTACTGGAGTGATCCGTTGAGGGATACAAGTTAGTTGTGTGATTCAGACGCATGTTTTGAGATACTAGAAAAGCGTACCTATCACGCATCAGGATCCTGCTTTTGCACGAGAATATCATACTTCGACTGCAGCTCTAACAACTGCTTTCTCAGTCGATCATTCTCCTCAAGCACCATCATGGCAGCCTCTCCAGTACGGTCTGATCCCGCGTCTATGTTTTCCTCACCACTCGGGCCTGCGCACGAGCCAGGTATCATGGCGTCATTAATGTCCTTCATTAATACCCGATCTTTGAGGATCAGATGTGTCATCGCCTCGATAACCTTCCACCCACGTTCATACTCCTCCCAGTCATGATAGTCCGTCGCAAAAGCCGGAAGCCATTCCTCTGGTTTTTCTACTTTAGCAGTATACCGTTCAGCATCCGGCCATGTCCATGTGGAAGAGTGAGAGAGGAACGACGCGAGATATTCGGCAATGGAAGGGTAAGTCGTAACCGCTGCGTCAACGGTAGTGGAGAGGGGCGACCGGCCGAGAGACAACTCCATAGACGATGTGTTGAGACGATTGATGGCGGGCAATGGGATAGAGATAGATGCATCGAGATAAAGGCCGACCTTCCCGAGGGACGGACAGTGCAACGCCAGAGGCAGAAGCGAGCCTAAGGTAAGCGTGGTCGGCGCAGTAACGATGGGGATCGGGTTTAGACTAAGCACCTCTAATAGAGGAGAGTTGGTCGCGATCTTGATGACGTCAGCATCCGTCATTTGGATGGGATATGGATGTGTTACTGTGAAGGAGTTGAGTCGAGGAAAGCGTAAGAAGGGAAAGAGATGACGGATATGAAGATGTGGGATGGTGTCGAAGTTGTTTCTTGAAACGCTGTAATTGATCCGGTGGAAAGCGAGGGATAGCTCTTCCAGAAGCGGGGAAGTCGGTAAAAGGTCTTCAAGGAATATTTCTACCGATTTAGAGGAGGGAGCTGATCGTATGTGGATCCAGAGGGATGCGAGGTTCCTTAGAGGAAAATGCGGCATGGTAAGAAAGCTCGTAGCATGCATGATTTTGCCAATAGAGAACTGTATAATTTTGAGGGATGGAAACGCTCCCACGTCCAAATGTTCGTCTGAACAAAGTGTCGGGCGAGAGCTGACTTGATGAGTGTGGAGCACGAAAGGCGGTTCCAAGTCGCAGTTGATGGCCTGCAGATGTGGGTGTCCCGAGAGTGCTACTATGATGGGGAGGTTGAGGCACAGGATTGGAAGGGAGAGATAGTTTAGTCTGGAGAGACTCTTGAGAAGTGCGATAAGACATTCGTCTGGGATCCGGATGCTTTCGTTTTCGAGGCAGATGTTGAGGTATTCGAGATGAATAAGTCGTTCCCGAATACTGTCCAGAGTCGAGGGGATATGCGGCGAGGGAAACACCTTCAAGTCTGGATCCAGCATCAGGTCCAACCTTCGAACGGAGTCGGTCATGAGAAACAATTCGAGCTCCGTTGAACCAAGAGATAGACTCCGCAAATTAGGAAAGATGGACAAGGTCGTACGAGTGGCCGATATGTCCTGCGCTGCCTTCTTCGACAGTCGCCACGATAAGCGCCAGGAGGAGTCCTGCCAAGTCCGTACCCGGCTGGTGCTCGTAAGAAAGCGTCTCCAATCCTGTACAGTCGGTGGATGAATGAAATCCTAGCCACAACATCGTTAGCGTCGTTCCTCCGGCCAGGTTTGTAGGTTTCCACTAACGATAATGTTTGAGGATAATTGCTCCACATCTGTCGGAGCCAACGAGCGGAAAACCTCCGGTCCAACATCTCGCCAGGTTTCATCGAGCGCAGGTTGACACCACTGCTTACAGACACGCGCGTTGCGCGCATTCGAATCAGGATCTAGATTTACGAATATACAAAGCAATATCTCCGGTATGGTGAGGACGCGCTCCATGCTGAGTCTGTCTGCCCCTGGTAAGAGACTAAGACGCGGTTCGGTTTGGAAACTTGACCTACAGAGACGTCGACAACTTCCTGCTTTAAGTCGATGCGTTGTAGGCCAGACGGAGACCGGGAAGAGCAACCGAGGCAGTAGGTTAGTTCGGTACCGGGAAACTGCAGCTACAGAGGAGGAAACATACCTGACGAGAGCTCAGGGCATAAGTTATGTAGAGAGCGAGACATCGGAGCGAGACGCGACTTGGTGTGAATTACAACCTGAGCGTCTAAATTGATCCGGAAAATTCCGTGCCAGTTCTCCAAGTGGCACAAGTAAGCATGTGTTCATCACCTGCAGCTGTCTACTCGAGCTCAGAGTAAGTAGATGCGTATATGGAACGACACGCTGTTCATATCTCACGTAAACTAAAATATTCAAACAGTGGGCAAATTGGCAATGGTAAATGTTTGGTAAATGTGGGCGAACAACGTCTCTTATTCTACTGGGATACTTGCACTCCGAGTCGCACAAGTCACCGGAGTAGCTCAAAGTGCATGAGTATCCATGTCCGAGGCGTTATAACACTACAATCCGAGAACAGTGCCCGTAACCCCGCATACAAGTTATCATGCTACGACTCCAGACGCTGTCCGGCTGAGAGGCGGTGTGGCTACACGAGCCGCACTCGTCACCGCCACGCTACTATGCCTCCTTCCTTCTAAGAAACTTGACTTAGAGCCTGCACCTCCGAGCCCAATCGTGTCCAACTTCAGTTGATAACGGAAAGACTGAAACCGAACGCTCGATTTAGCATTGGGTGATTTCGCGAGGGGAGTGTGGACCCGAATTTTCGGACCAGTGCTGGGGAGTGAAACCCATCGGCCCTCCCGGTTGACTCCAGCATGTGAGTCGTCCGCGTTGATCGGCGGCGATGGGAAGGGAGAGTCGATGTGCTCCGGAGGCGTATCTGGAGCGGAGGCAAGATTTGCAGGGCTACCTGCGAGGTGATGGAAATAGTCGTCTGAGATAGGAGGACCCTGCGCTAGGCTGTAGCGGCGAGGACGAGAAGTGTTGATTGTGTTCAAGTCGACTTGAGGGAATTCTGGGCTCAGCTTTGCCTGTTTCCTAGCCAGCCCCGCTGGAAGAGAGTAGAATCGCGGACGATCCGTGGTGTGGTGCTCTCGAGAGGAAGGAAGGTTCATGGCGATGGAATGCTCTGGAGCGGATTCCCGTTTCGGGAGTGTGGCGTAATAGGTATCGCTGTGAGGCTTCGAATTCCGAAGAATGCCCTGAGCGACCCTAGCGTTTGGTCTGGGTGAGAACGGTCCGGGCGTAGGAGGATCCCACTCGTGAGGAGTGGTGGGTGCGTGTTCTCTGAGAGGAGTGGATACAGTTGAGAGGCGTCGACCATGATCGGTGGTGTGAGGAATAGGAGGGATGGTCAACGAAAGACGTCGAGGGTGGGGTTTATTCGGCCCACCGCTGGAAGTGATGGAGGGCGAGGAGATCTGGGAAGAAATGCTGCCGGAATCATGTGGCCCTGGCATGGATGTGATGGTAGAGGAAACGGGGGAAGTGTCGAATGGGTTGGTAAACATGGTGCTTGATGATTCGAACGCGGTGCAGATGCTGAGATGATGATGGAGTTCAGGAGGAAGATTCAAGTCGCTGTTGTGGGGATTGATCGGAAGGAATCGAGAACCTTATAACTTTTGCAGAGTGAAACAGTGCAGCGCGGATTCTGAACACACCTCCGAGACATGCCGTGTTTAAAATAACCAAGTGCCTCCGTCGTCTCAGTTTTCTACCCGCCGATGAATCACCCGCGCTGTCGAGATGGACTAGCTTAACTCGCAAATCCATGCAATTTGACGCGGGCTGGGTGATATTACAGAAAAGATACAGAAACCTGAATCATACCGATCTCAAAGTAGTTGAATACTTAGCGTCACTATTGTATGGTTAAAGATCATGTCCTGCGTCAGTGATGCGTCCCAATCAGAAACGTGACCTAGCAAAACACGTACTTTCCTCTCAGAGTGCTCTGCTCACCGGCCAACTCCAAGCAATATTTCAGGAAAATCACGTATCAACGGCCACTTGAGTCAAACCCCGCCTCCCGCAACCTTTCGCGCCCAAACGAAATGAAGCGCAACCGTATACTTCCATTCCAGGTCTTTTCTCCCAACTTCATCCAACCATGCCTGCTTCAATTCGTTCGTATATCCATACTTCTCCAATGCTTCGGAAGTAGGCCCCGTAAATGCTTGTGATAGAGACGCGAATATCGTCTTGCTCACTGCGCGAAGTTTTGGATCTACGGCGCTCATTAGCCTAGAGCAGATTTTACAGCCAGGAGAAAAAAAAAGAGAAAGGAAGGGGGTAAGTAGCGTAGCGTGTGAAACTCACCGGTAGGCAAAGGATGGAGTGGCAGTTTCACCTCGTCCACCTCTACCGTCTCGAACTCCGACATCTCGTCCAGCCAAGGCTTCAATTTTGGTCCAATACTAGGGTCTTGACCTCTCGAACGCATGAAACCAGCCCACGTCACGATGCATCGCTTGATGCCAGGCACGTTCGCCAGTTGCATGCCGGATGTCTCATCGTTGACGTCGAGGTCCCTAAGGGTCCATTCGTCGATGAGAAGGTATCCGTGCGGTGCGACGAGGGAGGCCAAGCGAGGAAGCACGGTCTGTCCATTCGGAAGCTTTATGTCGAGGAAACTTAGATTGTCAGTACCCGTACCGGGATGACCAGTAACTTCTTTGAGCATACTTACGTGGAGAAGAGTGTATCGCAGGTGAACCACATCGAATGCATTAGTTTCCAAGGGCATTGAGTCTTTGAGGATGTTCAGCTGCTGGAATAGCATGTTTGAAGGAACCGACCTGACGAAATTATGACGATGATGAGACCATCACATAGAACAAGATGCCACGCGCGTATGAGAACGATGTGGTGGCCAGTAATGTTGACATACCGTTTCGGCATAGGGTTGACGTCGACAGCCAAAACTTCTGCGTCCGGGAATTTTCTAGCTGCGTCAATGGCCCTGTAGCAGACAAAGGCCCACGAAGATCGTTTCAGATTGGATAGGAATCAGGAGTGTCGTTGAGGCCTCACCAAGCACCAGAGCCGCACCTGTGATAAAGCAGAAGCTTAGCAATGCAGTAAATAATACGAAGACGAGGAGTCGGATATGTACCCTATGTCTAGGATTTTCTTGGGATGATCGAGGAGGGGTGCGAGTGTGATTCCTCCCAAGTATGCATTTATGCCAGTACTCATCGCGTCCAACCTGATAATCGCAGAGTCAGCATGCACCGAAACGAAAGTTAAGAAATAAAGTCTTGAGATATACCTTTCGAATTCGGATGGCGGAATGTCCTACATGTAGCAAGATAAAGGATTAGAGAGATACTCCAGAGCTAATTCTAAAGGTGGAACGCACCATGCCATCATGGATATACGTTGACGAATCTTTCGTCTGCCCAATATCTGACATATTCGGCGCTGGATATTGAGTGCAGAATCGGTGGTGCCAATGTCCAGATGATCTCCTGGTAAGATAAAGCTAGGATCAACTTATAGGAATCGATTGACCCACACGCCCGCGACTATGACTCGTTGAGCGGTAGTTCGAAGCGTCCCTGCGAAGAAGGATGGGGTCAAAACTTCATCATGAGAACGAGAGTATCCACAATTTGCTCCGCAGCACAATGATAAAGCGTAATTATACCCAAACGGCCAGACTTGCCCGACGAAAGGGGTACTCGACGAAGACAATGTCTCGGTTCACCAGATTCTTCCATTTTGTTCAGCTCAAGGATGCTCTACTTGACCGTGTTCTTACCCTTGTCGAGAGGCGATTGATCAAAGTGCAGTAGACTGAAAAGGAACCAGCCACTGAATTCAAGCTCGTACGACGTTCTTTCTTTGTACAGAATACTACGTATTCCCGTATGATCGTCAGCGCGACAACGCGTATCAAGACATGAACAAGACGTACCTCAAAAACTTCCTTGACAATGCACGAACCGTGGTTGAACACGGTAAAAACCTGACTCGATTTCACGTTCTCAGAGGCTCTTCGCACTAACAGCATCAACCCCACTTCCCGCCGCCTTCCTCGCCCAAACAAAGTAGACCTCCACCGCATACTTCCACTCCAAATCATCCCTGCCAATCTCATCGGTCCATCCCTTCTTCACCTCGTCGGTATGCCCAAAGGCCTCAGCCTCCGGAGAAGTGGTTCCCGTGAAAGAACGATTCATCGCCGTCTGGAGCGTCTCGCTCAGTGCCTTCAACTTTGGTTCTATACATCCACGAGATACCGTCAGCGACCCATGAAACCCTTGCATAGTAATGAAGATATGGAAGGCAAGCTCACCGGTAGGCCGAGGCCTGAACGGGACATCTACTTTGTCGACCTTGATCTCCTCGAACACCCTCAAATCTCCAAGATACCCTTCCAACTTTGGTCCAATAGCCGGATCCTGTCCATTGAAGCGCATATATCCCTTCCAGCTCTTCAAGGCCCTCTTGATCCCGGGAACGTTTCCGAGCTGGATACTGTCCGAATCGGTGTCGATCTCGAGGTCTCGAGCGTGGAATTCGTCGATGAGGAGGTAGCCGGAGGGCGCGAGGAGGGAGGCCAGTTTGGGCAGGACGGTGTGGCCGTGGGGAAGCTACATCCGCGAAGGGCCAAACGGACGGAGGTTATGAAGGCAAAGAAAACGGAGAGGTGGCAGGAGCGACGTACGTGAAGGAGAACGAATCTGACGTGGATGATGTCAAAACTGTTGACATCGAGGGGGATTGGGTCTTGGAGTACGTCCACTTGTTTGAATTTGAGATTGGCCGGGAGCGCTCTACATTTCGTTTGAGAGGTGTCAGCGAACAGGCCAAAAATGGAGGGGTGTGAGGTGTCTGAACCGGTTAGGGAGCGGGTTGATGTCGATCGCTAGGACATCGGCATCCGGGAACTGCTGAGCGGCTTGTATAGCCCTGCCGTTTTTCGTAAATATATATTTTGTACACGGAGACACCGGAAGAAGTGCGTACCAAGCACCGGAGCCAGAGCTTGATGTGATGATAGTTAGGAAGTGGCTTAGCGGCTTGAAGTTGACGCGTGCATGTGAAGATCATACATACCCTACATCCAGGATTCGCTTGGGGTTCTCTGGGAGCGGAGCAAATGTAAGACCTCCCAGGTAGGCACGTAGCCCATTGTTCATGGTGTCGAGGCTGTTGCGAACAACTATGGGTTAGAAACAGGTAATGTAGACTCGACGGCCTATGGGTCATATCGATCCTGTGGATAGATAAACTGTAAAGCTAAGCATACCGTTCATATTCATCGGGCGTAATGTCCTTTGGAATATACGTTGAGTTTGGTTCCGGGACAGCAGGACAAGCTGGGACTACCACAAATACTCACCGTTCCGTGGACATAGGACGACTTGATTTCTGCCTTGGTATCGGTCATTCTTGCAATGGTGGTTGAAGTTCTGTATAGATGCAAAAGACACGTCAGACACGCAGCCTTTTAAATAAAACCTCCAGCGCTCCAGCACTGACTCGATCTTCACAGGTTTGGTCGTGCTACGTGACAACGGTACCGCAGCGAATGTGGGCCCTCTTCATAAATGTATCAGCCTGCATAATCCATCGATACAAGAATGGGCGGCGCTCAGCGCGGTCAACATTATTTTGGTGTTATGTCTGAAAAAGGAAGGTGTTCAAGGAGCCAATGTGGGTCGACGGGGTGGTTAAAAACGGCTGTGTCGTTGTTGTGGGATAAAGAAGCCGTGAAGAACCGATGAGGACGGACGTCGGATAAGGCCGGAGCGGAGTTTGAATGGGTAGGTCTAAGGTGGCCACCGTGGCCCTTCACTCTCCTCCGTTCCCTCAACTCTCTCCCATGTTCCTTTTACTCGACCCATTGTCTCTTAATTCCATCGACCATCTATCGAACGCGCTTGCTTTTTTGTTCATCTCTTAATGCCTAATCTCGTGAATTTGTCGAGGGAAACCCCTCAGTGGCACCATACCGTGCTCCTCACACACTCGCCGCTGCACCTTACTTGTAAGTCTAACATCACTCGCCACCCCTTATATATATCGTCTCATTTTGAACCGATATGGTGCAGTACAAGTCAATGTTTTTGGGAAACTCTATGCTCCATGAATTGCTGCAAATTAAGGGTCATACGCGAACAGGTGCATATATGCGCCTTTTCTGTGGTACCTCTCGTGACCTGGTGAAATATGTGGATTCATTGCTTATTTATTCATCGGCTATGCAGAGACTATCCATGGAACCTAAGAGAGGGCCGCAGACTCAATGAAGGCAAGTGATCTTTTCACTTCCGAACCTACGCTCTTGCCCCTATCTCAAACTTGCAGCCTTTGGTATGAGAGCCAGGCCTTTGCATTCGCAGACCTATTCCTCGTGCCTCATTCACAAGGAGTAAAAGGTCTATGAGATTTCGTGATAGCTGAATATATTGAGTTCCTCTGTAGATGCTGATTTCACTGTGGTATTCTGGCCCTTAGCGGCTCCGCCATGGGTCCATCTTTGAAGTGACACTCCCCGCAGAACGAGAATGGAAACGCCTCGACAAAAGCGTCTTCCTTTTCTTCAACATCCATATTCTTTTCGCCCTCGAGCTCTGCCTCTTGCGGTGGTGCTTATTGGAGAAGTCTGCTGAGGAAGTATTTGTGGTGATTTGCCTGGACCATCTCACCTGGATCCCCTGCGGCAAGCCGCTCTGGCACTGTCCTCCGGTTCTTGTTCCTAGGAAATTTCGCCAAGACGCCTTGCAACCCCATTAGCTCTTTTGCTGTAGCTGAGCGGACAAGAGGCTTTCTCTCTTTGCACTGTCCGGTCTTCCACCTCCGAGTCGACTCTTGTCTAGGCGTCATTGCGTTCCTGCAATACGGATATCCGTCGAGATAACTGTGCATCGCAGCAGTTACAAGACTAGTACTCAGGGTTCTTTCATTCGGCAGAACGTTTATGGTTCTTGGTAGGAGCGGTTCCGGGAAGTCTGCGTGACTTTTAGTTTCCACCTCAGCGCCACACTGCTCTGGATGAACGGGATCTTCCGGCCTGTTTTGGGTTCTTTTTCTCATCCACCCCGCAACCTTCGTCTTGCAGTCGACGAGAAGTGCACTCGTCGAGTTGTCCAAGCATCGACGAAGCGCACCTTTGGAGCATTTGTTGTGCTTGGCCGTTGTGGGGACGTATCGATGCGGGGGTGCCAAGTCGGCCGTGGCGTGCGGGGTATGATAGAATGCGGGGCACGGACCGATCGCGATCAAAATTCGTCAAAGCCCGCCAGGAACGACGCGTGGGGAAATCAACCTCGTCCAATCACGAAATGGTCAGTTGACCTCCGCATTTGGTCAATTCTCGCGCTTCTCTTCATGCGAGCACGAATCGAAACATTTTCCTTCCTCTTTCGTCATGCCTACGTCTCAGTATAAATGGTGCCAACAACCCTGTGACTCGCTAGCGCTGTCCCTTTGCGCTTCCCCCCCATCTCCCCCTCCTCTTGACGATCCCTCAGTCACGGAATGGCCCCATACTTCTTACGAAACCTTGTGCCAAAACGGGAGACGAGGGCAGAGGGTAGACCGCTGCTCGAAGCTCTGGGTACAATCACTTGGGTGCAGTGGGCACAGTTCTGGTCGGGGTACGTCGCCATCAAATATTGTTGGCTTTGAAAAGGTTGCTGAGACAGTTCGTTATGCACTTCAGGTGGCTGGCATGGTCCTGCGATGCTATCGACTTCTTCTCCGTATCACTCAGCGTATCGCGACTCGCGGCGCAGTTCGATAGGGACACCTCACATATCGTACGTCCTGTCGATTGCGGAGGCACCTCCTCCCCGTGCGTGCATGATAGCTTACTTGGGTATCATTTCCGTGTATGCAGACGACGGCCATAACTCTCACTCTTCTCTTCCGTTCTGTTGGTGCGGTGAGTGGCTTTCCATTTGTCTTTGGTTCGTTCCCTATTTTTGCTCGGCGGAGACCTCTAAAAATAAGCAATGGGAAGCGTCCGCACGAAGTTTTGTGCTATGTAGGGCGCGGGGTATATGGCGGAACACCTTATCCCGTTTTGCATTCCCTGTTGCCATTTGCGGTGATCCGCAATACACAGATGGTGCCTTGCTTCGTGTTATGGTTCAAAACTTGGGGGAGATAGTTTACGCCTCGATCCACGGCAGCACTGATCTTTACACGCAACGGTGCTCCTGTCCATCGTGCGGGACCGTCCTCTCAGAACCCACTTTCTTTCGAACTGATCGTCGTTTTTCGGTATGTATGTGATACTCACTCTCTCTGATTCGTAGGTCCTCTTCGGAGTTTTCTCAGACCGTTTCGGACGCAAATGGCCATTGGTTTTCAACCTGCTCATGATCTCCGTCCTCGAACTCGGCTCTGGCTTCGTCAACACCTTCCGTGCCTTCCTCGCCGTTCGCTCCCTCTTCGGTATCGCCATGGGCGGGATCTGGGGCCTTGCGGCATCCACCGCTCTGGAGAACCTCCCTGTCGAAACGCGTGGTCTCGCCTCCGGTGTCCTTCAGCAGGGTTACGCCGTCGGCTACCTCCTCGCCGCCGTTATCAGTCTGACGTTGGTACCGGAGACAACGACGACGTGGAGGAGTCTTTTCTGGTGTGCCAGTGGGATCAGCGCGTTTGCTGCGTTCATCAGGGCGCTCGTACCCGAGAGTGAGATCTTCTTGAAGGCGAGGGAGATTGAGAGGAAGAGAGGAGCGACGACTGGGAAGAAGACGAAGGTGTTCATTCATGAGACCGGGCAGATGTTGAAGAAGCATTGGCTGCTTTGCATTTACGCCGTTTTGCTCATGACCGGTCGGTATCCCTCCTCAGTTCTCCTGTGACGACGATGCTAACCTCGACGTATATAGGCTTCAACTTCTTGTCGCATGGATCGCAGGACCTCTACCCCACCTACCTCGAGAAATCAAAGGGCTTCTCAGACCACTCTGCCACTGTCGCTACCATCATCGGTAACTGTGGTGCTATCGCGTATGCCTCCCTCTCACGTTAATCTCTCACTCCATACCATCTACTAACTGCATCATGCCGTTTGCAGTGGTGGTGCAGTCGCAGGATACCTTTCTCAATACCTCGGTCGCCGACTGACCATCATCGGCTTCACCCTCCTCATCGGCGCCTTCATTCCTCTCTGGATCATCCCAAGCAGCTTCTCCGGCCTCGCCGCTGGCGCGTTCTGTATCCAATTCGGTGTACAGGGAGCATGGGGTGTCATTCCCATCCAGCTTGCCGAGATGAGCCCTCCTGGGTTCAGGGCGACGTTCCCTGGTGTGGCATATCAGCTTGGGAACGTGAGTTTCCCGTTTCTCGGTTCCCACTCGGCGTCCATCTGTCCAGTAACAACATGCTGATTGGTTTTGTGTGGTGTCGCATTAGATGGTCTCGTCTGCCTCGGCACAAATCGAAGCCACGGGGGGAAACAACCTCAAGACGACTATCACCCAGAACGGTGTGACTACTGTCGTGCCGGATTATGCCAAGGTGCAGGGCATCCTCATCGGTGTCGTCGCCGCATTCGTCGTCTTCATCACCATCATTGGCCCAGAGTACGTGTCTTCAGCTCTTCCTTCTCCCTTATCTCGCCCTCTCCGTTTCCTTCTCCTCTACTTGTGGTCCGGTGCTTATGGTCGGATTCGTTCGTTGTTACTCTCAGAAACCACGGCGCGCATTTCGAGAAACACAAAACCGCATTCGAAGAAGGTGGCGGAGACGATAACGCGATCCTCGAGGAAGAAGACCTGGAAGCGAAGCCCGGTACCACTGGGGTCGGCGTGCATGAGGTCGGGAGGGAAGGGAAAGAGAGGGAGTCGACGGGGAGCGTGAGGTCCGAAAATATCGCTGAGAAGGTTTGAGATGGCGTGAGTGGTAGGGGGTAGGCTGTAGTGATGATTATGTTGCGACGATACGACCTATGAGGTGGTGGACAATACGAGCGTCGGTCGACGTGCGAAGTACGGCCGTGGTCGCATTCCTTGTATTTGTAACGATTAATGCCGCTTTCAAGTTATTCTGCTTTTATTTCGTTGATACGACGAACTCTACGATGCGTTCGTGCCAAAGATTCATCTGGTGATAAGCTCGTCTGAAGGGAATAAGCCTAAATAAATTAGGAGAAAAGAGGAGTGGCTAATAGTAACAACAAAGCAAAAAGAACGGACGGAGGAAGCGAGTGCATAAAAGTGTCCAACGGGTGTACATGATCTGCACAGCGTGGCGGGCCCGGAGTCGAACCCACGACCTGTAGGAAAGCCCAAGTGCACACAGACGGCACCACACAAACCATTCGACCACTCCTGGACACCTTTCCAGGGCTCGAGATTAGCGATATATATATTCCTTGTTGGTTGGTGGTTGTTTCGCATTACTCTCATGGTCGCTTGAACACTCTTTCCCCAACTTGAAGTCAGGCCCACAACATGAAAAAGTAGCTCAGTGTCATGGAACCCCATTTTCAAGTGGACCGTCTTATTCGCTGGACATTTGAACGGTGACTGGAGGCCCATGAGCCACTGTCGAGGATGCCACATGCAGCGCTGTTTGGCTCGAGCTTCCTTGTTCCAACTTCCAACCACAACGCCGCCAGTTCAAACGTTGAGACGTTCAACAACCGGCGTACTACGACCTCATTGACGTTGACCGTCACTGGAAACAGAGTCGGATCAAGAAGGTAGATTCTGCAGGATAGCATTCATAGCAATGTAATCGTAAGACGGTAAATAAGTACAAGTTAAAGCAGCCCTCCATCCACGGCCACCTGGAGGAGATCATCCAAAAAACATACGGAGCAGATCAGCACAACATTCATCGTAAGGTCAAGTATCAGCTATCATCACAGCCCATCCTCATAATCAAACAATCCAGAGTAGTAGAGAAAAAATGGTGTAAGGTCCAACCTCTCGAAGCGCTCCTAAAGCTAAAGGCTATCGAAGCTCACAACGACTCTCGATGCTCGACCTCCGCACTCGGCTTCATCGACATATCTTCCGGCGTTGATGAGCCACCCTTCTCTCCCGGATAGCCAGTGCCGAGGGCTGCCTTGAGCTGCTGCTCGCGGTGTCTCCTGATTTCGGAGGCCCGTTTGGCAGAGGAGGGACCGAGAAAGATGGTTTTAGCGCCTTCGAACTGTGAAATGGGTTGGAATCAATATACGTCGAGGAGAAAGGAGCGGATGACGTACGAGAAGATCAATATCCTCGAGTGTCTGTCCTGTCGTCTCGACGTCTATTTGGAGTATAAAAACGTGGGTCAGACATCGGGCAGACTGCAAGACAAACAAAAACTCACAGAAGAAATATGTGATAAAGATGAAAGCGAAGTTCGTGCACGCCCAGACCTATCGTCGCACATAGAAATAATTAACATCTCTGTCTCGGTGGACAAGGTACAAGAAATACGCACGACGTAAGTCTTATACCCAATACTACTAATCGCAGTAGGCGTGATCATGACGACCAAGAACGTGAAGAGCCAATTCGTCATCTATAGTATCTGATCAGCCCCGGTCAGAGACAGGCAGAAAGAAAGAGCTCACTGTAGCCAAGGCAGCTGCCTTCGAACGAATCTGCAACGGGGCAATCTCTGCGGGGTAGAGCCCTGTAAAATTATCGTTGACAGTCAGCTTTCATAATTGTCAACCTAAAGTAGTTATGAAGTGACGCACATGGGATGGCCAACCAGCCAACCGCGAAGAAGAAATTGAACATGCTGGAAACGTGTACATTAGTATCGTTGTGGAGTTTCACCGGTGAGCGTAGAAGGATAGGAAGGTGGACATACAACAAGCAAACGGTCGCCACAATTCCCTTCGCCGTATTGCCCTGGTCCTGTGTCATAGCAGCGAGCAGAATCATACAAATACATTGGCCAACAGCACCGAAGAGCATAAGTTTGCGCCGACCGAGGCGCTCGATGAGTGGAATGGGAACGAGAGAGGAGAAGAAATATGCAAGGCCTGTAGACATGTCCATACGTCAAAGTCAGAGAACAGTTTGTGATAGCACTTCGAGGATGATTGCACGTACCGTTGAAGCCAGCGAGCAAGAGTGACATATCACGCGAGAGGCCGACAGAGTTTTGGAAGATGACAGCTGTACAGAAAGTAGAAGCTGAGTATGAGACGAAATGTAAAGTTATGTAGACGGGGCTCACGAGCGTAGTAGGTAATCAAGCTGGATGATAGATGATTCATGATCAGATACGTCTACCAGGCATGATTAGTATGAAGTGGTCTACGTACTTGATACCGCTGACCTGCTGCATCATCTGTGATCCACATCCAAGAAGGACACGATGTAAGAAACGCTAGAGAAATGGATAAGTATCAGTTCATTACTTTGGTAAGTGAGATTGAAACCGAGGCATGAGACGCACCTGGTCACCATTCCTAAAGCAATCCCTGAAAGAACTGGTCCCTGCAGCTCGCTCAACACGCAGGGCTTCCATGATTAATTCGAGCTCGACATCCTATCGTATGGGGTGAGTGGACGCTCGACAGCAATGCGGAGCAGCATGGATAAGCTCAGAAAAAAGAGGTACTTACAGCGGCCTTCTCACGCTTCTCTGGGATTTCAGAGTGTTCGAGCAACCAAATGATATGACGAGCTTCTTCGGGACGATCCTGGCTCGCAAGCCAGCGAGGACTCTCGGGGAGGAAGCACACCAGGACGAGGGTAAATACCGCGAACAAGACTTGCAGTGACTAAAGGTTGATAAGTCAGTCGTGAACAAATCTTGACGAGATATAGAATGCCTCACCAGTGGGAAACGCCACTGCCACCCGGTCGTGTAGTTTCGCAGACCGAAGTCAACCTGAGCAGAAGAATTATTGATTTCAGTGACGTGATCTCATGACGGTTAAGGATGAAGGATGGTAACTGACCCAATACGCGAGCATGACACCGAAGATATTGACACCGAGTTCGATGCAGACGTCCCGTCCACGATGATGAGACCGACTTGTCTCCGACTGCCACACAGGGATGGCACTCGTCGTCATACCATTACCGATACCAGCTAAAGATTAGGAACACCACCAAAATCAAAATCTCGGTCTGTCCTCAAAGTGAATCGCGGATGACTCACTGACGACTCTGCCTACAATGAGCTGCGCGAGACCGTACGACATGAACTGAAGAATGGCGCCGATAGCGAGGATAATCATGCCGAACATGATACCTCTCCTCCGACCGAGGTGCTCGCCCCAGAAGAATGTGGCAAGAGCACCAGTAGCGCATCCGATCTCGTAGATGGCGACTGTAGCACCCTGTAGATTCGCGTTTGTCGTGAGAACGGGAAATTGAGCCTCGAAAGGTGCGCCTGTTAAAAGACCGCCGAGGATACCCTACAGGACGTATCATAAGAGAGTCAGAGGGTGTAGAAGAATAAGGGCATTGAGCGAATGCGAACCTGGTCAAACCCGAACAAAAGAAACTGAAAGCGAACAAGCCATCAGTACAGATATCGCCATGCAGACGGTCAACAAGATGAACATACGCCACTACCGCAAGCCGCCGTAATGCCATGCATGATCCATCTAGCAGACCCATGCTTCAAGAAGATATCGTATGGTTCCGAGAACGGCTTCATGATAGCAAGTTATAGTCGTCGAGCCCTTCGGAGATGTTCAGAGCGGAGGGCGGGGCGATGCGAGACGATTACGGGGTGAAGAAGCCCGGATTGCGGGGTATCGGTCAATCGCAAAGCTGATGTCCAACTTCCCCGCACAGATGTGTTTATAAATGAGGCCTGGCGGCGAGATGACGCGGGGGAGGAGGAGGGGCAACCTGGGGCAGCCAACCGTGGTGAAGGAGAAAATTGAGCTGGGCGGGGCTTCATAAGTCCGTGAGGCACTCAGTGGTCAGTGGCGCGGATGAACGGAATTTCCTGGTTGAGACGTCGCCAAGCACCAGAATTGGTTCGCCGCAAAAGCATCGTTCCTTTTCGATTCTCTTCCAACCATGGTAAGTTCCTAGAGGCGAGGTAGGACAGCGAAAAATCGCGACGACGTACGAACCGGAGATTGATCTGGATCCTGCTCGGTCCCGTGTGCGCACAGCGCTCGATTTAGAGACTCTAAAGAGGTCACGCAAGGGCCAGCTACAGTCCGCTACGCAAAAGAATTCTGTTAGAACAGTATCCTGTCAGTCTACGGAGCCACTCACCAGAAGCAGTAGATGCAAAGAAAAAGGAATACATAAAAGTGCAATGATTGGCGTCGAGTGATGGTAAGGAGTTGGTAAGGAGAGCAAAGAGGTCCGTCGCTTTCAGCGCCCATTTTTAACTGGTATTTAGTCACGCGATCATACCAGCACGTTTCAGCTGATTCGTCCCGTGAGGATAAAGTTACTGGGCCAACTGTTTTAGGCTTCAAACTCTCTGGTAAATTAATTGGTGGTATCGAAGGCTTTCTTGACCATGGACACTAACGCTTCTTACTCCTATCAGGGTCAGGTTCTAAGCTTGGGCGAAGTCCCGTACGAGGGTGTGCAATGCGCTCTTCGACTCGTACAATGTGTGAGCTAAATAGTCTAGAACATCCGACTCGATAGATTCTTTAAAAATCCCCATGCAGAAAGGTAATTTACATATAATTGTAGCCTGAACTCGAGGACTTCCCCTAACCTCGAATCACCAAGCTAAAATAACCCGAACATGGTCAGAAAGGCACTCTGAAGTCTTCTTACCGATCCTCAGAAAAAAAAAGAGTACTCACCACAGTGTCCGCCATCGACCCTCAAATCCATCCCAGTGCAAAACGCACTCGCGTCACTCGCTAAGAATATAGCTGGGCCCTTATACTCCCATGGCAAACTCACCCTCCCCATCATATTATCGTTCGCCCACCTCTCCTCAAGCTTATCGTCAGGACGGTCTGCGATGAGTTGAGCGGTCATGGCGGTCATGATATACCCTGGAGAGATAGTGTTGACGCGGATCTTATGGGGGCCCCATTCGGAGGCAGTGGAGCGCGCGAGTTGAAGGAGAGCGGATTTGGAGGCGTTGCTATTCGGTTGATGCGGCGAGAGGGAGAGTGAATAACGACAATTAGTTCGTGATGGTAATCCAGAAGGAAGAGCGAGATACATACTATGCAGCGCATGAAAGGCCACGGTTCGCTACGCTACCACTCATGGAAGCGATGAGAGCGATGGATCCGCCCATCCCGTGCTCCATCATAACCCGGCATGCGGCCTGAGCGGTATTGAATGTTCCCGTCACATTCACATCCATGACCCTCCTGAAATCATTGATCTTGTAATCCACCGCAGGGCACTCGTGCTGGACTGTATAACAGCGTAAACATCCAAAGATCAGTCTCTACAGGGACTCAAACGAAGAAACAATGACGTACTTCCAGCGGCACCGAGAAGCACCCTGACAGGCTCGGGCGCCTCTGCAGCAATGCCCTTGAAACACTCCCCCACAGCTTCCGCATCGGTAATATCCAACTTTCTGTACTTCACAACCAGCTTCAGTTCGTCAGCTTTGACGACGAGAGCGGCCCATTCCTTCGGAGACGGTTCAGGAGAGATGTCGACGCAGTAGACATGCGAGCCTGATTCGAGGAGGGCGGAGGCAAGGGTTATCCCGAGGCCACGAGCCCCGCCAGTAACTGTAACGTTGAGCGAAGGATGGATGGAGATATCAGCAAATGTCGAATAGAGAACAAGGTTGAAGAAGTAGATCAAAGGATCAGATGGGGATGAGGAAGCTCATACCTATTGAGGTACGGCCTTTGAGTGAGAATAGCTGGGAAACACTGGGGTCTTCGACAGAGGCGACGGTGGGCGTATGAGAACGAGCGGTCAGCTCGGTGGCTGCCTTCGATGTAGGGTCGAGCGATGCTGGCGTCGATGTGAATGTCATCTTGAAGAATAGGAGGTAAAGCGTAGAGGAGGGTCACTGGGCAGACGCAGGAAGAAGGTTGGCACGTTGGAGAAGAAAGACTGGGAGCACGAAGTAGAACACGTTGAGGTCGTCTGTGAGCAAGTTTTGTTCACGCCCTCTGCCCCGAGCGAGCCTGAGATCGGGGCACACTTATCTCGCTTTGAGAAATGGGCGGAGATGTATGTACGCTGGCGGAAATGCATGATAATCGCCCATCCCGGGATGATTCCTGGAAACGACCGAAGAGTGGCCCCGTGAGCGCTCTGTGATTGACATTGGTCGGGAGGAGGGGAAGTCAAAGAGGAGGCATCTTCGGGCTCATGAGAGGCCGTCGCTTCCCCGCATTCTGAGGTAACGACGATGGGAAGAGTTGTGGGGCCCCTGATCGACAGGACTACGTTGATTGTTGTTGTGAAGACTCCGGAAAACAGATTTCAGTGAGACTCTCACCGTTCGTCAGAGGCCGGAATTTTATGCATTTGTCCAACATAATAACGCAGATATCGGTTCGGATCCTGTCCGCAAGGCTTGCGCAAGTTTAGACGGCTTTCAGAAAGTCGTGACCGAGGTTTTGTGAGAAGAAGGTTGTGTGACGTTGTGGCGAACCCGGCCGTGGCTGAGCCGACGCCACGCCGGCGGTACTCAAGCGGATGTTTAAAATGCCGGCGGCCCAAATAAAGGTGTTTTTCAGTGATTTTACGTTGCTTCAGTTCATCAATCGAGGACTCTCAGGGTTTCTTCTCAGAGGAGCTTGGGTTTATTCGTGTGGCCGTACCCAACATCATGCACCGGTCGGCGGCTTTCTATTTCACAGCGAGCTCCGGAGTGAACTGACTTCAATATTTGTTCTCGTGATCTGTCAGGTGCCTCCAGAAATGACTTATCGTGTGGACAGACCCGAATGTCGTCCCCGACGAAGCACTGACCCAGGCTGATACCTGATGAGATACAGCAAATCCAGCTGCCAATATTCGGCCTTGTGAAAGTCCGGGCATCATGTTTTATCAGCCAGCGCTATTGTCATTGAAATTGGTGTTTCTGTCGGCATCCAACACATCGTCCTCGAGACGTCAGAATATCTTACACGAAGTGGTCTCAGCGAATAACCACAGTTGATTGTGTCGGACATATATCTGTCCGGGTCTCCTGTTCGTGCTGCTCACTCCAAGACAAAAGCCGTCTCTGGTAAGAACATCCCGTCGGCGGCGAGGTCAGGAGGTTGACTTTTCCACAAATATCCTTGGATTCTCCTTTCCTCTCTCAGCGCACAGAGCAATTCTGCCAGAGTTCTTCGGTCTCTAGTCCAGCCCCCCTCCGAAGGTATTCTCCGTCCTGACTTCCACCATCCATCGTCCATCACAGATCCAGAACATAGCCAACCAGTCGAACAATATGGCACCAGTAGCAGTGCAAGATGGACCCCTTGCTGGTCTTTCCAAGGAGCCGCATGTTCCAGCGAAAGTAGCTGAGGTATGTCTATACACAACACTATTTCGTTTTCGAAGAGTATTGATTGGTTGGGTTGTAGCCGGATATCGAGAAACTCGTTCTCAACACCATACGATGCCTTGGGGCCGATTTCACGCAGGAGGTAAGCAACCATCTCCGTTGACTCTCTGTCTACACAGGTCGGCGCTGATAGCATTCTAGTTCAAAGGTGGACATCCTGGGACCGTCATGGGTATGCTTTTTGAACTCCTGCTTCCCTGAATGTGGGCCTTACGACATGTCATAGGCGCCTCAACCATCGCTGTGGCACTGTGGCGCCACACTATGCGCTATAACCCCAAGAATCCAGAGTGGTATGCATCCCGTGATTAATATCTGCATCCTTATTATACTATACTCACTCTAGCGCTGCCATATTTATAACTGTCGTCAGGTTCAACCGCGACAGGTTTGTGCTCAGCGCCGGACATGCTTGTCTGCTGCAGTACATACAACTTCACTTGGCTGGGTACGATGCGTGGACGATAGACGCTCTGAAGACTTATCATAATCCTAAGTTCGGCGTAAGTGTCACTTCTGCCTATAATTCGCCGTTCATTCATCCACGAGTAGTCGCTCACTATTCCAACTTTTCGACCTGTAGATCGCTGCGGGCCACCCTGAAATCGAACATCCAGGTATCGAGGTACGGCTCCGAACTCCATTCGACTTATTTTGCATCTTCTTACCCACAAGTAACCGTTCTATCCGTGTCGCTATATAGGTCACGACTGGTCCTCTCGGCCAGGGCATAGCCAATGCCGTCGGTTTCGCCATGGCAGCAAAAAACCTCGCCGCCACATACAATAGGCCCTCCTTCCCTGTCATCGACAACAAGATCTGGTGTTTTACTGGCGACGGTTGTCTTCAAGAGGGCGTTGGCCAGGAGGCGTTGAGTCTTGCCGGGCATTTGCGGTTGGACAACTTGATCGTTGTTTATGACGATAATTCGGTCAGTCTTGTTTAATCTTTCAGGTGATCGGCTGGTGAGACTGATGATTATGATGTAGATCACTGTGGATGGAAGTATAGCGAACTGTTTTACGGACGATACGTCGGCGAAGATGAAAGCCGTCGGGTTCCACGTCATCGATGTCGAAGACGGCACCAATGATGTATGTCTCCGCTAACATTTCCCTCCATCAACGTGCGTTCCCTTCTGACCGTATACCTCTATAGCTCGCCGCAGTTATAGCAGCTCTATCAGCCGCCAAAAACACCACCGGAAAACCAACCTTCGTCCACATCCGCACCATTATTGGCTTCGGTAGCAGGAAAGCCAACACTGGACCCGCCCACGGTGTAGCACTTGGTGACGAAGAGGTCGCATACGTGAAACAACTGTTCGGATTCAACCCAGCGGAAAAGTTGGCCATCAGCACCCAAGTCTACGGTACGCCTTCAATCCATCATCTTCGCTATATATTATATTATTTTCCATTCTATTCCCGTATCCTGACCCTCGACCAAATAGACTACTACAAACCCTGCACCGCCCGAGGCGCACAAGATGAATCCGCCTGGAACGATCTCTTCGCCTCCTACGCCTCTTCCCACCCCGACCTACACGCAGAACTCAGTCGACGAATCTCGAGTTCCCTTCCATCGGACATCCTTTCTCTTCTCCCACCGAAGAACGAACTTCCAACTGCTCCACAGCCAACGCGGAAGTCGTCTGGGATTGCTGTGCAAGCGATCGTTCCTAAAGTCAACAGCTTTGTAGCCGGAAGTGCGGATTTGTTGGAGAGTACGTTTGTGAGCTGGGATGGGATGGTTGAGTTCCAGGCTGTAAGTATTCGCAGCTTAAGTATAGTGTGGCACGAGCTAATATGTTGCTGTGGCTCTCTGACACTTAGCCTGAGACAGGCCTGGGAGATTATTCTGGGAGACAGATACGGTACGGGATCCGCGAGTTCGGGATGGTGGGAATTGCGAATGGACTCGCGGCATATCAAAAGGGCATGTTCATTCCGTACGTTCTTTCCTCATATAGATCTACGCAAGAACCTCATTGACAGGCCCCACTTTTACCTATCCAGTATCTGCTCGACGTAAGTTCTTTCTGGCGGCTCACCTCGGAAGACCATTCTGCTGAAACCCTTTCTTGCAGTTTCTTCCAGTTCTGGATTTACGCTGCTCCTGCGGCCAGAATGTCAGCACTACAGGGACTTCGTCTGATCGGTATTGCAACTCACGATTCTATCGGTATCGGCGAGGATGGGCCTACTCATCAGCCTATCGCGTATGTCCTTAACTTACATGCATATTAGAGACTGCCTACTAACGAGCTCTCCCATCGTGTAGCCTCGCATCGTTCTACCGCGGCCTCCCGAATCTCAACCTTATTCGCCCGGCAGATGCTGAGGAATGCAGTATGTTCTTTATGTCATATCGAATTATTTGCCCTCGCATTGACGACATTCTCCTATGAAAGTGGGTGCATGGGAGGTCGCTCTCGAAGCAAAGGATACGCCATCTCTCTTCTGTCTCTCTCGCCAACCCGTCCCGCTCCTCGATGGTTCCGACCGCTCCAAAGTCAAACTCGGCGCATACCCCGTCTTCCACAACTATACGCCCTCATCAGACTCGGATCTACCTGACCTTATCCTCGTTGCCACTGGTTCTGAAGTTTCCGTCGCAATTTCTGCTACCAAGCTTCTACCCCCGACTCTCCGCACTCGTGTCGTTTCCATGCCCTCGCAGCACCATTTCGATATTCAGCCCGTACCCTATAAGCGGTCTGTACTCGGGACGGGTCATTCGCTCGTAGTGGCTGTGGAAGCTTGGAGCTCGTATGGTTGGGCGAGGTATGCGCATGCTTCGTTGAGTATGCATACGTTTGGGATGAGTGCACCACAGGCTACATTGTTTGAACTCTTTGGGTTCGGGGCGCAGAATGTCAGGGATAAGGTGTTGGATTTTGTTGATAGACGTAGGTCCGGTGGAAGCGACGGGAAGATTCAGTTGCCAGAGGTTGGTGAGTTTGAGGAGTTGTTGCTGGGGTATGTGAAGGGTCATGGTGAGGCATAGGTGTATTGCATTCCAGAAGAGTTTCAACGTTGGTCAATGCTACTCTCGGTGTATCCGTTTCTTTTTCCTTTTCCTTCTTCTTTTGTACTTGCATAATATCATGTTGCGATGCGTCAGGCTCACCTCCGGAAATACCATAGAAAAGCTCGTTCCAAACAATACACGAGAAATACAACAGTGCTGCTCACGGGAAATCGTGACAAATACAATATTTTGGACTACCTTCGCACACCAATATGCCAGCGTACATACCTCCAGATCTTCAAGTTGTTCATCTCATCCCATATCGTGTGAATTTTGTCGTCGTCGCCACATCGCTGATGATCATAGGAAGGTGGGCCACACTCACACCTGCTGGGCGATGTCGTGCGACCGGACACTCCCTTGGGAGCTAGTTTCCTTCTCTCTTGCATGCGCGTCAGTAGACCCAATGTGCCTAGCTTCTGGATCGTCCTCCTGGTCGCCATTGTTGTCTGCAGCACCCTCCTCAAACGCAGTCTTGTGTTGCTCGAAGTGCGAACCGTGGTTTCTATGATAGTGTGAAACGCAATTAGAAACAAAGTGCGATACCAAGCGAGAAAACGAAAGGGGAAATTACGCACTCGGGGCCTATAATGGTAATGATGACGACGAAAGCAGCGACAACGCCGACGAGGATCCCCTGCACGGTAGCATAATCTGGAACAATTGTTGGTACGCCGTTTTGGATGATAGTCTTCTTGAAATTATCTCCTCCTCTTGCTTCTATCTGGGCCGACGCAGAGGAGACCATCTAACCCAAGGCTTATTAGCCGACGTACGGGAGAGACGCAAAGAAAGGACTACCAACGGCGACTTACGTTTCCGAGCTGATATGCCACACCCGGAAAAGTCGCCCTAAACCCAGGGGGGCTCATCTCAGCAAGCTGAATAGGGATGACACCCCACGCTCCCTGTACACCGAACTGAAGGCAGAACGCGCCGGCAGCGAGAGCGGAGAAAGAGTTTGGGAGAATCCAGAGTGGGATAAAGGCGCCGGCGAGGAGGACGAACAGGATGATGGTGAGTCGGCGGCCTACATATTGTGACAAGTACCCTCCAAAAGCTCCACCGCTGCAATATGCAGCATTAGAAATAGCATGAGGAGATTACTGAGGGAAGGGTGGGCGTACGCAATGGCGCCACAGTTGCCGATGATAGTGGCGACTATGGCTGAATGGTCTGAGAAACCCTTTGATTTCTCCATGTAGGTGGGGAAGAGATCTTGGGAGCCATGCGACAAGAAATTGAACCCTATCTCGCATCGTAAGATTCGAAGATATGACAATTGAGTGCGAGCCAAGGACCTACCAGTCATGAGCAAAATGGCGTAAATGCAAAGCAACCAGTGTTTCTTCAACATCGCCCCCATCTGATGTAAAAACACCTTTGTCTTCTTCCCCGTCGTCGCACCTTTCTTCCTCTCGATCTCTCTTGCTCTCAAGAATACCTCACTCTCAGGCAATAAAGCGCTGATCACTGCTGAAAGCGCGCCGATCCCGCTTGCGCACCAGAATAGACTCCGCCAAGTCGTCGACGTCTCTGGCACGAGTGTAAGGCTGATCACAGCCGCGAGAAGGTAGCCGACCGCGTATCCTTGTTGAAGAACGCCGGACGCAAGACCGCGGGCTTCAACGGGGAGATTCTCGAGGGAAGTGGAGGCGGCGAGACCCCATATCCCGCCCATGGCGACACCGAAAAGGCAACGAACGGCGAGAAATTGACGAAAAGTATTGACAAAGCCGGAGGCGAGTTCGAAAACGGATATTAGTAGGAGGTTGAAGACCAATGGCCATTTGCGTCCGAAACGATCAGAGAAAACACCGAAGAGGACCTGCAATTCAATGTATGTGAGTGACCGGGGATTGACTGAGTGGTAAGGGCCGTGGCAGTCGCAAAACATCCATCAACACACACGATTTGGGGTCAGTGAAAGTTCTTCTGGCCGTATCTTTGAGAAAGAGTGGGCCATACGTGCCGTGCTTTCATAGCAGAACAAACAAACAAATGCTGCTCTTTGACGCGAATATTGCAAGTGGTATCAAGCGAGATTAGGATAAGTACTCCACATGTTGAGACGTGAATTTAGATACCATATCATGGTTCCTCCACAATATCAAAATATATTGCAGTCATAGGATGGAAGGAAGTAACTCACCGCACCAACAGATCGGAAAAGTAGGGTAAGAGTAATTGCTGTGGTCTGTACGCACATATCACGAAGAGGTAAGACAATGTATATGAGCAGATGAAACAACGTCGAGGGCTCAAATTATAGAACGTACAATATCAGAAGTATCCTTGTCAAACTGCGTCGCGAGCCTCGACACGCTGAGCGATACAGAGAAGAAGTCAATAGCATCGCAGGTCCACGCAAGCCAGCTAGAGACACGTCTGAATATCTCAGTCTCCAAGACGTTCAACAACTTATCACGTACCCAGACCAAAACTGTGCCCACTGCACAAGAGAGATGGTGCCCAAAGCAACGAGCAAAGGTCTACCCTCTGCCCGAGCCTCCCGCTTGGGGACGAGATTTCGGAGGAAATATGGAGCCATTCGGCTGAGAGTTTGTCAAAGAAGGCGGACTAGGATTCGAACGTTGGTGACTCGCACGAAAGGTGCAGCAGACTTTATACGAAGGCGGAACCATGACTGAGCTCGAAGCTCGACGTTGGAGAATGGATGCTCCTGGGCGGTCTGGACGAAGGAGGCAGGACTAGATTTACCTACGGAAAGTCCCGGTCCGTACCCGCCGCACTCTGGTTTTTGCTCATCCCAGCGGCTCGCGATAATGCTTGAAAAGCTCAATTATAGTTATTGAACCATGGAGGTTAAGATAGTAGAGGGGTCGATTAATGAAGTGAAATGGAAAATAACCGCCCTAAACGTGCCCATTGAAGGATCGAATGACTGTTCTAGTGCCACAAATGTGGCCCAAACCAACGCCCGGTTCGTCCCGGTTGTTGCATCGGAAGCTCGACCCGACTTTCAGAATCTGTACACGAGTGAAGCCAGAACGACAAGAATTGAGCTGGAGGATGTATAGATTTTGCTGGAAGCCGTCGAGTCGTGCCTCAACATCCTGGTCAGTTACAGATAGTATAATATTGGTCGTAACTCAGCGATGGTGCGACTAGGGTTTTGGACCGAAAACGGCTGTCAACATATTTCTCCTCCCGATTGGCCAAATCATCGCACAACCATCTGCAACCATATACTGAGGCCAATCTACGCTGCCTCGAGTTTCTGCCGTGCAAGTTCCTTCCACTGCTTCGTCGTGAGCCTAACAGGTTTCGACGGTTTCGGCGTCTTCGCAGAGGTTGCTGCTCGATGCGTCCGAGCATAATTCCTGACCAACTCCCTCCATCTCCTGAGCGACAGTCGGCCTCGGGTTTTTCCCGCTTCCGCCTCATCCAACTTCTTCAAAGCTTCCATCTCGCTCTCCCGCCTCCTTTCCCTCTCCATCGGTTCCGCACCCTCTACCTCACTCCTCTCTGCCCATTGTCTCCTTATCTCCATGACCTTCCTAATGGTCTCCTCCCTCCCCCTTAGCCTCTGCTCATCCCTCCCATCGTACCTATCCTCTTCCTTAGGCACTTTCCAACCATATTTCCTCTTCAACATCCCCACATATCCCACGACCGCCTTACTCCTCTTCATCACATGCATCTCCTCATACTTCCGCTTACTCCACTTCTGCCTCACCGCGACCGGGAACCCGCTTCCCCTTCTCTTGAGAGTATTAGCGAGGACTTCACCACGGGCTTCGCGCTCTGCTTCCCGTTCCTTGTTGTGGTATTTTTCGATGCGGGCGCGTTTCATGAGGGAGAGGAGGGTTGGCGGGAACGGGAGGGAAGAGCGGGTTTTTTCGAGGGCGAAGGAGGATTCGTGGAGTTGGAGGTGATCTTGGAGCCAGTGCTGCCATTCGTCTTGTAGTGTTTCTGGCTTTGTGTTCGTAGGATATCCTTCCGGACCCTTCGACTCTATCTTATCGGTGTCACCCCTCTCGTCTACGGCCTCACTATCCCTTCTCTCCGCCCGGATGTCTTTTTGAACTCGGCCACTGAAAACTCGCTCGAAAGGCACATCCCTCGCCGTTCTCGCAAGACTCCTCTCGAACTTGACCTCCTGTTGAACATCTTCGAGCCATGATTTGATCCGGTAGGTATCTTCGAGTCTACGATCGCGAGCGATGATGCGTTTGCGGATCATAGCGCCGATATGTGCAGGTTGGGGTTTCATGCGTGGTAGAGGACCGTGGAATTGAGTGGGACGCATTGGAGAGCCGGTGATGATGGGGCGGTTGCGGAGACGGGCTTGCCAGAGCTGTTGATAGGAGAGGTTATGGTTGTTACCGACAGTTCGCGTTGATTCACAACGAGGTGGAAGGGAAGGAAAGTATCGAAAGGTAGACTTACGGCCTCTTGACGAAGGATGTAGTGGAACTCTTCTTTCTTGCGTTTATGGTCTATCATCTTGGCGTAACGTGCTAGGACGGCCTGGAGGTGAGTGTTGCCTTGTTGCGCATTCTTGAAAATCTCAAGCCACTATGGAAAAGGGGGAAGGACATGATATTATGATCAAACGCGACGAGAGAGAACGGTGGAGGCTCACTCTGTGTCCTTGCTGAAGTCGAGCGATTGTGGCTTTGGGGCTCGTTAGAGAGCGGTAGACTCGGAAGAGTCGCTGTATTCTGAATCTGATCTATGACGCACCATGGGCATTAGCCATATTGAGGAGTAAAATTTCGGAGTAAGAAGCACAAGAAGGGAAGAGTTGAACGTAGTATTTTGCGATAAACTCTTCGTGCCCAGGCTTCCGGTTTGGCACCCAAGTTCTAATATTGACAACCAGCACAGCTGTGCCACATCTCATACCAAAGTGTCGTATATGGCGTTCCGCCCTTGGTCGCACATCGAGCAGAGATGACACTCAATCATCTACCACTCATCTCATTGTGGCGCCACACCAAGCCTTTCAAGGAGAACAAGATAAAGAAGCAGGAACGTACATTATCGTCTCCCGCATTCTTCAAGAGTCCGCGGTAGAGTGTCCATAGCGTAGGTACCCGATGAGCGCTGAGCTTCCAGAACGGAACATGGGGCCGAACACGCTTGAGGGGAGATATGGTCTGTGCGATTTGTTCACGGTGAGAAACAGATGCTAGCGAGGGTTTTGGCAGTCTCAGCAGCTGAGTTGACATCTAGGGATGTAACTCAACCTGTCTGGGCTGCAGTTGTTGCCTATAGTATGTCTGAGCCAGTCTGAATCTAATTTAAACAAAGCCGTCAGTAAGGTCGTCGTAGCTCACATCAAGTCCTCCTTACATTGCCCTATAGATTTACCATCCAAGAATGCCTCCCTAGTAGTCTCATTGGTTTTGAAGCATAGCAGTGATATGGAATCAGATGAACGAAGTCAGAGGCAAAGAAGCCCGGCGACGGTCGGGAGCAAGATTCGTGGCGCATTATTTCTCAACATTTCGCGCCAATTTCTCCCAGTCACACGCCGCCATGGGCTCTATCCATCTCGCCGATCTCGTCCGTCCGCTTTCACCATTATTCTCGACATTCCTCTCGATTTACCCGCTTATCTTTTCTCTAGGTCAATGACAACCTCGACACACCCACTCGCATTGGCGCCGTACGCGTCGAAGGCGCGACACACACCCGAGAATCTTTTCTTGCCTCACTCATCCAATCGCGCATACCCCCACCAGACCAGACATCTACTCTCGGCACTGTCCTTCGTACGACACGCGATATAAGCCATTTGCTCCATAGAACAGATATCTTCCAGACTGTGAATGTCCAGCTCGAGCGAAGTAGGGAAGCATTGGCGGCCCCAAACGATGTGGACGTCATATTCACAACGAAGGAGAGGGGAAAGTATTTTTTGAAGACAAGTACAGAGGTTGGGAATAACGAGGGTAATGCTGTGCGTACATCATGGATTGGTGCTGTCCTGCTCCTTTACTAAAATTTGCATTTGTATGGCCCGTATAGAGTGCGACGGCTCGTGTCCGTAACGTCTTTGGCGGTGCTGAGACATTTGAGGCAAACGCCTCTGTTGGCACCAAAACACGTCGATCTATTCAAGCTTCGTTGTCCGCCCCTGTTACTTCGACGCTGAGAACGAGAGGAGACCTTTCTATATTTGCGCTCGATAGAGACTACACGACGTACGCGAGCTGTACGGAGGCGGTTCGAGGAGTTAAGGCTGGTTTGAAGGTGAGGGTCTATCAAGAACATGGAGGATGCTCGAGCTGAGCGTGCTTGTGAATGGTAGCACGGTGAAATATGGTCCGGTCAACACGAATTAGCTTATGAAGCAGTACTACGACATATAGGAAGCCTGCTTCCATCCGCCTCCGTCAGGTAAGTTCTTTCCTAATTCTATATTGTCCTTCTACTTCTTCTTGAGTTTCGCTATGCGGTGCTGACTGTAAGTGCTATGTACCACACAGCATACGAGAATCTGCAGGCCAGACCATCAAATCTTCGATAACACATTCCTGGACACAAGACACCCGTTCAGGCCCCTCACTATCCATTGCGCCTGGCCACTATACCAAGCTCTTCCACGAACTTGCCGGAATAGGTGGGGACGCACACTATTACAAGGCTGAGGCCGAAAGTAAGATCACAACAGTTATTGCGAAGGGGATGGTCAGTCTCCCTTCTCTTGTTGTGGCGTCCACTGAAGACTTACTCACTGTATTTTTGGCGATTTGGTATATTAATGGGCGGATGGCGACGATCATTCTGCTTCCAGTGGCTATCCTGCTCAGCACGCGCTGGCGGACTATATAATCTCTCGCCAACAGGACAATCGTTATTCTCCGATAGATTCCAGCTGGGCGGGCCACTCAGCCTCCGAATGTTCCGTGCCAATGGCATGGGCCCTCGCGATGGTGGTTAGTGCATCCTATCCTCTTTTAAACCCATGTCCTCTTTCCACAATGTTATGCTAACTCCCTGTCTTTTTTGGTGTTTGTTGTGTCCGTACGCGATGCGGCGTTTTTGTGTGGTGTTCTTGAACGTGGCACAGTTGACTCGCTAGGTGGCGATTATTACTGGGCAGCAGGATTGAGCCTCATCTCTAACCTCCCCCCAAAACCACATTGGCCACTCAAAGCTCATTTCTTCCTCAACGCTGGCCAATTGCAGGGTTCACAACCCGGTATGTCCGCCTTCTTCCCTCTTCCCTTCCTCTGTCTGTTTCTGTCCTGTCCTCTCATCCTCGTTGGCCAACCACATAGGCATATCCCTGCGCGATACCCTCGCCACCTGCGTCTCCAAACCCTCGATATCCGCCGGCGTAGGACTCATCTATCTATTTGATCCTATACGTGTCGAGCTGAACTTTGGAGTTCCGTTGGTGGCGAGTAAGAGTGATGGGTTGCGGAAGGGGATACAGGTCGGCATGGGATTGGAATTTTTGTGATCTTCGATGAGGGAACTGTGTATGTAGGACTGGGGCCCAAATTGACAGGCAGCCTGCTGTCGCGTTTGACCTTTTGTTGGTGCCAGGAGATGGTCGTCAGTGTTCACATCGGTCCTTCTGCATGAGAACCAGAAGTCCAATATCGACGTCTTTGAAGATGGAGATCTAGATGCACCGCAGAAACAGATTCAGTGCGCTTTGTTGACGATGTCGCCGACAGAGATGCTTGTGTTGAAGCAGGGTGGAGTTCGCCGTTCAAACGTTCACACGATGATTGCGAGCGAAGCGAGCATACTATCAGTGGCCCCTCGTTCGGACAAACCGTCGTTCGGACAGTGCGAAAAACACACCCAATTCCCTATCGTTTCTCCCCGTTCAAGCTCTCATAAATCATGTTAAATCACCACTAGACCATCTGCGAAGTGATTTGAGTACAATAATGGCAATGGGAGGTCGAATGGGGAGGGGGGTGTTTCGGACACTTTGGCGGGATCGGCTGTCCGATCGACGGTCCCACCCCCCGATCGACGACCTTTCTCTCAAGCAATTCACAACAAAATTGCATGGGCATGTAGCTACAGTAGGGGGCATTGTGTGTGCAAAGTTTCATGGCAAGAGAACTTATACTGCGTGAGCTAGATTTTTTTGCAGTCCGGATTGTCCGAACGAAGGGCCAGTGATAGTAAATTGCCTAAGGACCGGACCCCAGCGGACAAACAAGTACAAATTCGCGACCAGCAGATTCCTCCTCGCCCAGAAAACCGTTGTGTTCCCATCTAAACCATTCAATTGTGACTCTTTCTTTTTGAAAATTTTAATTCTTACGCGCCTGACCTAGGGCTTTAGTTTGATACCCACAGTATTCCTGAGTTTTGCGTCCAAACCAATCTATGATTTAAAGTTGACTTTTCAGAGCGGTGTCATTGAACCGCGACGCGTCTGCACGTGATTTATTCATGCGAGTGGCACTTCGTGGCGACATGTACAGTCTTCACTGCTCAGACACAAACACAGAAATCGAGATGGGTTCTGCTCATCCGGTCTTTTTTGCACCTTGACTCCTTTCGCCACTAGTCATTACATGCCTGCACAACCTGACATAAATGCCCCGCAAGTCTTCATTGGCACTACCCTTACTGTATGTTGCATTCGACTGCTGTTCAATGTAGGGCTCCCAGTCCCCCTGGAAATACATTCGCGTGGGAGAACTCGGTCTTCGAAGCGAGCACCATTCTGGGAAACCCAGCACGATATTAAAATCCTAGCGGCAATGGCCGCGTTATTCGTGCATTGCTTCTGCAGCTGATCGTCAACTTCAGCATCTCAGGCTTCTACCTACCTCCAATGAAGGTGCAACCATCTGCCGTGGCTGGTTCACCAGAGCCAACTTCAGACCCAGAGTATCGGACTAGGGTGCCTCGAACGGAGTACGTCGGCTTCTATTCGTACATCTTCATCTTGGCAGTGAGCGCCTGAGATCGAATTGCACTGATTTCGAATCATCTGCTATTTCTTCAGCTCACATACGGTTGGAAATGAAGACTTAATGAAGCTGATACAAAGGCAAACGGACGCCATGGAATTGTTGTTGAAGGAAGGGAGAGAACAGGCTGCATCGCATGGTATGTAGACAACTCCGAAGAGATCGTTGTATCCGTCGCCTTGAGTCCGCACCGTGTTTACACGAATTTTCTGCATTGATCACGTAGGCGCACTATCGCGAGATATGCTTGACATCCTGAAGAAAATGTATGACAAACAGGTGGCGTCTGGTAAGCTACTTTACGCACACAATCCACAGGCGCAGATGTTAATGGTGTTCTGGGTCCCACGTCGTTAGACGTCTCCTATAAACCTATCCCGCCCGTTCCAGGGTTACTATGAAAGTAACTTTTTTGGTTACTTTTTCCCTCCAAAGTTAACTTTTCCTAGCTTTTGTGCCGAAGTTAGCTTTTAAAGCTAGCTTCGGCATAAAAAGCTAGATCGGAAGGCTTCCTTGCTTTGATGACTTCGATGTTGTTTGTGACCTCCTCTGTCTAGCAAGACATCGAAGCAAGGATCACCCGAGTCGTATGCTCCAAGGGAATTATGTTTGTATTTTTGACTATTATTCTAGTAGCGTATGGCCTTTTAAAGCCGTTGTCGTCGCTGTCGACCTTGCACGTGACATAAAAGTTCACATTCTTGCTTTTCGCTAACTTTTCTTAAGTCTACCTTATGCATCTCTTTTAAGTGTCTCTCACGTATGGGCATCGTTTCTGTGAACCTCTCGGCCACCCCCATTTCTTCATTAGACTCCCAGAGTATCTATTAGCATTGTATTCAAAGTGGCCGAGGTGCCGGGTATGACAGCGACGACGACAACGGCGCCGACCTATCAACTGGAGTAACTGCCCATATGACACACAGACTTACTCGATCTCAGCGCTGTTTCAAGCAGGTAATACACTCTGTATCGAAGGAAGCCACATCGGCAATAAAAAGCCGACGGTGTAACGTGTTGAACGACCTCCTTGTTGGCCCCATAACGGTGGCGTGGTGATTGGGCGCAACTGGTACGAACAAACTACAGTTGATGCAATATCCGGCAGCTCATTACCAAGAACGGTGAAGGCTGGCACCGCTTCTGGGGTCAAAAGTGAAACAACACTCGTAAAAGTGGGGGTGCTTTGACGAGACAATGGATGTGTACAGGGTACGAAGTACACCCAAAGCAGGCAAAGTTACTTTCGTGAAGCGTGGGAAAAAGCTAAAGCACGGATCGCACCTTTTTTTGGCGGGGAAAAAGCACCCAAAAAGTTACTTTAATAGTACCCCCGTTCCAGCCACAAGCTCAAGCGGCTGGACACCGCTACTTCGCGCCCACCTCGGCCACATCCAGCCAACGGTGGACCGTTGGCGGGGTACTCTAGATACATTGCTTGTTTTCGTGAGTTTCTGCGACCCATCTCTTCGTATCATAGCTGACGGTGGGAAAAAGATTGCCCTTTTCTCAGCTATCGTGACGACATTCTTCGTCCAGTCCCTCACCGGGTTATCCCAGGACACAGGAGCGAGAACGAACGAGCTCCTCCAGAATTTGACTGATATATTCATCGCTGTGAACGGTGCTGACGCTTCACAGCTCAACGTGTCCTCGCCTGTTCCATTCGAGCCGGAAAGTAGCGCAGTACGCCTCAACTTCTACTGGTCCATTTCACTGATTCTGAGTGTAAGGCCTCTTTTTCACACTCATTGTTCATGGCTAATCGCTGTCTCAACGACCTTTAGATCTCAGTGGCTGCCCTTGCAGTGACAAGTCGAGGATACGTTGCCATGCTTTCGCGTTCTAAGCATCGAGCGGCGCACAAGAAACTTGGTGACATACACCGCCGCTGGGCCCAGGCTGAGCGATTGCTTGCTCCTGCTATAGACCTGCTACCACAGCTATTGATTATCCCCGTCTTACTCTTCGTAGTCGGCCTCCTGGACAACATCATCTCGATTGTGATTCCGATCTCCAGAGTTTTTCTACCCGTCTTCGTCGCGGGCCTAGTATCTTGTGCTTTCGCCCTCGTCGTTACTATCTACACTGGGTGGACCGTTATACACGGTTGCCTTCACCCGGAAACATCACCGTTTCAATCGACACTCTCACGGCTCATGGTCATATATGGCACTCGACTGCACTCGACTGTAACGTCAGCTTATTCTGCTTCCATGAAGCACTGCCGCTTGTGGAAGCAAAATCTACTCAGCCTTATCACAGGTTCATACAGCCCATGTGATCAGTTTGGAGATTCCATGGAAGTCGGTTTGTTGCCTGTGATCTCCTTTGGAGCGAAGGAGATGGACGATGCACCGCTAGCTACTCATGAAATTCACGCGTATCACTCGGTCATCCAGCAGACACACGAGGATGATATCGTGGATCAAGCTGCGGCCGTACTATTGCCGATTATACGACAGCGAGAGTGGAAAGCATTCATATCCCCTGAAGAGCTTTCTTCCCTGTGCTACATGCTCTCCGACGAAGCCAGTATTCGAACCAATATCACCACGGCACAATACCTCGTGTACCTCGAGCAATCTGCGTCACTAGGTAAGATGTATTCATTTCAAAATTACACTCCGTTGGTTCTAATAATATATACACTCGTTCAGATCTTACCGGCGAGCAATGCGCGGTGCTGTTGAGCTTGCTTGTCAAGTCCTCTCAGCGATATTCGTTCTCGCTAACAGGAGAATGGTGTGATACTGCTCTTTGGAAATGCCCCTTCATCTATGCCCTGCTCGCAGTCGTTCGCCCCATTGTGGGCGGCTACAGTTGGTACGATTTCGATGATATTCCTATCGTCATACTGCTGCTATATGGTCCTAGCGTCGACACATACGGGAAGGTAGTCTCTCAAGGGCTGCCATCCGATTGGAATTCCACTGTCATCCCATTTCTTCTCAAAGTTATCCGTGCTAAGTTGGAGGGTTCAGACTCCTCCTCGCCCCGTAAGCCACTATCATATCTGAGCATGTTGCAATTTATGGACTCAAACTACCCACATCTTCGCGGTTCGTTCCGAAGGCATGAACGTAGACTTCCTACTCTTCTTAATTCAATCCTCATGATGGGGCTACTTGATCAGTACCAGGATATGACGTGCATGGAATCTCTTACACACTGGGCGATAGAATGGTATTGCGACCTGCACATATCTACTTTCAATCTCCACGGGTTGGTAGTGAATTCAGCGTCACACGTTTTGCATCGACTTTCTGCGGATTGTAGGTCGAAACCACGTGAACCGACCCTGATCAGACCAAGAATTGATTGGCTTTCTTTCCTGTGGGACACCACGAATTCCGTCTTCGCTGGAGAGTCTCGTACCGGCCATTTGCCGAAGGTCGAAGAGTCTATGGACTTTCTGCGCCTCTGCGTTGACGGAGTACTCCTCTTCCAGGAGTATGATGTTGAGCCTACGCTCAATCGTTACGCTACCGATCACCTTTTCCGTCATCCACATACATCCAAAGTCCACAGCAATGAATTTGAACTGAGATGCACACCTCTGTGCCGGTTCCATACAACAATTAGTCGCTCCGTTCAACTCATACGTGAAAGGCATCCGAGTCTCCGACTTGCTAGATACTCGTGGACAAGAATAGTCACCGCCTTGGGCAAGACGCCATTGGAACATCGTCCAACAGGCCCTGGGATTTTTTATTGGGATCGATGGACACCTGAATCCCACCGCGAAGGGATCAAGAGAAGTGTACTGGAGCTCTTCCGTACATTTTCGCCTGAGGCAAGAGGTAAGTCTGTAATTCCAATGCACAATTCCATCTCACACGTCAGAATTGACCGTTCAATGATTCACCGCGATATCAGTGACTACGGTGGACACAAACGATACCCCATCAGACATGGCGATTCCATGGGAATGGCTGGAGAATTCGCACGACTTTGCGTCAGGACTGGAAGCAAAGGATGGGGGAGAGCATTAAGTGTTAAGAGGACGAAGGAGGCATATGGCAAGGAGACATATGGCGAGGAGACATATGGCACGGATTGACTCAAGGTTGTTTGATACATGTTCTTACCACTGTCTTGGGTGAGGTCTGCCGGAGCGACTCAGATCACAGCGACACGGTCGATCAGGTTAAATATCAGGAGAAATATATGGCTATGTTCTTGAATTCAAGAGTTCAGGGTTATGAGCCCTATTCTGGAGGGTCGGTGCTTTGGTTTCGACCCTGCACTGACGTCTGTAGTACCCTCGCATTCGCCCGGAGCATTCAGAAGAACAACTCTCGTGGACTTCATGATAGGGTAGCGATGTTTTGCCCTTGGCATGGCCGTGCAGTGTTTCTGATATTGAACGAGACGATCCAGGCAGCTTTCGTTCTGAGAAGTTTGCATGCTGGATCAATTTGTGCCCAGAGAACGAGGAAGATGATATGACACTGAGAGAGAGAGAGAGAGACCAACGCATTAGCACGCAATATCTCAGCAAAACAATTCATCGTGATCATCCCGGTCCTTTCAAACACACCGCTCAACATCCGCTCAGCGACTTTTCGCACTAACTCTCCTACTCTTCCCCATCCTCTTCCCACCACCACCACCTCCCCGTCCACCACCTCCGCCCCTCCCACCACCTCCCCCACCCCGTCCCCCACCGCCTCCTCGTCCCCCTCTTCCACCAAACCCGCCTCTTCCACCCCTTCCACCCCTCCCACCACTGCCACGACCCTCACCACCAAAGTCGTCCGTCGATGCCTTATCGTTCTGTTTCGACCTCCTTCCCGCTCCTCCGAAGCCGAACTTTTGATCCCGCGCGTTTCGAGGGAATTTTTTCCCGTCGGCGCCTTTGGCCCGTTTGTTGGGTTGGGAAGATGAGGGACGGCCGGAGATGGCGTCTTCGACTGCGATGTCGAAGGCTGAGTCGTCTGCTTGGGCGTTGTCGAGGGCGCCTTGACGTTCTGTGTACGTCGAGTTTCAGCATCAGCACCGTCCATAAGGAGGAAGTAAGAAAGCAACAAAAAAGAAAGAGTGACAAGGGTCAAACGTACTCCTCTTCAAGCCCTTCAACCTCTCCTCCATATCCTTCTTCCCCTTCTCCCTCTCCTTCAACTTCTCCATCTGCACTTGCTTCCCGAACTTCTTCCCCTCCCTCTCCCTGCGCTTCTCCTCGCTCTTCTTGATCGTCGCGCTCTCGTCGAGCAGACGTTGTCGGATGCGCTCCATGTGCGCGTCGGTTTTTACCATCTCGGCGAAGTAGTCGGTGGGGCGGGTGAAGGGCAGGGGTGGGGAGGAGGATTTTGCGAGGTCGCGGGCGGAGGAGGCGGAGTGGAGGGCTTGTTTGTAGCTAGGGGAGAGAGACGCAGGTTAGCATGGCAGAAAGAGAGAAACGCGGGATGAGATAAGTGAGGAAAGGAGGGTGCGTGGTCGCGGACGTTTGTTCGGCGTATGTATACATCGGATCAGACTCCACGACGTGGTTTAAAGAGAGTCTCGGAAGACGTCGCCGCAAGACCGCCTCTCTTGTCTGCGAGCCACACCTGTGCAGCTGGCCCAGAAATGCAAAGTGAAGACTGTATAGAGTGTGGCGTTATGACGCCACACTACACCCGCAACAGTCATGCAAATATCTAGGCCCGTGTGGAAACGAAAGAAAACACACTAGAGGGAGAGACGTACAATGCAACTTCACGATCCAAATCGTTCTCAACATCTACCTCGATTCTTTGTGGATATGAGAGGACCAAGGTCTCTGTCCATGGTAATGATGGATCGAGCTGAATTGTATCGCGTATCCGTTCGAGTGCAACCTAAGATATAGACCGAAGATTGTGAGATCAAGACCGATGCAACATGGTCGGAAGGACCTACCGTGTTGTTAATCTCTATTTTTTGACGAGGGACGGCATCTTCATCCACAGACTCGACTTCGTCCAGGGCGACGGCCTCGTCTGCCTCTTCGTCTTCCGCGTCGACCTCACCATTAGGAACTACGGCATCTTCTTCATCGTCCTGGCCCTCGTCACTCTCGTCATCCTCAGCACCATCATCTTCGTCGTCGACGTCTTCTTCCTCGCTTCCACTCTCGTCCTCACCCTCCTCACCTTCATCGTCTTCTTCTTCATCCTCGCTACCCTCACCGCCTAGTGCTAGTAATTGTGCCCTCTCAAAATCATCCAGTCCATTCTCACCCAGTGCCTTCATGAGCTTCTCCATACCTTCCTCATCTACCCCACTGTCGTATTCCTCATCCTCCTCGTCCTCTTCATTGTCTTCAGCCGGTACTTCGGCAGGTTTTGGCGACTTAGTAGCGGCAGCCGGGGCTTTCCCTTTTGATATGGGGCCTTTTGGTTTCGATTTCGAAGAGGTTTTGATGGCGGAAGGCATGATGGGCTGGTAAAGGAGCCCGTGAGGAGGTTGGAGGAAGACAGAATTTTCAGAATATCAAATTCGCAAACGGCGCGATCGAAAACTCGTGGTTATCTTATCTCTTCCAAATAAGGACTTGACTTACCATCATCCACGAATTGGCACCCGATAACTCCTTCGCCTCGTACTTCACCTCATTGCCGGTCTGTTGGTCATTAAAACCATTACTTCGACCTTATACGAAACTATACGCAACGACTGTAGACGAATATGGCGTCGAATAAGCCAAATAAGCTGGCTTTTCTGTCGATGCCGGCTCCGGCATCATATGTGGCTGGTCTTGGTCGAGGGTACGTCCGTTCTTGCGTCTACCTCTGAGAAGTTTGTAACATGACTTTGAACTTTTCAGTGCATCAGGATTTACGACGCGGTCTGATATTGGACCTGCGAGAGAGGGACCTTCGGCGGAGGTTATTGCGTGAGTCTTCTTCGCTATATTTTATTCCGAGATTGTGTGGCTGGGCGCTTGACGTGTGGGGAGTCAGCGCGCCACCACACGGTCGCCTCGCAGCCACAATATTCATAGTACTGAGCCCATGCTTCACTTTTTTTCTCTCATAGCGAGGCTCAAGCCCGCCGTGGCGAAGAAGCCGAAGTTGACCCCGAACAATTTCAAGACCCTGATAACGAGTATGGTCTCTTCGCAGGGACGACATACGAAGCAGATGACGAAGAGGCAGACAAGATCTATGACCAAGTAGACCAGAATATGGACGCGAGACGGAGGGCCCGAAGGTGTGTGCTGGTCAGTTTTGTCCGTCTCGTTTCCTTCCGTTTGCCTCATTCACGCTCCTCTTCCTTTTTTTGCCCCTCAACATGGATCTGAACGTGTAGAGAAGCCCGTGAGGAGGCGGAACTTGCGAAACATCGCGCGGAGAGACCGAAACTTCAACAACAGTTTGCGGATCTGAAGCGAGGATTGGCGGTCGTCACGGATGCGGAATGGGAGAGTATACCGGAGGTGGGTAATCTGACGAGGAAGAAGCGGAGGAGGGATGAGAGGACGTTCGTCGTCCCGGACAGCGTCATTGTCGGGGATAGGTCAAAGGGAGAGTACGAGAATTCTTTGGATCCTATGCAGCAGGAGGTGCGCTTATCTCCTACTTGAACTCTTCAATATAATGCTTAATTATTGTGTTTACAGAGAGGAGGATTTGAAACACCTGCGGATTCTGGCACACTGACCAACTTTGTCGAAATCGGTCAAGCACGAGACAAAATCCTTTCCCTCAAACTCGACCAGGTAACTACCCTCCCATCATCATACTCTCCTTCCCCGCCTGACCAACTTCTCGCCCACAGATCTCCGGCACCTCAACATCCTCCGGCTCCGCCACCTCCGTCGACCCCAAAGGCTACCTGACCTCCCTCAATTCCGTCGTCCTCAAAACCGACGCCGAAATCGGCGACATCAAGCGCGCGCGCATGCTCTTCGACTCCCTCGTGAAATCGAACCCGAAACATTCGCCTGGTTGGATCGCCGCGGCGGCGTTGGAGGAGCATGCGGGGAGGATGGTGGCGGCGAGGAAGTTGATTAAGATGGGATGTGAGCAGTGTCCGAAGAGTGAGGATGTTTGGTTGGAAGCTGCGAGATTGCACGTGAGTCACTATGTCTTCGTCTTTTAGAGTTTGAATGACATTCCCAACCACCGATCGTCACAGAACAACGATGATGCCAAGGTTATACTCGCTAACGCGGTTCAGCATGTCGGACAAAGCGTGAAGATCTGGCTCGCCGCCAAAGACCTCGAACACGACGAGAAAGCCAAACGGCGTGTTCTCCGTAAAGGTCCGTACTCTACCGCCTTACTTTTGTCAATCTATGGGATCGTATTGACATCATATATCCGTGGATTACGCAGCCCTGGAACACATCCCAAACTCAGTCCGCCTCTGGAAAGAAACCGTCAACCTCGAATCGTCCGCCTCCGACGCCCGCATCCTCCTCTCCCGCGCCGTCGAAGTCATCCCCCAATCCGTCGAACTCTGGCTCGCCCTCGCCCGACTCGAGACCCCCGAAAAGGCTCGTTCCGTGATCAACACCGCGCGCAAAACCATCCCCACCTCTCACGAGATCTGGATCGCCGCCGGTCGGTTACTCGAACAGGAGGCTTACAACCCCGCGAAGGAGAAGACGCCGGAGCAGCGGGAGAAGGAGTTGAATGCGGTTGATAATACGATGAAGCTTGGAGCGAAGGAGTTGAGGAAGCATGGGGTGTTGTTGACGAGGGATCAGTGGTTGAAGGAGGCGGAGAAGTGTGAGGCGGAGGGTAGTTTGAGGACTTGTGAGGCTATTGTGAAAGCTACCGTCGCGATGGAAGTCGAGGAAGAGGACCGATTATCCACGTGGCAAGGGGACGCGGAGTCGGCTGAGGCGAGGGGGAGAGTAGGCACAGCGAGGGCGATATTGGCATATGCTCTACGTGTGTTCCCGGATAAGAGGGATCTGTGGCATCGGGCGGCAGATTTGGAGAAGGCGCATGGGACGAGGGAGAGTTTGGATAGGATATTGGAGCAGGCGGTGTTGCATTGTCCGCAGGCGGAGGTGTTGTGGTTAATGTGGGCGAAGGAAAAATGGTTGGGCGGGGATGTGCCGAGCGCCAGAGGCGTGCTCGAGAAGGCGTTCGTTGCGAATCCGGAGAGCGAGAAGATTTGGTTGGCAGCGGTGAAGTTAGAAGCGGAGAATGGAGAGTTGAAGGTCGCGAGGGAGTTGTTGATCCGTGCCAGGACAGTCGCGGACACCGAGAGGGTATGTCTTCTTCATCTGGATCCGTCCAAATTCAAGAGTATCAACTGATAGCATTGTACACATAGATATGGATGAAGTCCGCCGTCTTCGAACGCCAACAAGGCGAACTCGACACCGCCCTCGCCACCCTCGCCACCGCGCTCACCAAATACCCCAAATACGCCAAACTCTACATGATCCAAGGACAAATCCACCAATCCCGCTCCAACATCCCCGCCGCCCGCGCCTCCTTCGCCGCAGGGCTCAAAGCCGTACCAAAATCTACCACCCTCTGGATCCTCGCCTCGAGACTCGAAGAAGCCGACAACAAATCGATCCGTGCGCGCGCGATACTTGATAAAGCGCGCCTCGTGAACCCGAAATCCGATCTGCTATGGGCCGAAGCCGTCGGGGTCGAGGAACGCGCTGGTGGAGCGCAACAGGCGAAGACGATGCTGGCGAGGGGGTTGCAGGAGTGTCCGAGCTCGGGGATGTTATGGAGTATGGCGATCTGGGCTGAGCCGAGGCCGGGGAGGAAGAGTAAGAGTGTGGATGCGATGAAGAGGTGTGAACAGGACAAGGTCGTGTTCTGTAGCGTCGCGAGGCTGTTTTGGATGGAGAGGAAGATTGAGAAGGCGAGGATGTGGTTCGAGAGGAGCGTTGGGGCGGACAGGGATTACGGGGATGCGTGGGGGTGGTGGTTGAAGTTTGAGAGGCAGCATGGGACGCAGGTAGGTGTCCTTTCACTCTTCTTGTCTGTGAGCTCCTTGGTTTATGAATTTCTAACTAACGGCACTTTTTTTGGTCTCTTTAGGAATATCGAGATGAGGTTGTGGCAAGGTGTGTGGCGGCGGAGCCACATCATGGACCGACATGGCAGGTCATCGCGAAGGACGACAAGAATGTTGGGAAGAGCACTAAGGAGATCCTAGAGCTTGTCGCTGCCGCGCTCCAGTAGCACGGCCAGGGAACCACTATTTAGAGTGCTCTAAAGGTGATTCTAAAGTAACTTCTATATATTATGTATGGGCTCCGCTTTGGAAAGTACTAAAGAGAAACTTTGGAGACCTCCAAAGGCGACTCTATGCATTTTCTTTAGAAATGCCGTACAAACGCTAAAGATAGACTTTGGAGGACGCTAAAGGCTGTCGAGCACCTCGGGCTTGCCTTATGTGGCAACCCCGAATCTCTTTAGCACCCTCTAAAGGTAATTCAGAGAATAATCAATGGAACTCACTATAGAGCTCGCTAAAGCTTTGCTTTAGAGAGCGCTAAATTGGCATCCATATATAATATTTTGACCAATGTTTAGATTCCACTTTAGCTGGCTCTAAATAGTGGTTTCCCCGTCGTGTAGGTTCTGTGGTGTGTTGTTGGTGTCTCTGTTTCGATGTGCTGTTTTGCTATCGTACCACCATGATTACTCCTTGGAGGGCTTCTGGCCCTTCTGATTCT